AGGTCTCGTCCTGCTCTTGCACCTGTCATCTAGATCTTGCTCTCTTCGTCGCAATATTAATCTTGTATGTGCGAGCTGACCAACCTTGGTGCCCGTCACAGTGAGCTCTTCCAGTTTTCTTCAGTTTCTTCCCATCTTATGATTTCATATAATAGAGAGGTCTTTCCGCAACCTAGCCTCAACTAATAGCTCTCTGCTCATGTTACGGCGATTGCGCCGTGCCTGCCAGGACCCACGGGTTGGGCCCAGCGTGTGGGCGCCCCTGTGGGTTGAAGATCCTGCACCTCGCTGCCGCGAGTTCTGCCGTGGCTCCTTGAGCTACGTCTTGACCATCAAACCTGCCCGTACCTGACGGAATAGAGCCCAGACTGTAGCTTAGCCCGAATACAACTGCCATTGGACTATCAGCCTGTCCCACCCGTGACAGCTCATAATGATTACAAGATCGCTTCTAAGCCACTCCTCGAGGCTTGACATTCCACTCCTCGACGCTTGACATTCCACTCCTCGACGCTTGACATTCCACTCCTCGAGGCTTGACATTCCACTCCTCGAGGCTTGACATTCCACTCCTCGAGGCTTGACATTCCACTCCTCGAGGCTTGACATTCCACACCTCGAGGCTTGACATTCTAAAAGAGGACGTGGATTTACCGGAAATAAATTCGTATACACTCTCTCAATCGACTTCGACTTCGACTTTATAGCTATAGCGCATATTTTTCGAACCACGAGCCTGACTGAACGAATAACCCCGCAATCCGACCTAGCAGAGACTTGAAGAAGCGCCTTCTTCACTGATATGGAGACCGCGCACAACCTACCAGAGACTTCCGAGAAGGACCTTCTCGACTAATAAGAATCTGTCTACCCGTATTGCAATGACTGCGTCTTCTAGGGCGTGACAACCCCCGCGAGTAATTTTCAGACCGCGCTTTGCGAATTCGTACCCACCTGTAACGGGCTGAGCCCGTAAAGGCCTCGGCAAACTCTCGGCAAGACTCGAGATTCGGTGGACTTCTATCTTGTTCGATATCGGCGCACAGGCCAAGGATGTGGAGGTATAAGACGGAAGATATCTTGCATAGTCTTTCACTCTTTTCTTCTTCTCTCTACATTCGAGACAAACTCGTAGAGTCGTCACCAGCTAGTTGCAATATAGTCCTGGGACCGTTACACACTTCTCTCTTTTCGTCTTCTTTTACGATCAACTACAACTTTTACAATGTATTCGCCAGGCCTTTAAGCATTAGGAATAATGGATCGCGACGCTTGAAGTGTAGATCTCCTTTCTTTTAGCTTGAGATAGTCTTCTCGACCCCGAGAAGTTCGGCGGCGCTATACGGTACGACACCTGGCTCCCGCTGATCAAGGCAAGACTCGATGTCGCTAGCAAGGCAATGGGTAGCTTTGATAAGGCCCACTTTTTACTATAACGTTATCTACAGTAATCTCGACTTAAAGATTCAGACCCCAGACGACGTGGCTCTCAAACTAGATACTACCGTAAACTGGACATGATCGATGTCCACTATGCCTGGGCTCCAACAAGCTCCTATCCTGCCACAACCATATAAACTGTACTAAATCTTGGTTTTTTACATCTGCTCAGCCTGCGGAAGACGATCCAGACCGCAAGAGGCCTTGTTGCAGGGCCTGTTGCAGGGCCTGTTGCAGGCCTAGTTGCAGGCTCGATTGCAAGCTCTGTTGCAAGCCCTGTTGTTAGCTGGGAAGGCTGAGGAGTCGGGAGGTAGGCTTCTTGAGCCTGTCTTTGAAGTCGGCTAGCCTCTTATTGAAATAGAGGCCTAGAAGAGGAACCTATGTTCAGCCTCGAGGTGTCGGGTTGAGGTAGACTTATAGGTCCCGGCAACTATCCGTAAGCTCTTATTCTGAGCCTCTAGAGGCCTGTTTGCGATGCCTTGTGGCTGACCCCCAATGGGGGTAGGCCTATGGAAGCTTAGGCCTCATGGGCTAGGGTACTGCGGATGCACTTGGTATAGACCTATCAAGCCTTAGCCAAAGCTGGTCCCCAGTCTTAGCAACTATTCTGGCAGTGCAAAGTCCCATTTTTTAGCTTTCGTTCGACAGCTTCCCGCTGGGCCCTCCAAGCTAGCCTCCAATCTAGCCAGACCCCAGAAAATCAGCTAGAGAGTATATAGGCTATATAGTATCGAAGCTTTAGCCCTATAGGTAGGCGATAGCAATCTTATTGTTACTCTAGCCTGAAGCTAAGTATTTTTATCTCTAAGATGGGGATTCTTCTGCAAAGCGGAAGTTATAGGAGGACTATTGACCATAGAGAGATGCCTTTATGAAGATGACAACTGTCACGGCGATTGCGCCGTGCCTGCCAGGACCCCCGGCGGGGCCCAGTATGTGGGGGCCCCTGCGGGTTGAAGATCCTGCACCTCGCTGCCGCGAGTTCTGTTCGTAGCTCCTTGAGCTACGTTTTGACAATCAAGCCTGCCCGTACCTGACGGAGTAGAGCCTAGACTGTAACTTAGCCCGAATACAATTGTCATTGGATTGTCCGCCTGTCCCGCCGTGACAACAACTGGGGATAGTCTCCTACCCTTCGCAGTACCGCATTCGATAACAGAGACCCAGGTAGTATCATCGGATACCGAAACAACGGCGCGGCGAGTTAGGGAACTGCCAATTACTTGTCTATATTGGTGATGCTAGCTGGTTTAATCTTTTTAACGTCCAATTACTCGCGCAGGCCCTGAAAGAAGGCCTCGTGATTAGTACAAGTAGATCCGCGAGTTCGCTCCGAGTCCAGCGATATGCTGTTTAGACTGTGGAATTGCGCCATAGAAAACGGTCTATCCATTGCGCTCCAACCGGACGACAATCTCCACCCTCGGCCAATACTGCTTCGGCAAAAGCCCTAAGTAGACCACGACTCGGAGCTCGGCCAGCGCTTTCCTCGTTGGTAGCCCAGTCGGCAATGAAGCTCTCCTGCAATGGAGAGAGCTGCTGGCACAGGATCTGGCTCTCGCGACGCGTTTCCGCGCCGTACATGCGGTCGGACAGCGTCGCCCTGGGAATATTCCATCGCCTCAACGCTGCGCACAGGGAAACACCATCCTGGACATCTTGAAGCGCTGATTGAATGCGCTGCTCTTTTTGGGTTCGCCATGATCAAGGTTTGAACTGGTTTGAAGAAGAACTGGGTGGGAAAGGTGGTGTGAGAGGTGGTGTGTTGGGTGGATGTGACGATCGGCATGTCCAGTTGCAGGGGTTATCCGGTTGGGTCACGTCGTCTACACGTATAGTCCTTCCGCTTACTTCGAAGGCTCAACTTAAGCCATCTCTGATCTTCGACTCGCTTGCCCTGATCTATAAAGACCTAATAAAACCAGCCACGTATCTGATCGAGTTACCCAATTACGCTAAGGTACGAATTCGCTTCCTCATTTCCTCGTAAAGTTCGAGCGTACTCTCTCCGAGGCTCACTCAGGCTCTCGATTGGCTGGACTCAGCTAAGATTTCCACGCTTCAGTCCAGATTAAACGACCACCTCAAACAGAAGCGAAAGGTCCAACTTGTCTTAACGTTACTTGCAAAATACAATGACTTCGTTCGAGCTCTCCACCAACTGTCTAGTCACACAAAGTCTATTGGTTTTGGCCCAAAGGCACCTATCTCAACAAACTACTATAATAGGGTGGAGATGGGTGTAACGGTCTCAGGTAGTATATTGCAACTAGCTGATGACGACTCTACGAGTACACTGAACTTGGAGAAGAAAAGGAGAGACGACAGACTCTGGTAGCTCGCAAGCATACTTATCATTGTCGGCGCGCTGGTCTGAGCGCGTTGCTAGAAGGTTCGGTGTGCTGTGGGGCGAGTGGGAATAGCCTCATCAGGGATCTTGGTATCTGCCGAGAGTCGCCGAGGCTCGCACCGGGCCCAGCCCGTTACAATGGGAGCAATCTCTACAATGACTGTCCCGCAGAAAAGCCTTGACTGGAGTTGCATCCTAGCAACTGAACTGAGCGAGGAGGATGATAAAGAGGATTGATAGACGGATTCCTAGGATGGGAAGGAGGATTGAAACCTCGAGGACGAGTCTTCTTTGGAGAGGGGGGTGTGATATGGCAGCGCCTGCCGTCGGAGTGCACATACCCACTTCCCTTGGCATTTATCTCCTGCATCGCAAGTTCTTTCGCTTCTCTTCCTTTTCTCTTTTATCTTGTGTTTTTACACAATAGAGAGGTCTTTCCGCAGCCTTGCCTCGGCTAATAGCCCTCTGCTCGGGACAAGAGTCCTAGGAAACGGCTGGATAGTGCGGGGTTATATTATTATTTAAGCTCTCCCTTATAAAAGTGGCGAGCTTGACTATGTTTGGCCACTACCTCCGGCCTTCGTTGAAGTAGATTAGCTCGCTCTTTTTCCTAGTGAAGATGCTCCCCTTAGACTCGGCGCAGGCAGTTGGGGTCCTCGGGTCCCGTACCTTCAGCCATCCGATCCATATCTTCCCGGCCGATTTTCCGCGGACACCTGACTTGATGCAGTACATCCACAGGTATACTAGCTCAACCTGGCCGAGACCATAGTTGGTTGAGAGATGTCAGCCTGTCCCTCGATGTAGTCGCCACTCCCCACCTGTCGGCTGCCGGAACCCGGGGGCGCTTCAAGCATATTGGAGCGTTTGCGCCGCGGATGTGCGCCCCCGCGTATACGGGCAAATCATCGCCGACATCACAGTGCGGACCACGCCTGTGCTGGCCCTGGAACACGGCCACATTATGTAACTGGCTGGAATCACCCCAAAGAGGACTAAGGTAGATGGGTTAAGGCGCATCACCCCCAAAGGAATGCCCCTTTCCAGCTTGCCAGGCATAGACTGACACTGCCATAAGGCATCAAAAGCGCACGAGGACTCTAAGTGCATGCTTGCTGGTGCATCCTGCAATATGCAAGACGCCGGAGCGGCGCCGTTCGAGGCCGGTGCCGACGAGCCGCCACCGCTGGGGCGACGACCCACCCCTGCCAAGAAGCCTTCTGGGCCATCATCTCGTTCATGCTCGGCGTTGTCGTCACACAGCCTCTCTACACGAGCACCTCGGACGTCTAGGCCGCAAAATCCCGTTCTATGCCTCGTTCCTCCTCTTCATCGCTAGCTCCGTCGTCTTCTCGGCCGCCCAGAGGACCCAGGATGCTCTTCACGACTGGCGCCACGGCTTTTGTGCTGCCCGTATGCTGGGCGGGGGCCATGTATCCCTGGAGCGATTGGAGGATTCTGCTTCCTTTGCTCATCAGAGTCGTCGTCTTCAGCTGCTTGACGACCGTCAAGGTCTCCACTCAGGTCATTGTGGGAATCGGTATCGGTTCGTTATATTGCGTCCTCGTGCTCCCTATCCAGGCTAGCGCACCAATCGTAGACGACACGGGCCTTGTCGTCGGCCTATTGGTGTCGTATCGGCTCTTTGGCACCTTGATCAGCCTTGCGGTCGGGTCTACCGTCTTCAGCAGCAGCATCTGGGAAGAGTCTATCGCAGACCTGGGCCCATTGCCCAATGCCATGGAGGGTTTCAAGAGCGGAAAACGGCCATCGAGTTGATTCCATATCTTCGGCCGCTGGAGCTGCCATCCGATATCGTTGCACTGCTCGTTGACGTGTACACCAAGTCGTTGCGGTCCATCTGGTACGTTCTTGGTGGGTTCTCGGTTTTTGGGCTAGCCAAGTCGCTCTTCACAACGGAAATTACGCTATACAAGGCTGACATGGGCAGACATGGGCAGACAAAGGCTCGAGGAATCGTCGTAGCAAGCTTGATAGCGTAGCGTTCTGCTGCACTCCGGGTTGGGGATTACAGAACTAATCAGCCTTAGGACAGAAAGCGCGGGGGAGGGGCGTGATGGGATTTCGTGCCTTAAATCCCCAGGTTCACGTGATCGCGGCCGTGGTCATAGAGGTGGTGTAGACTCTGTTCGCCTGGGTCATATATGAAAGGCCTGGCATTGACCTGTCCCCGGTCCCAACATACCTAGAGGCGGGCATCTGCAGGCCTTCGGCCCCTGTATGGGCGCTATTAAGAAACAACAAGTCGAATAACAACCAAAATAGAGCTTACTAGATATCGTCTGGCAATACAACCTCCCCCCCCCCCCTTAATCCTTTTCTTGTTTCTCTTTCATTGCCAATTTCGTGACCAAGTCTTCTCGCTCGACCCTGTCAGCATCCAGTATCTTGGTAACCGGCGGTGGGAGCACAATAAGCTCTGTCGCCGAGCCCGACACGCGCGAGGCAAGCTGGCACGTCGAATACTGTTGCTCGCCAAAGGCACCTGGCCCATGTTCGCTTCTCCCGTGATGCGAGGTCTCTGAACCTGCAGGAGCGGTCGGTTCACCGCTCGGTGGCGCCCACTCCACTTGTTGTGCTACTTCGTCTGCGAAACTGGCAGGGCACACAAACGACCCTGGCAGTGAGAAAGCTTCTTAGAGATTTGTATGCCGTCTCAGCCATGGCTGCATTGACTACGTAATCGAGGCGAGAAGGATCCAAGTTCTGGCTTCTCGAGCCAAAGCCGACGGGACTGCATGTTTCTCGAAAGAGAGGGTATACGAAGGTGGGATGCGAGCAAGCACTGCTCGCAGTCGTCCAGGTGCAAAGAGTCGCAGAAATGGGCGTTTGTTACACCCGCCCTCTTGGCATAATTCGTCAGCTCGGGAAATGTCACTGCGAGTGTTGGACAAGCTGTGTGAACTAGATATACGGTGGCCTTCTGGTCCATCAGCTGCCACAGGTCCCTGCAGCCTCGGAAATGTGCGGAGAAGTTGTAGAACAGCGGCAGCTCTGGCGATATCTCCCAGGTCAAAGTCCGCCGGCATCTGGTCCGCATAACGCTGCAGCGGGCCGTCGCTCATAACTCCATCGATCCATCTCTCAAAACCGGTGCCAAGGATGCCCCTCATGGTGACACCCGGAGATTGCGTTCACGGCGACGAATTTCCCCGCGGGACCCTGAAGTGGAAGAAGCTTCCTCAGAAGCTCACGTTTCCCGTTCTCGACCGGGTCAGTCGACAACGAGACCTCGCCAATCGGATAGCCGAGGACTGGTGGGAATTTGTTTTGTGGGGCGCTGATGGTGGATGTGCCCCAAGTTAACGGTGTGTATGGCTCATGGAGTGTAGAGGAGGATATTGGGCTTCTGTAAGTGTAGGAGCTTACAGTCGGGCTGCGAGTCCTAGTGCTTCTGCAGGTATCATATCAGTCCAAAACCCTCCATCTTCGCCCCCCAAAAATCACAACCCAGCGGTTTCTACTAGTACTCAGCCGCTAACCGTCCAACTTAGCGATACCATCCGATGCGAAGGGTAGTCGGAGGCTAGAATAGACGGTTCAGACAGCAGGAAGCAAAAGGAAATGTGCAAAATCCTTCTTACCCTATTGGACGGATAACTGAGCGCTTGTTCAATTCGCCACCTGGTTATCTTGAGACTCTGCCGACGTAAGCTGAATGAGATCTCGCTTGCCCTGCGGCTCCTCGGTCCCTGTCCTTCGGAAGGGTACCGGCTGCTGTCGCTCCCTGTGAAAACGAAGTTCTGAAGGAGGAAGCAGAGGGATATAATGAGTGTGGCACTTTGAGGCGCAAAGTGCCGAGTTTCCGGTTTGGGAGTCGGACCATGGATACTGACCCCGCGAACGACGGCTTTTGTTGAGTTTTCGTCATCCGTTCCTTGCGAGGGGTCCGCAGGTCTTCCCTCGTGCTTCTGGTTGGAACGCGGGTTTCCTCCGTTGTTCGTATCTTCATAAACGCCATACCCTCGGAATCGTTGCCGGGGCATGACGGCTCTGGGCCATGACTTCCCCCGCCGTGGCCAGGATCACCATCACGATCAATTCGCCATCACCATCCTCTCGATCTTCGCCCTCTTGGCCAGCGTCTGTTTCCGAGTCACCTTCTTCAGACTCGCTACTCTCACTGTCGAGTTCCATCGGCGCGAGAGCGTCCATTCTCAGTGCACCAGGTTGGTCTCCTTGGCGTCGTAGCAGGTTCAACCCTCTTCCCTGCCCTCTTGTCGACTTGTCTGTCCATCAATTGAGGCATCCACATCGCCATCAAGCTCATGATCGGCGACTTGTTCCTCCACTGCAACGAAGCTAATCCACTTGGAGACAAGGGACCATTTGCAGCCGAGAGCTTCACCCCGTAGCCTGACCCTGTTTGTCTCTTCCGGCGTGTTCCTCACTGCCTTGCCGAATTCAGCGTGCACGCTGATTTCACCACGCTCAAGATCACCCAGCAGAGCCCGAGCAGCAAATTTGTGGACCGTGGTGTTTGGCGCTTGCAATACGGAAACGGGCACCCGCAAGCTTTTCTCCTGGGGGCCCGGGCTGAACATAGTGAATCTCAACAGCTCGAGGTTTGGTATGTCCGTGATGTCTTAGGAGGGCAAGGACCCGGTTCATCAGGAACGGGCTGAGTTCAATATGTCGTGATGTGATTGCAAAACTTCATGGGGGAGCAATTCTCAAAATTGATTGTGTGATCAGCGAGAAGCCAGTGCAGCTGTTCTGGGGATCGGAAATTGTATGCTGCGGGGAGGTTCTCACATCCTTTCGTCGACAGCGGCCCTCAATTCAATAGTAATGGAACTGGGGAAGACATGTGCCTTTCTGTCGCTGCTGAGAGGAGGGCGACTAGGCTTCCTTCCTAGCCTCCCTACTTGCCGTGTGGATTACTCCGGCGTATCTTCCGCCCATTTTGGCTATTCCTTCAACAAGTTCGTGCGAGACAGCGTCCTCGATGCCCAGCGAGAAGAACCGGACTCGTCCTCGGGTTGCAGCTTGGTATGCTTAACGAATCTGACCGTGTCATCGAGATCCCAGATCTGACCGTCTGTGAGGACAATGATGTCTGTCGTTGCAAAGCTACCCCGGCTTGAGACCACATTTCTAAATGCATGGAGAAGTTTCGTGCCACCGAGATTGGCCAGGAACTTACGAGCGACGTGGACTTCGGCGGCGTGGCGGCTCGTTGAGTTGTAAGCTCGAGAGTAAGGCCAGAGTGAATCGAAGCTTGTGCCGAAACTCCAGAGGTCAACGCTGCAGTCCGGAGGGAATCCAGCAAGAAAGCACTGCATGGCTGTTTCCAGAGCCCCGATCTTATCACTCATGGAGCCGGATCGATCAGCAAGAAAGACAATCTCCCCACCGCTGTATTCTGTCAGGGGACCAATCAAGGCCTTGCTTGGGTGGAATCGTGAGCACGAGACCCGATTGATCTGGAAAGTCAGAGTGCATCTCGAGGCAGGTGAATCGTAGACCCGGACTTTCGTCAGCCCTGCAGATGTGCAAGACGAAATCCCGGTCCAGGCAGCTTGTCTCAGCAGGAGGTTGACCATTGCGCACCTGGTATCCCGGGTCAAACGATGTGCGGAGAAATCGACCCATATTTGACGCGTTGCGGCACCGAGTGGGATATCAATATTGGGGAATGTCGGGGACGTCACATAAAGTATCTCTGTTGCAACCAGAATGTCGGCAGAAACGGAAAGACTCGTGGCGGTAGCGCTTCGGCTCAGGAGCTGACCGACACCATCAAGCAGTGTGCCGTACCGTGGAGCAATGTGGGTCGGGAGCTTGGAGGTCATTCGAGCCTTTCCCGCCTCAACACCGAGCCCGTCGTCGAGCAGGATGATGAAAGACAATATTGCCTTCAACTAAATGCCAGATGGGAGATCCCCAAGGGTCGTGGTGAACGGCCCCGGCGAGTTCTGCTGTAAGACGCCCGCGCTTCTGTGTTGGCCTACCTCCTCTTCAAACGCCTTGCTCGTTTCGGGGTTGGCCTTGACTTTCCCAACCAGGATCTATGGTTGCAAATGCGACAGGAGAAGTCGACGACACTGCTCCCGTGGGGCAGCGGAAAGGTATAGCCAGCCCGCTGAATCAGACCGCCGATGTTGTCGTTGAACAACTGGGTGATGGTTCCTCTGGCTGTGTCATGAGTGATGCTTGCGTTGAGCGAGACAAAGACAGGCGGTAGGGATCCGTCGTCTGCGGCCGGGGCATTGTCGTCTGAAACTCAAGGGTATCTTCTGCTTGGTGCCGGAACGCAGCGGTTTGGGCCCGCCATTCGTCTCGCGGCTGATGCTGATGCCAGCGATTGAGCCCTTCAACCCGATCTCCTCGTAGTCGGTGAACGGCGAACTTTCATTGTCGTGCCAGCGCCGGGCCTGCTGAGCATTGCAGGATTGGGTCGGGATGGGCTCGGGAGGTACCAAAAAATGCCAGGCAGGACCATACTCTTGCGCCTGTTTTCCCTCAGACCTCGGAATATGATCTGCAAAGGCTTGGAAGAGACTGGTAATTGCAGGATTGACGTTCTGGAAGGGCCTTGAAAAAACACAACCTACCTTACGCAAATAAGGTAGGCAGAGAGAGAGAGCGGTTGCCTTCGCCGAATCACCAGCGCCCACTGCGGTTCACACGAGGCTCCCGCTTCCAGGGGATTCGGAACCGGCCGGGAACCTTTTCACATGCGGCTGCCCACGTACACAGGAATGACCATTCCCACAACCCACAAGTCGTCTTGGCTCCCTAGGTTGTCAGTGGGCGTCATCCATTGCCCCTCCCCTTTCAAAAGCCGCCCACGCTGACCATCAAGCAGTGACCCCGCTTAGCTTTGCAATCCGCCTGGCCGATCAAGAGTTGTCGTGAATGGTATACAAGATCGCCGACAAAGACAACGGCAGGCAGGTCTCCCTGATTATCTGGAAGCTGTCACCAAGATGTCGGGTTGCTCCCTCATCACAGAATAGCCGCATTATCGCTGACTCGAGCAGACCTAGCGGACTTTAAGGGGTGCTATTCGTCGAAATCCTTACCATCAGCCAAGCAAGATCCTGGCTCCGTCAGATGATGGGCACAACTCTGGCTTCGTGGCCAACGGTTCTGGCGGCAGACAGGAGGCCTTGGTGCTTAGCAGACTAGCGTTAGTACCACCCTGCCCTGGGTAGCTTGCCTCATCATATCAAACCGACAAGAAATAAACCACCGGCAGGGGCGTTTTTGACACGACATCAGACATTGAAAGCGTGACCATCACTGCTGACGGCCTCATCTACAGTCGAACAGACATTGATGACATAGAGATCACACATTACGCGGCATGTGAGCTAGCGCCACTTCTGTCCCAACCCGATGGGAGGCCAGCTTCGCAGCCCAAGACGTTGGCACATATTGTCATTCACTACCGCGGCAAAATGGGGCATGGGGAGGACATTGTGGAGACAACCATCAAGCGTGAGGACACCAGATTCCAACCCATACAGCGTCTTCTCTAATGTGCCGGTGACTTACAGTGCAGTACAACACCAAAGTTCGGTTGTGCGGTGAAGGGAGCGAGGTTACTCTTGAAAGTCCACTGTACGGGTACGAGCGCTGAGGGACAGGCAATCGATATACCCGGCGGGAGGGTTTGTCCCAGGTTCACATCCCAGCAAGGCAATACACTTACTCCATGATGTTCAGAACACCGATATTGGGAACTAAATATTCGTCAGCAGCGGGGACGTTCGGTGAAGACAAAGCAGATGTGTATCGAGCTTTCGCTCATATCAATGCGACTGCCTCGACAGAACGACGTGGTTGTACTGAAACCGTGAGTATCCCCTTCCTTGACTGGCTTCTGCATACGGTTTCGACTTAACATCAGGAAATAAAGGCAAGCCGGTAGCATCCATACCAGGGAGATGGCGATGACGGAATCCGATATTGTCATGGTTCAAGACACAATCAGCACGTTGTTTCGGTTGAGAATCGCCAGTCATGACGGGCGGACAATTGTGAGCCAGAAACGTACGGAGACCCATTCTCTCGCCGGTCAATCAACCACCAGGGTTGCGACTGACAGACACCGTAGAAGTGTCATCCGACTTTGCAGCCAACGGAGGTTCGCCGGCCAACTTCCGGTCTCGTACATGGGTGGCCCAGATGCTAGAGAGCGGCCGGACCCAAGTTAAAGGGTATCCAGTTAGATTCAACCATCTGTTCGTGTCGGACGTTCGCAGTGAGTAATTCCAGGTGAACTTAGCTGGATGTCGGGGTGCTAACTTACTGACTGCAGCGATTAGCTATTCGAGGGCTGGGTCTGCAGCCGGTTATGGCAGCACTCTTTGCTTATACGGGATTTGCCGCTCTTGTCTGAAAGTGATCAATGAGCGACCGTCGGAAGCAAAACACCTTAACCTTACGCTGTGGCCTCTACGATGGGCTGTTACATCAAGACAATCAAGTTACTGTAACTTCAAGTTGCAGATTGGGATTGATGCGCCTAGCAAATCCCTAAATTGAGCATTTTAGCTTCGCCCAGCACATTGCACCAGCGGGCTGACCAAGTTCAGATAATGCGATGACCGGAGCGATATGGCCCGTGCAGGTCTCGTCGGATGCTTCGTATAAACAGTCTGCCAGTATCCCGACTTTCATGTACCGTGACACCGACTCTCCGAAGGAGAGTTCTAGATTGGTTGGTGTTTGGGCCACGATGACGCTCGGCGCTGCGACTCTTGAGATAAAAAGGGGGCCGTCCCGGGGAGCTGATTCGGCGGAAACCCAGATTTCCATGCAGCGTATCAGCAGCGTAAGCCGCCAAAATTTCCTTGACTGGCGGGGACATTGTTGTGCGGCCATGCATTGGCGTTCATTGTTCCCTTGTATAATCCAACCCTGGTTTGTTCGTTATCATGGCACATGGTGGGCCGCTAGTAAAATATGAATGGGATAAAAGAAAGGAACGTCAGAGAACAAGAAAGAGAAAAAAAAGATCGAATGCAAAGACAAAACATAAAAGGAGGAGAAAATAGATATTAAGACGAAGAGGTAAGGGAAGATAATGATAAAAAGAAGGAGGAAAGAAAGAAGGAAGGAGAGAAGGAAGGAGAGAAGGAAGGAGAGAAGGAAGGAGAGAAGGAAGGAGAGAAGGAAGGAGAGAAGGAAGGAAAGAAGGAAGGAAAGAAAGAAAGAAAGAAAGAAAGAAAGCAAGAAATCAATAACTATATGAATATATGGTCAAAGTGAAGGAAGATGAGGTGTAATACCTATCCGGGAAGTTTCACGCTAACAAGCAAACCAGGGTTGGATTGTATTGTGGTGGTCGAGGCCAGCCTCCGTCCTTTTCTTGGGAGGTGGTGAGACTCTGTTGAAGAGGGGCCCCAAACAACAGTACGCATCATACAGTTAGGTGAAGACCGTAACCTTTGGTCAAAACGGACATTGCCAAATTACAAGATGCAAGCTGGCCGATCTCGACAAGCTCCTTCCCAGCCTGCGATTTGCAGTTCATCTGTCCCTGGCCAATGGCGGTCGTCGATCGGGGCCTTCTGCGTGCGTCACTGCAGTCGGATATTCCCACTGTAGAAGGCCGATTGGTTGCGCCTACTAATGGCCGCATCCATTCTCCTTGATCATCCCGTCTTTCTCTCAGATTCAGGAAGATCGCATTGTTCTCGGCGTGCGCCATCGCTGGTCTCTTCTGATCAGGTGCACTGCGACTGTACCCTAAAGAGGGCGCCCCTACTTTGCAACGTCTCAGAAATTCCATGCTCGAGGGCAGCGTTGCAGCCACTACCTAATCGAGACGCCGCTAACGGCTTGATTGATGATTAGCCACGAGGTCGTCCCGTGCCAGACCGGCCACAATACCATACGGTTCCCAACCTGCCACTTACTTCTTGTGCCAGCCTTGATCAGACCGCAGCACAACTCCAACCACTCAGCGTCCACCTGCCACTTGGCGATCTCTCAGACAATCTTCAATTCTGCTTCGAACGTGGTCCGGCCCCAACTCCCTGTTTTTGCTCAACTTTGAAGAGCCTTTTCCACTTCAACACAGCAAACATCTTGGCACATTCCGACCCAAACTTCTGCTATTATCACGCATCCGACCCCCCCATCCACAATATGCGCCGAAGTCTCCCGCCCCGTTCTTCTTTAGCATAGAAGAGGGCAGGCTTATCGGTTCCAATGACGGTCCGCAGCGACTGCAGGGTCTCACTGCCCAACATGGGTATGTCGCACGTCAACTATGCCCTCGGCCTGGATGCGGATGGTCTGGGCACCCATCCACGCAAGTTCAAGAAGCACAAGGTGCTTCCACGCCCCGGCAAGGATGAGCTGCAACGATCCGCTTTGTCAAGCCATGGTCTCGGGAGCGACGCCGCCCTGCCGCGAAGCAATCCGTCATCTGCCTCGATCCTGTCCAGTCGCCAGCGACCGAACAGAGTGGGACGAGGCCCGGAACCGCCGCCCACGCCGCCGACGCATTCGCGGACATCCTCGGCAAGTCACCCTGCCGACTCCTCGACCTCGGGACATGCCGGTACCCCTCCGGGCAGCACAGACAATGTCGACTCCGATCCCCCGGCTACTCCCACCAACCAACAGACTCCGCCCACCCCAAACCTGACCCCCGAACGAACCCCTCCGGGCCCTGCCGCGGGCCAAGCACGACGTCGCCCGCTACTAAGCCAGCGGAATTCCTCCAAAGTCACAACAGATTCCAGGGCAGAATCGTTTCGAACCGCGCCGGAGCACCCTCATTTATCCGATGATGACGATGCAGGGTCGACCCTGCGCCCGGCACTGCCCTCGGCGAAGAGCTCGCAGAGCACCGTTCGTCAAGTTAGCAGGGAGACGAGGAGTGTTTCCCAGCCGATAGGCCTGGGCTTGGGGCTTGAATTCAGCTCAGACGACAAGGCTATGCCTAGGACATCGGCAGAACTCAACAAGGTTGACGGAATGCGGGATATCGGGCAGTCGGATTCGAACAGGACAGAGGAGTGGGACCGCGATCTCATGAGGAATGTGACCATCAGAAAGCGGCGGCCAACACGCCCAAAAGAGCTTTCCAACCAAGAAATCGTTGACGACCGGCCGGTGTCGCCAACCAATGCCACCCAAGCGCTCCGCTCCATGCCACTTGACGAGAGCCCGATTGTTTACCCCTCGCGCAGAGTTGTCTCGGACCGCTACACAACCAAGCCCGAGGCAGTCAATTCGGAGTCTTCCAGCAGCGTTGATGTTAAGCGTTCTTCTGTCATGTCCACAAAGTCCAATGCTTCAACGATCGTGGAGGCAATGCTGGTGGGGACGGCGCCCCAGCGACGCAAGACTCTACGCCACGTCAGGAAGCAGAGCGCTTTGCGGGATTCAAGTTCGGAAATCTCCCCAGTCACTTCTGCGCCCACGTCCGTCTCACCACCTGTTCATGACCGACGCCAACGTCACGAGTCCTCCGCCACGAAAGTGGACGAGACCGTACGTGAAAGCTACGCCTCAGCTGCCAGCATCAATTCCATTTCGAGTCGGAAAGCTCGCCGCTCAGTGTGGAAGAGCGGCGGTGTGCCAGTTGTTGTGATTCCGGACCGCCGATCCTCGGTCAAGTCGACCAGCAAATCGCCATCTTTGCGATCCACAAGCAGTCGGAGGTCCCGGAGTCTCAGTTCGGTCCCAATTTCTCCGCCGTCGAAAAGTGGGGAACAGATTCCCCTGTTCGAACGGCCTGCTAGAAGGAGCAGGGCGTTTTCCGAGTCTGACGGATCTCGTGCGGGTGACGAGAGGACAATGGACTTTCCCCCTGTCATCCCTGCTCGATCATCTTCTCTCTCGGCGCCAACTAGCAGAAACGCATCGAGGACAGCTTCCCTCACGGCAGAGAGCTTACAGGCCCACAGCATCTTCCAGGCGCAGCAGGCGCATCTCGCCCTGCAGAAGGCCAGCCAGCCGCTCGATAAGCTGCAAACTCACCCTCGGCCAAGCGAAGATGACCGGATGCTAAGTTGGAGAGGGCCAGAGGACCCGCCCCTGAACGGTGAAGTTGAGCGCGCGCTCCCCACCGTGTCAGTAGAACAGACTCTCCGGGAGAAGCAGCGCGAGCCGGGCGGGAGGGCCGCCCAAGCTAACCGGGACTTGCACGGCACCAATGCGGTGGATGGCGGCCTCAGAATTGACCGGGACGGTGATCGCTTCTTGTCTGTGCAGAACACACCTTTGTCGGTTGCATCAGTTGAGACGACTGGTACCTCGCACGCTGAAGTTTCTGAGGCCATGGCTGTGAACATCTACCCGCACCAGAACAAATCCGTGGTTTTGGTCAACCACTCCGCCAAACCATCTGAGAGCTCCTCCATGAACGAGTACAAGACTTCTGCCGCGAATGTTCCGATAGTCAAGACGACGAACCCAAACGGCGCTGTCCCTGCAACGCCGCCCCAGCAATTCTCCATGGACGGCGTCGACTCGCCCCTGAGGAATCCAAGAGCACCTCCCAAGCCACCAACCATCAACTTCATCCCCGCCACTCCATCGGGCTTAACGCCCACAACAGAGAAACAAAAGCAGCTTGGAAACTACTACGAGATGACCGCAGAGAAGCCCAGACGGAGCATGTCGCTCCTCAGGCGGGCCCTAACCCGCCGGACTGCCGAGTACGGCCCATCCCCCTCCCGCCCTGTAGGGTTCCTTACCCGGACATTCTCCCTCTCTAGAAACGTCCGACGCCGCCATGATGACGACTGGCCAGACGCGCACAGACTCAAGCGGCACTCCACCGCAGACGACGTGCCTCCCGACGAGACCATGCTTCACCCGTTCTGGCGACCCGCTCACTGCGTGGATGATGACGAGGAAAGCCGGCCTTCTGAAGAAGACGATTACGATGACGAGGACGAGGATCGCGATTACCGGGGCGAGGATAGGACGTACCGCTACCCGCCCATCGACAACCGCCCGTCCAAGTCGTGGCTGCCGCCATCGAGCCGACGACACAGTCGCAGCCGCAGTCTCAGCGCCCGCTTCAAGCGCACGTTTGCCATACTGCCCGTTCGCGCCGCCGACGAGGACGGGTATGACCACCAGCAGCAGCAGCAGGACTACCCCGCCACCGATGCGCATGATGCGACGGACCGCAGGACTATTCGCCGCACGCCGAGCGGGAATCTGCGGGTTATGAAGTTCCGGAGGAGTATGGAGTCCCTGACGACGAGGGCGAGCCCGCTCGCCGGGACAGCGGCGGCGGATGGTTGGCGGCAGGATGCGGCGTCGGCGCATGCCGGGAGAAACGGGAGTGGTGGCGTGGAGGGTTATCCCGATGGAGAAAGAGATAGGCCAATAACTAGGCTGTGGAGGTCGCTGAGTCTCAGGGCGAGGTCGTCGGTTCGTGCCAGTCACAGCACGGGCAATGCAGCAGCAGCAGCAGCATCATCATCATCATCATCATATTCTACACCCGCACCCGCTTCAGCTCCAAGAGAAGGAGGAGGTAGCAGCGGCGGTAATGGCGGCGGTGGTGGGTTCTTACCCGCGCTAGGCGACAGGATCAACATCTCGCGGCGGCTGAGCGAGCGGCGGCGGGTGAAGAGGACGCAGGAGCTGAGGGGGATGATTAGTGCGCCTAGGGAGGTCAGGGATGGAGTGGGGGATGTGATTAGGAGAAACTCGTGGCGGGATCGTGGCCGTGGCATGGATGCGGATGCGGATGCGGCGTATGTCAATGAGCAGCAGGCTCAAAGGAGGAGGCAGGGCCTGCGGACTTGAGTTTGTGTCTTGTCTGGCTTGCCTACCCTATTTAGGTGAGTGTCAAAGGTGGGGATTGGTTGGCTCGGTCGATGAGGCGCTTCCGGGTGCTTTCTTGTTGTTGAAATGGGGCGATTTTGTTGAGGGCTGAGGGTACATGATGGATCCATGGGATTTGATGAGGGATGAGAAGCCATGATGTGATGATTTCTGGTATTTTCCGTTTTCCTCTTCTTTTTCTCTCTTCCCTCTGTTGTTCTCTTGTCTTGCTCATTTATACACGATCATGCAGGGCTGTGTGGTGTCGGGCTTTCTCTGGCGGGCTCAGGAACCTGTTTCAGGCAAAGGCGTTTGTTGTTCGGGCTCCACAGCATTGTCATGAGGGCTTCTGAGTTTGCATGACTTGATGATGGGCAATCTGGGCTGTTCAGGTGGATGGGGCTGGTCTGCTTGATGTTTTAGTCAATGATGGGACGAGGTGATGGCTCATGAGAATGATGGCTGGGGGTCATGGATGGAGACATGGACTAGAGATGGATGTCATGATATGTTAGTCAAGAGCGATCACGGGCAGAGAGTGTCTGAGTAGAATCGATAGGATCTTCGTTGTTATTTGTCATTATATGGAGTATACACCCACGCTGAAGCGACGTTTGGGTTGTGTTGCAATCCGTGAAAGTTGAACTCAGAATGCGCGTAATGTACATAAGGAGTTGTTACAACTGAGGTATAACAATAACCTGCCCGGTTAGCTCAGCTGGTTAGAGCGTCGTACTAATATAACCTTGACTTGTTATATTAAGTGATGCGAAGGTCAACAGTTCAATCCTGTTACTGGGCATTGAGCGAAAAACTCCTCACACCACTTTACCGTATCTACGGTGACACCCCTCTTTTTTTTTTGTGTCCTTCGGGACTGCATCTCCATTTATTTCGTGTGGTGGCGGGGTCGGGGGTTGAGCACATTGCGAAAGGGGCTCTCCACATTAATGGGACTACCTAGCGAGATAAAGTCACTGGCGACAATGCAGGATGAAAAAAGTATATCTGGTGATGATATTGAGACAACATCTTTATTTACTTGTCTTGCTCGCTCGTCTAAGCGGTTAGCTGACTCCAGTTGTCTCCTAAACGCCTTACGCCATCACATTTTGCCGTCATCCCAATGACACAAATGATGCTACAATAGCTCAGAATTTCAGAATGGCTTCAAGTGAATCCACACGCATTAAGCCCCAGTCCCACAATCAGATCCCAGCTTGGCTCCTCCCGCCTCAAACCCTGACTTCGCTCTTCCCTCCATTACCGCTTCTCCCCAGGAAACCCACCCGGCGGAGGCGGGAAAGCAGGAAACGCACCGCCACCCGGAGGCGGAGGGAACGGCAGCCCACCAGGCGCGCCCGGCGGCGGGAACGCACCAGGGAATGGAGGCGGCGCTCCACCCCGTCCTGCAGCGCCGCCAGGGGGAGCAGGGAACCCTGGGAGTGGAAACGGCGGCGCGCCTCCGGCAGGACTCGCAGGGCCACCCGGCGGCGCGGCACCGGGAAACGGCGGAGGAGGGAAGGGAAACGTAGGCGGCGCACCCGCGCTTGCGCTACCGGGCGCTCCTCCTCCTGCTGGTGCTGCGCCAGGGAACGGAGGCGGCAGCATCCCGGGCATGCCGGGCATGGGAAACGGCGGGGGTGGCATGCCGGCTGGCGGGGGAAACGGCATTCCTGGGAGTGGGGGCATGCCTGGCATCGGTGGCGGGATGGACGACATGCCGCTGGGTCCAAGACCGAAGGCGCTGCCGCCGCCGGGTTGGTTGTGAGGGAGCATCGGGTTGGCGTGGGCTTGGCCTTCGGCGGCGTAGGATGAGGTGATGGAGTCGATTACAGATTGGGCTTTTTCGTGGCCGATTTCTGGGGGGACGAAGTACAGGGTTAGTGAGCTGGTCGGGTGGAGCGTAGAAGAGTGAGGAGGAGAAGGGGAGAGGTTACGTTGGTAGTAGTCGACGACGTTGCGTAGATGGTTGCGGCCGCTGTTGTGGGCTTTACGCACGCTCATGGAGTCGTGCGTGAGGTAGACATCGCAGTAGTCGCAGAAGACTGGGACGAGGTTAGACATGTGTTGGAAGGGTAGGGAATTGAGAGGAAGACTTACATTTTGGCATCTTGCCGGCGATTTGTCGCGGGGATTGCGATCGCGGAAATTTGGTGGAAGCGTGCGGTGTCGTGCTCAGTGTTTTGTGTTTCGACTTGGATTATGATGCGATGGGAAGATGGGCCGAAAACAAGCGAGAGCTCCCAAGTTCGCGAGGCTGACCAGCTTGAGATGCGAAACTTGCGAGTGGGGCTGCAAGGCTGCAATCCACAATGCTGTCCCGGCTCTGAGTGGTAGCCCCAAGAAGCAGCGCCCCACACTCGCCAGGGGCAAGCGACAGCTGGCCGTTCAACTTGGCCAAACTCCAAGACAGTTGAAGCTTTGATCTCTGCCATCACACGATCATCCCCCCACACACGGCACAGCATGGCTCGTCTACGGTCACTGCTGCAACAAGTCTGCAGCTTGATGCTGCTGCTGGCGGTCGGCTCGCAGGCACTCAAGTTCGACATCCAGGCTGGCAGTGGCCACGACAAGCACTCGCGGCGATGCATTCGCAATTTTGTCTCCAAGGACATGCTGGTGGTCGTCACGGCCATCGTTGACGGCTACAAGGGCGACGGCATGCAGCTGAATATGCATGTACGTGTTGCGCTGCTGTCCTTCAGAAGAAGTGTAGACTGACTCAAGCAGATCTCGGACGCGACAGGCAATGAGTACGGCAAGCCCAAGGACATTGCCGGCGAGCAGCGCACCGTCTTCACCTCGCACGCCGACGCCCCCTTCGACGTGTGCTTCGAGAACATCCTGACAGGCTGTACGTGCCACCCCATCTCTTACCCAACCGTTCGCTCGATCCCTCGCTAACAGAACACAGCCCGCTACGTCGAACACCCATACCGGCACGTCGAGCTGGACATTGACATTGGCGCCGACGCTAAGGACTGGTCAGCCATTCAAGCGACCGAGAAGCTGAAGCCGGTCGAGACGGAGCTGCGGCGCATCGAGGAGATGGTGGCCGAGGTGGTTAGCGAGATGGACTACCTGCGGTCGCGCGAGCAGAAACTGCGCGACACGAACGAGAGCACCAACACGCGCGTCAAGTGGTTTGGCTTCTGCACCACCTTCCTGCTGATCGCTCTGTGGGCGTGGCAGATCATGTACCTGCGGGCGTACTTCAGGTCCAAGCATCTTATTTAATGGGCAGGAAACGACTGGCTCTAGACTGGCTTATACGGGGCGGAGCCTTAAACGAACTGTTACGCAGGCGAGCATGGGAGTTATTATCTGTTCTGTACATGGTTGACTGGGCACGGAAAATAGGGGACTGGGGCATCTGGGTACATTACTCTTAGGATGGCTGTCCGGATATCCCTTGATAATGCGGAGTGTTCTGGTTCCATCATGGGTAGGGTGTACCGCTTGCAGTATGCCCGTCAGATGTAACGAGGATGGCCGACCCGCCCGAGACCCGGCAGCCGGGGCTCCACTTAATGTCGGCCTCGGTCCAGCCGGAAGATCATGCCAAGCAAAACCGGGCAATCGGCGCCGTGGCAAACCATTTTCAACCTCTCCATCAACCTCAGCCTCTAAATCATAGAACAGGGTTCCATTAATCACCCCCGGTTTCACTGAGTTTTATGGAGAAGATCTGAAGCGTCTTACTCCACGTCTTTCTCCAATAACATACGAAGATGGCTTCCTCCCTTCGCCCAGTAACGCGGGCCGTCAGCCGAGCCCGCCCGCCAATCCAGGCCGTCCTCCGCCTGGCTCCGAAGCGCTTCGCGTCCTCCCAGCAGTCACCGCGCGACCTCGATGTAGGCGAACTGCAAGGCGCAAGCTTCAAGATTGAGCCCCTCCGCCGCGTCGGTGAAGACCCTGCGACGATGCGCGCCCGTCTGCTCTGTACGTGCTCTTCCTGCCATCTTTACCTGTCCCACCCCTCCCTTTGTCTCAAAACGAAACAATTCCCGCGAATAAGTAGAAGGATGATAAAACTAACACTTAGCGACGACAGACCAATCCCGCAAGCGCGGCACTCTCGAATCCGACCTCCTCCTCTCGACCTTCGCCTCGGCTCACCTCGCCAGCATGACACCCTCCCAGCTGGCTGAGTACGACCTCTTCCTCGACGAGAACGACTGGGACATTTACTACTGGGCGACGCAGGACGAAGACACTACTATCACCAGTACCCAACTGCAGTCACAACAGCAACACTCACACTCACAGCAGCAGCAGCAATCCACCCAAACAAGATTAGAAGCAAAGGACCAGCAGCAGACCCCGCAACCGACTCAACTGCCCAACCAAGACCCAGGCACCCAACAATCCCCGCGGCCAGGCGAGTGGGCCCAGACCGTCGGCACCTTCAGGCCCGCTTACCGGCCTGTCCCGGCCCGGTGGCGAGACAGTGAGGTGCTGCGGCTGCTGCGGGCGCACGTCGCGGCACGGAAGGGCGAGGGCAAGGGCGGGATGGGGTTTATGCCTTCGCTAGAGGAGTACAAGCTTCGAAACGAATGAAAATAGGAAAGAAGGAAGGGTACTGTGTTATGCTTTGGTTCTGACCGTGTTTGGGCGTCATGTGCGTGTCTGACGGATGGTGATGGGTGAGAGAGGTTGAAAGGGTCTCTCTCGGTTCGTTGCCGTCATAATAGACCTACTAGTCCGAAGGGTGGTACAGCCGTGGTTGGGCTGAAAGGAGTTGGTGCTGAAAACGGGGCCAGGGTAAGGGTGTAAGATATGTGCTGTACGGATCGTGTATGATCCTAGTAAACCAGGCAAAACGGGGATCCTGCAATGGGACAACAACTAATAGACGATTAATCAGGCTCGTTCATTCTCAGTCTCCTTGCTCGGGGTATACCTGGGTTTGAAAAATCCACACATCAACATCCCCTTGCCTGTTCCAACCCATCCCTTCTGAATGCTGCTCCCCTCCAACCCGTCCTCAAAAGAACGCCGCCAGTGTGAAGGGACCGCTATGCCCACCGACAGCCACCAGAACCGAACACGGAAATAGAAGCACACAACACGGAAAAACAGCCCAGTAATCATCACGTCGTCCCTACCACCCAACCAAGCCATCTACTCCGTTCCGCGAAGCTGAACAGAAACCAAAAAAAAAGTCAGATTCTCAACCCCCCTCAGGCGGCAAAATCCTCCCCAAACTCCTCAACACCTCCATTACACTCAACCCAGCAGCCCCGACCGCCCTCCGCTCCCTCTCCTCCCGCTGCCGCAGCCGGGCAGCAGTCAGGCCCAGAACGGCATCTGCCTCCCGCCCGGCCGTGACGACCCGCATGTCGAGCTTGTGCACGCTGTCGGCGAGCTGGTCGACCTTGAACTCGAGCGACGCCTGCGCGTTCTGCAGCCGCGACCGCATCTGCCGCTTGAAGGAGCCGAAGGCGCTTTCCGGGTTGGTGAGGGAGGCTAAGATGGCGGATTCCGAGCGCGAGAGGAGGGTGGCGTCGGGGAGCGGGAATTTTCGTGGGTCTGGGTAGTTGTTGTCGTCGGCTCCTTGGGATGAGGAGAAGGAGGAAGACGCGGGCGGGTATAGGGGGGAGATGGTGGGCAGCGGGGCAGCGATGGATTGCCAGGCGGATTTTTGGGCTTTTAGTCTGGTTGTTCCTTTGTTAGTAACTGGACAGGAGACGGGAGAGAGAAGAGCGGGTGTGCACCTCTCGATCTTGGCTTCAAGCTCGGCGATTTTGGCGTCGTAGTCGACGTTTCGCGGGTTTGGCTGCAGCACCACTGGGATGGGCGGTTTGGGTGCGTCTTCTCGCGCAAACCAGTCTGAGAACTCGGATCGTGCGCTAAAGTCCTTGAGGAGCTGGTCTTGTATCGCGCGTGCTGGATAGCGTGACCCTGTCAGCAACTCTCCCTCATGATGTGTCGCACATTAGACCACTTACCTCCCAGCACTGCACTCGACCCATGGCTCCCATGCGGCGGTTTCTCGCTCAGCGCCCGCTCGCCGCACCAAATCAGCAGCTGCTTCATCCTCCTGGGCTCGCTCAGCCCCTCGGCCGCGATGTACTTGTAGAACTCGGACGGGTCGACCTCACGATGCGGCAACGCGCTGTGCCCGTTGTCGATCAGCGAGCTGGCCCGCCGCCCGCGTATTCCCAGACTGCTCCGCCGGCTGCCGCTGGCCGCGCCCTTCTTGCGGAATTCCTTATTGCGGTTGATGATGGGCGTGTCGCTGAAGGGGAGAGCGATCATCTGGGATTGTGGTTGCGTGAGTCCGCTGGGCGTGGTCTCCTGCTGGTAGTCCGCATTGTCGCACCCCTGCTTCTCCTCCTCCTCCTCCTCCTCCGTCCCTCCCTGGTGTATCCCATTCACTTGTGGCGCTTGGCCGCCTCTTTCTGGCCTCTTGCCTGTCTTTGGTTCAAAAGCTTTCCTCCGTGTCTTGGACCTGGGCACGACTAATTCCTCCCCTGGTGGTGGCGCATTGTCCAAGCTCGATTTCCTCTTTGCCCCCCTCCTCTTGGTCAGCGCTGCGGATGACCGTGACTGCGTTGGCGCCGGTGCTGGTGCAGGTGCTGGTGCCGGTGGCGAAGCGCGTCGTTTCGTCCCTGCTTTGGGCGGTCTGCCCACGCTCTTCTTCACCGAAGCCGGAGCCGGCGTTGGCACGTCCTCAAGCTCCTCCTCCGCCACCTCAGGCACCGGGGCGATCTTGGGCCGCTTCGACACACGCTTGAACAAGAAATCGCCATCTTGCTCGTCGTAGACGGCTGCGGCTGCGGAGGCGGGCAGGTCAGCATCGGCATCCTTGCGCTTCCTTCCCTTGGCCCCCTTGGTCGCAGCGACGTGCGGCTCAGGTTCCTGGTTGCTCGGCAACGGCCGCGACGGCAGGAGGGGCAGCGACGACGTACCGGCGAGGCGTGCGCTGGACCGTCGCCCTGACTGGTTGCTCATGCTCAAGACTTGTAGCGGCTGGCGGGTCCGTACGAGAGTAGTCATGGATGGTGGCGGGGTGGTCGGCGCATTGAATGCGGTGGGTATGCGGGTTTGAGGAGCAGCAGTTGAATCGCGTAGTTCGTGAGTCTTACGGATGATTTACGCTGCAGTCGGTGTAAGGGTGGTGTAGGGAAAATGCGCCGGCGCGTCGCCGCAATTCGAATCGCCAGTTGCCCAAGTCTTAGATTCGGCCAAGTGGGTAGGAGCGAGAAAGTTGACGCGTCAATTTGGGCTCGGGACCGGCTTGTTTAGCGTTTCTCGGCCGCAGCGCTTCAGGGTCCGATGGGAGCGAAGCTGGTCGGCAAATTCTCTAAGAAATGTTTGGCGTCGGCGAGAAGGATCCTGGTCCCGTGGAAAGTCGGCAAAAGTGGGCTGGCGGGATCGCGACGGAAGGTGCGCCCGGTTTGTTTATTCGCGATTGTGGCTCGTGGTTACTTGAGCGCTCGGACCACCAGCCACCACGAGGCTGGGAAAGCCCCACTTTCACTTTGCAAGTTCAAGTCGCAAGGCGGCGCTGTCATTCACAACTTGAGAGTTTGCGCCACGATCCATCTCTCAATTGGCCCTCTCAGTGACAGTCAGTAAACAAGCACAATTCACATAGATGAGTTCACGGTCAACGCTATTCAGGATGCACAACTTTGAGTCGAAGCAGACATGGAGTGCTATTGAGACATTTTCGGCTAGATAATTTGATCATATGGAGTCGCCTGAATAATGTAATGCACAAGGCTGGAGAACCAGTGATGGATGAACCGCAGTACCAATCCATTTCTCGTGATGATCCCGGTCAGCTGCATTGATGGAACCTACTCCAGCAGATAGTGCCTCAAGCCCGGCCCCTTCATTGAGGATGCCCACTCCTCCATGACCTCCTAGTCGATACTCGAATCATCAGAGCCTTTAGCTCTCATCCTCGCTATCCAAACCAAGGTACTTAGGTCTGGAACAGCAACGATTGTATTGCCTGCCTTCACTCTCATAGCACAAAACTAACGAGCATGGCCATGCCGTCCTTGACCAAATCGCAGCCCAATCGTTGCCTCGTCCAGGGACTACTAATACATTAAAATAACCATCAAGCCGTCCACCTATTCCAGAAGCCCAAAGCATTAAAAGAAACCAAGAGACTGGAAACAAGGCTCGTTTCGCTGACCTCACCGCCCCTCACCATAGATAGGCGAGAGAGAAGGGGGTTTAGATGATAACTAGTAAAGCAGTAGAACGTCCTGCTCCAGCCTCTCCCAGCAACGGCATCAATCGACTGCCCCAGCCCAAACGCAGCCCGCTAGGCGCCTTTCAGTCGGGCCAGCTATTCCAGCCCAGTCAACCGGTAAACGCACCCCTCCACCAACTCCGTTCCGAGTCCAATCCATCCATTCCACCGTCGATCCTTCTCGCTATTGAGTTCAACCACCTCACGCCATCTCCCGGAAGGGACCATAAAGCAAGATAAAAGAAGCGCAGAACAGCAACCAAGACGCCAGACACCGGTTTTTAATGTATGCCCTCCATCCCCTTTCCCCCGTTGTTGCCGGATACTACATATAGGGATGAGAAGGGCGGGAATAAATACCTCGCCATCCTCAAGCCCACCCCAAACCTCCTCCGCCTTTCCTGCCCGGTTGACCCCAAGCCCGAGACTAGCCTTTGAACGCCAGTAAGAAGAAGAAAAGTGAAAGAAAACCAGGCCGAAGAGCACCGCGGCCTGTCCTGTTGTTACTAGTACAGCGTACCGCCAAACAGCAATTCATTCTCGGTTTCTCCGGGTGGTCACGGAGTGGGATTGCGGCCAGAAAAATGTGGGATATAAGAGTCGTAGGGATCCACGCCGCCGTGAGGAAGAATTTGGAGAGTACGGGAGGTGAGTCACAACGCCCTAAGCCACGCTAGTGTCCAGGCGTAACTTAGGGCTGATATTACTCGGAGTGATCCTGGAAACAAAGGCGGGACCGACCTTGGACACATCGACCGCAGACGGACAGACCGTGGCTCGGTTGACCGCGGACGGAGTGACCAGAGACGGATCGACCGCGGACATATTGACGGTGAAAGCAGTGATCGTGGACAACCCGCTCGGCGCCAGGCTGCTCCCGCTCTATGGGTACCGCCTGTCCATAGACTGGCCCGCTGCCATGACGTGCTGGCCCGCCATCGCCGGCGGCATGCCGTACGTGTTCATGGCCGGGTTGAAGGCGTCCATAGACTGCTTGAAGGCATCCATGGGCGGCTTGAAGGTGTCGAGGGGCGGCTGCAAGAACTGGGCGCCTTGGAGCCCCTGCTGCTGCGTCACCGGGCAGTCTTTATGCGCCAGTAGCAGAGTCTTGAGATTGATCACCTCCTCGCGCAGATGCGCGACTTGAGCCGTGAGTTGCTCGTTTTCGGTTGAGTACATCTCGACCTTGTTTTGAAGATTGGCCAGCCATTGCTTTTTCCGCTGGCGGCACTTGAGCGCAGCCACCCTATGAGACGATGTGGGTTAGATGTGTCATCATGGTTGCACGAGCGGGCGGGCGATACAAACGCACCTGTTACGCTCCAGAAAATTCTTCCTCTTCTCATCTTCGGGTATATTTGATTTGGCTCGGCCGCCGCCCTCAGCCTTAGTGTCGCGGTGGCCGTCGTCCGAATGGTCCATATCGTTGCTACTTATCGACGCACCTCCACCGTTCGTCTTTGCCTTCTTGGCCGCAGGAGTGGCCTTGGCTGGCGGCTCGTCAGCCTTGCGCCGCGAATTCGCAGCCGTGTTCCGCTTTCCTCTTGCACGGGTATTGGGACGCGCCACCTCGCTCTCTTCTGATCCCACGCTAACCTCGCTGACGCCACGTGCAGAACTGCCCGTGAGCGACGGCGCGCCGTTCATCTGGGGTGATGTATTAACTGGTTGCACCGCTGGAGCAGTTGAGGTGGCGGCATGGCCTTGGCCCTGTGGGGGCGGCACTGGGGGATAGTGCTGTACGGGAGGCGGCTGGGTGGTGTTCCGACCCTGCGCCAGCATGAACAGGCCGTTTGCGGCGTCATTATCGTGTGGATCGAACGGGCCCGGCGCAGGCTTTGACTCCGCCTTGAGGGAAGGAATGGTACCGTTGGCCATCTCTTGCGGTTGCGATGTGGGAGCGACGGGCGGTGGTTGTTGCTGTGCTTGGGCCTTCTCGCGCTTGGCAGCGGCTGCGCTGAGTGCGGTCCTATGGAAGTCAATGGTGCTGGGTGTCGGGGCGGGACCGGCGAGCTGGGCGAATATTGCTTGCGAGTTCGGACTAGGGACAGGGAACATGGACCCGCTGCCCCCGGGAGTCAGGCCGCTCCGTATGGAGGACTCGTTCGGGGTTGGGAAGCCGCCTCGGATGTGATGTGCGTCGCTGAAGTAATCATTGGTCGGGCCCGACAACATGGCCGGACTCAAGGGGCCGGTCCGCAAGGAGCCACCACCCCAAGGGAACGGCGTGTTGCCAGGAAGGAGAGCCGAGGGTGAGGTGAGGGCCGCAACAGATGGCAGCTTGGTGCCACCGGGGGTCTCGGGGGGAGCGCCGCCGAACGACTGTTCAAACGGATTAGGCTCTAGGCTCAGCGACGCGACGGCCGGGTTGGTGGTGAAGTAATCTGGGCTGCGTTGCTGTTGCTGGTTTGGTCGCGGCGGGGGAGCCAGTGGTTTGGCGGGTTCGGCATTGGTAGAGTCGTCGGGTTTCGAGGGGCGGTCGAGTTTGGCATCGGCCTCTGTGTCTGCAAAGGCAAGGCGTCGGCAACCACACTCAACAGCAACAGCGACAGCGACAGCAAGTGCTACATGACGCGTCGCAGATGGAATGAAAATCGGGGATGCACTTACCTTGTCGGGGTGGAGATGGCTTGCTGGATTGTTTGGGCGACTTGGATGCGCCGTTGCTGGCGGCTCCAGTGGGCGGCGCCATGATGTCAATCAAAAGATTGTCGACGCCTCTCTAGCGGAATCCAAAATATGAACGGGTGAGGACTATGAGGTCACTGCTCGAGTTGAATACCCATATAAGGGCGTCCGCTGGGCTGCTAGCCAGCGTCCTCTGTAGGGTGTTCTGGCTCGAGTAGGGTGAATAATTGACGTAGTCCGACCTTGCAGTGTTGCTTGTGTGGGCGTGTGCGGGAGAGAGAGAGTCAAAACCGAGAACGGGGAGCGACGTCAGGTATGACGTTTGGGAAAAGGAAGGAGATAAAAATGAATGGGGCAAGCTTGTGGGTCCCAGGCCCGTGAGCCAACCCACTTCAGCCAATGGAAGCGGGCGAACGAATGCGCGCAGAAACGGTCCAATCCACGGCAGCAACGAGTCCAGAGCGCAAGATGAGTTGCCAGATGGCAACACCTCTTTCTGGCGGTCTGTTGACGAATTACAAAGCAAGCAGAGCGTTTATCCCACCTACTTCGGAGTGTAGCATTCTTTACTATGGTGTTATGTATTAAGTCGAAGTTTATCAAAAAGCACATCGCGTTGATACTCGAACCATCGCGCCCTCGTTAAACCTCTCCTCTCTACCTTACTGTGGTACCCTTCGCCCAAACAGTCCATCGACGAGTCTAGACGGGGTTTTCCATAAGCAAAACAACACCTACAACACCTTGATGTTGAACACCAGCAGCAAACCGCATCGGGCATTCTGTCCATCGCCCTCGCCAGTCTGTGTGCCCGCAAAGTGAGAGGCTTTGTGGGGCAGCACTGTCGGCACACTGTGTGCATCTGCCCCGGCCTGGCCCCCCACCCCAGGGCTGCTGCGAGCGAAAGGGGGAAGTCAAGCGGCAACCCCCTTGCGTGCCCCATCAGCACCCGCTATGGCCTACTCGGTCCAGCAAAGGGCCATCGAGGCAACGAGACGAACCAGCTGTGAGTGCATGCCGCTACTGTGCATACACCAACTGGCAGGATAGTGGGCCTGAAACCTGGGCCTTAACTGTCTCGCCTTGCCCGTTTAAAATAACGCCACAGTCAAAAGTTTATTCTCCAGCTGAAGCAGGGCAAACATGATCTGGCCGCGGCAGGCAAGGGTCGATTCTCCAGCTCCGAGATTTATTCGCTGGTTTGAAAACAGGACATCACGCCGTACCGCCAGGATCTTTGCCAATATAACGGCTCATTGCTGTCCTGGGCCGCCATCACTAGTGATTGCATGGGACCCGCCCGGGCGGCTGAAGCACAAGGCCTGCGGCCTGCTTCAGTCTCGAAGTGCCTCACCTACTGCCAAGTGGTGTGCAACTCATCGACGATCGGACGGTCCAGAACCGAGACGAGTAGTAATAGATGAGCGAGGCGAGGTGAATGAGCAGGAAACTTCACCGCCGACGAGGAAAGAGGTGGGGTTTCTGTGGCGATTTGAGCTCCCAGCGAATCAATTCTTGGATGCCCGCCTCTGCCCTTTCCGCACTGGATTGCGCTCCAACCAGTTGAGCGGCCGAGGCATTCGCGTTCCCTGTCACCCTTGCTAGCGACACTCCTGCTCCACGAGTATTGCAGAGATCGCAACAACCGCAACAATTTTCTCCTGCTCCCTGACGATCGTTTCTGTATCCTCGTAAATATGGGAACGGCATATCTGCGTTGCTGCCCGTTCCGGCGGGAATGATAGAGCGAGATGCGCAAGTTGGCCGGGAAATCCAACCGCGATGACGTAACTGGGAGGACGGAATGCTGTCTCACACGCCATGTAACCTATCCCTTTTCATACTGTGGGGGGACCCACCACCCCGGCCAACTCTCCTCGCGCTCGCGCGAGGAGACATTCTACTGTATTGATGAATGCGGCTAACAAATAATAGACGCCACATCGAGGTTAGGTTCGCAGGGACGGGAACAGAAAAAGAAACGTTTGGGGAACCGAGTCCGGTTGTTCGCGGCTGCGCGTTTGCGGTCGCGGCTAACTTGTACATTCTCAAGGCTGGGTTGTCGGCGCGCAGGCAATTCCCCTATGACGCACTTGAAGGATCCTTACCATGCATCAAAAATTGGCTTTCTTGAAATGTGGGCGCTCGACGCGAAAAGCACAGGCCCCACTTGGACACGGGCATCCATCCGCTCTCCCTCTTTGAGCTTGTCTCATCGATCAGTGGCTTCACCGAAGCATGATAGCAGACCGAGTTTCAAAGTAAATGAACCAAATGCAGTTCAAATGACATGACTGCAAGAAAGTTTCATTGAGCATCTTTCAGTTCATCCTCCAAACGTGGCAGATTCAAAATGTGCGCTGAAAATCACATCATAACCACACGCCATTGTGAAGCCGCCGTTTCCTGTGGGGAAAGCAGATGGAACTTCCGGCCGGTTCCCCGACCGCCTGGTCTTGGCGAAATACACTGTGTTAAGTGGATGCGCGCGTCTGTTTTAGCTTCAATTGGCGCCCCCATGTTGGTGAGATGGCATGTTGAGAACTATTGCAAATTTGAAGGGCTTTGTGTGCGCCTCGGGACGCGAATTGCCAAATTGTACAGAGTATGTCTCCTGTTCTCTTATCCTCGACATCCCCACCCTATCTCGCAGCGCTGACTGTGTGTAGTGTACCCGAGACACGAACGAACGTTAGCTTCCGTTGTTTCTGTCTACCTACCAGGTGGGCAGTATCCGTACTTGAAAGCTAAACAGAGGGATATACCACCCCACGGGCATGAACCCACTCCCAACTCTGACAAAAGGGATGTGCACGGGCATTAAACCATCTGCTCGGGAACTGGCCGGACACATCCGACAGCCTTGCAGGTTATGCTCTCCGAAAAGCTTGGCAGCACAGCAGAGCCGCCGACGTAACCAGCACTGCTTAGACAGACGTCCGTCGGTGTCGTGACTCCTTCATCCATACTCTCAGCCTTGTGACATGCCCGTACAGTCACCCAGGTCCCAGGTATACACACTCAGACATGCTATGCACCACAGTGATTCGCTCCATCGTGCGGACTTCTTCCTCCGCTATGAGCCCTACGGGTCCCCACCAAACCCGCCTTCGGCTCCAATCCCAGCGTCTCGACTCCGCCCTACGGGGCCGCCACTCCGCCGGCTCTCACATGTGTGTTCGCACATCCAATATTGACACATCCGATACTAACCTATCAACTTAACCTGGGCTTATAGTATCGTAACTTGAGATGACAATCGTGCAGTGACATTGCAAGCAAGAATATCAATGCAAAACCAACTCGTACCACATTTGTACAAAAAGTACCAATCTCCTCATTGAATTGTATCCCCCTGTTCACAGACTCACTAGAAGCCCAAGCTAAGCTAGAGGCCATCACACCTCAACCCTTTTCTCCCAACTTAACTGCACATAAGTGTACCGTGACCACGCAGCCCAGTCCAACCCAGTCCAGCCCCAATTGGTAAATTGTCAGGGAGACAGACGTCTAAAATAGACCCATCACGGCATGGCCATACTCTGCCATGCCCATACCACGCGTGAAATAACATATCTTTCCATGATAATTCCCATAATACGGAGCTAAAAGTCATATAAACCATTGCACCCCCCGCATTTTATCATAATGTCCATGTCCCAATCACGGTCAGATTGCAACCATTCCAACGATGTAACAAACAGACACACAGCCAAAGTCATACTCGGAACTCCCCTCCCCAAACCGAAAACACCACTATACATTCCATCTCATCTAGCTTCACATCTGCCGACTGGAAACAATCATCATCTCGCAGCCGCAGCCGCAGCCGCAACCGTGACCGTGGCCTTGGCCGGCGTCGACGTAGACGCGTGTGCTGTCGCCGGGTTGGGTGTAGGAACAACAGGCCCGGCCATGGCCATGTTAGCCACGGGTGCCGGCGCAGACGTCGGTGGTTTCGCCGCCGGTGCCTGAGATGTAGATGTAGAACAAGAAGGCGCAACGGATACGGTGGGATGTGAATGGCAAGTGCCGCTGCTGCTGTTGCTGCTTTGCACCGCAGCGGGAAGTGAGATTGAAGCCATCGACGGCGGCGCTTGGGTATTGCTTAGCCCCTGGGACGCAACCGGGGGCAGAATGGAAGTTGGTGCAGTAGGCTGGATAGGCTCTGGAGCAGATGATTGGGTGGTTGGAGGTGTCGTCGATGCAGGTGAGGCCATTTCTTGGGGTGGGGTTGGAGCAGCCGGGGTAGTAAGTGAGACTGCCTGGGCCGACTCCTGGGGAGCAGTTGGCACAGGCTGTGCTTGGCCTGGGAATGGGATAGGAGCCGCAGCTGCAGTGGTGCCTGTAGCTGAGAGTCGAGCAGAAGGCTGAACAGCGATCTTCTCTTGAGGAGTCAGTGCCATATCCGATACGGGGGCACTCTGACCGGGTCGTTGGGACAGGTCTGGGGCAGCACCTTGAGCCGGAGCAGAACCTTGAGTGAAAGCAGATCCCTGACTAGCTGCATGCGGCTTTGGCGGAAGCACCCCCTGTGTATTCAGTTGAGATGTAGCCGGAGCAGGCGCCAGACCCGACGCCTGGGGCGCAGCTAGAACAGCAGTCGTGGAGGAAGAATATTGACCCGATGTCTGTGTTGTAGGCGGCGCCGCAAGCCCAGCGGGAGCCTGCACCTGGGCTGGCTTTTCGGTCAGACCGTTCTGAGCCGCCGCGGCTTTGGCCTGAGCTTGGGCCAACGCATGAGCCGGTGATTGCGGTTGATTCGGAACATGGGCTGGGCTTTGAGCGGCTTGAACTGTCCCAGACGTAGTTGCTGAACTCCGTGCCTGTGCAACCGTGGGAGCGGCCGGGGATGCGGTCGAATTCGAGTACTGTCCCGGCGCCTGAACAAAGCCTTGGGCCGCACTGAAGACGGGAGCCTGAGGGGGAATCTTGGCTATGGAAGCAGCAGATGCAGGAATGTGCAATCCTGTGCCAGGATGAGAAACCTGTTGGATAGGCGTAGCAAAAGTGACTGGACTAGCTACTGGCGCAGTGGGCGCTGCAGCGGGCAGGTGGACGGGTCCTGGTGCAGGGTACATCGGGGCCGGCGCAGGCTGCGCTGGTTTCGCTCCCGATTTCAGGGGGGCCGTTGTAGAATATACCCCAGCCACTGCAGGGCCATGAGCAGGCGCAGGCCCCTTTGCGGACATCGCATTGGAGCCGGGGGCTGCCGCCGGAGTGGATGTTGATCCTGGCCTAGGTGCAGGCGATGGCGCCGACGAAGCAGACGCCACTGCGGCCAAGGTCCTTTGATGCTCCGTGACGACCCGCTGGATGGCCGAGATGAGAACGTTTTCGGCCTCGTCGTACTGCTTCCTTTCCGGCTCGGAACCCGCCATTGTGCTGCGGTCAGCAAATCCTAGCACGCGATCCACAGCAGACAAAATCAAGCGCTCGGCGTTCAGCTTTCCCATCTTCGGCTCCAACGTCTTGATCATGTTGTTCTTGAAGTTCCCAAGGGTCTGCACCAGCCCCGGGTGAAGGAACTGGTCAGCGCCCAGTTTTTTCCTGCTCGACTCGAACACACCGAGCACAATCTTCTCCAAGCTCTCCTCTTCCGGAATCGTGCTTTCTGCCGCCAACCCAAGACCGCGGTTGATGACGGACATGGCGACAGCTTCGGCAGCTGAAGTCCGCTTTGACAACTGCTCCGTGACCGTCGTCTTGAAATTGGTTACATGCTTGATCAGTTCCGGCGCAACAGCTGGCTTGAGGGTGAGTGTGTTGCCATTCGAGGGCGGTTGTGCGAGGCGTCCTCCGATTGAGGCAGGCGCCGCTGTCTGAGCAGTAGAGGCACTAACCCGGGGCAAGCCTTTCACCGGGCTCGCCACGGTGCTAGCCGGCAAGCCTTGCCGTGCTGCACCCTGGGAAGGACCGGCAGAGTGGGCAGCTGCAGCAGGCGGAGGTCTTGATGTGTAAGGTGAGGAATACGCTGTGGCCTGCGCGGTCCCTTGAGGCGGGTGTGCGGCAGCCGCATTCCCATGAACGGCTGTGGATGCGGCTCCTTGCATTTGCATAGGAGTTGGATACGGCTGCCGCGGCGCTTGCTGAGAGGCAGCACCGACGATTTGCGCACCCAGCTGCGGCTGTGGATGTTGACCAATGGCCGCCTGGCCCTGGACGGGCGGTTGTCCGGCACGTTGAGGCGCCGAGCCAGAACGGAGGCCTTGTTGCATCCCTGATTCGGTGTGGAACATCTGTGGCGTTGTCGGGGTGGCCGAGGCGGAGTAGTGCTGGCCAAAGGTGTGCACAGACGTGGGATGGTCTGGCGATGTTGCTTTGGTGCGTTTCTTGCCCGCGTCAATATCTATGCCTGGCACTCGACTCCACAGGTGGGTTTCGTCGTTCTTTTTGAAGGCGTCGTTGCCGATGAGGTTGTGCCGAACACTGCTCTCCCAACCTTTGGTATCGACGGCGAAGTAATAGAAGGGATACTTCATCTGGATCCGCTTGTAGATTTGTTTGAGAGTCAGACCATCAGGTGCAGCACTCAAGACCTCGTCAATCAGCATGCCGTAGTTCTTTTGCGGCTTCTGCAGCTGTTCCTCGGTGTAGTCCTCCCTGTTCAACTCCAGAGGTGGTGTCTTGGGCTTTTCACGTCTCCTCTCTTTGATAGTCTTCTCAACGTCGGAGCCCTCGCCTTCCTCGCCAGTCTTGGACTTGCGGGGTTTGTACTTGCGCTTCTCTGGCTTGTCCGGTGCGTCTTCGGGGAGCGGGTGCTTGCGCGGCCGGCCAACCTTCCTCTTGACAGGCGGGTCGCCTGGCGGTGGTTGCGGCATATTTTTCTTGACGAGCTCCATCGCCGCCTTCTTCCGCAGCCTCTCCTCTCTCTTAGACATGATGCCGTTCTTTGGCGGGCGTCCAGGACCACGTTTCTTGGGTAATGGGGGGCCGAGGCTGGCAAGCATCTCCAGCGACAATTCGGATTCGGGTTTGATGGTTGGTGGCACCTCCGGGTCCTTTTCAATGGTTTCCATGACGTCCTGTTCTGGCATTTCTTCCGGCTCCGGCTCCGGGATGTCCTCGGCTGGCTCGGAGAGCTCGCTGTCGCTCTCCTCCTTTGTGGCCGTGGCCGGAACTTCTTCGGGACTAGTGCTGCGTCTCTCCGGATCGTGCGAGCTCTCAAAGTCAAAGCTCATCTCCTTGCCGCCTTCCGAGTACCGCCTACTGGACACGCCGTCTTCGTCGATGATGTCCTCGGCGCCAGTCTTGCCATGGGGAACGCCGTTGATGATGAAGACGAAGTCAACGTCCTTGATTTGTAAACGGTCGCCGCTTTTCAAGACAACCTTTTCGTCCTTGTAATGCACGTCTTCACAAAAGAAGCCGTTTTTGTGGAGCGGAATGGCCTCGAACACGCCCGCCTTCTGGTTGAACTCGATTTTCAGATGCTCCCTCGAGATGGCCTTTGTTCTGCTGGCGATGTTTGGCCCCGGGGAGTGGATACCGATGAAAGGGACGTAGTACGGTGACGGGCGGAGGGCGCTGAGATTGACAGCAGCCGCCCCTGGAGTGTGGGAGACGTACTGCCTGTTTAAGGCCGTGTTCTTCTCCTCCAAGCCGGCTAGCTCCCCGGCAGCAGCTTCTACCTGGTGGGAATCTCCCGAGGCAGATCCGCCGCCGCCGCTCGTTTTCCTCCTCTTGGACGGACGCGGATTCTCTTCGCCATCCGACTCTGGACCCAGCATACCACCCTCCTCGCTGACGTACGACTTGCTGAATTTTCCGCGGTCCTGTGTCGGCGGCGATGGCGCAGGCAGGCCGAGTTGTTCGTTCTCTCGTACTCTGCGCTGGTATTCCTCGAGTCGACGCTCATCTCTCCTGGCCTGGTCTAGTGCACGCTGGTCGCGTCCAATGATGACGGCATATGTGGTCATTTGGAACACGCTGTCGGCAAACTCGATCCTGGCGAACGATTCGAGCGGCGCTTCGGGGGGAAGGGCGGCAGCAGCGGCATCGGGGGCGTCATGCATCAAAGAATCTGGAGTGTCGAGCATCGCTTGTGGGGGAAGGGAGACCTGTGACGGGCGGACGGTCGACGGGGGCTGTGCAAGCAGCTGGGACTGGGATGCGGCAGACAGCCGAGCGAGGGCCATGAGGATCTGCGATGGATGCTGCGGGTAGAGGTCGAGGCCGGGGCTGGTGGTGTAGTCGATGCCGGTGTTCATGGGCGCATCAAGATTCATGGCGTCGCCCATGGGGGCAGGCTGCTGTGATGCAGGGATGGCTGGCTCTGTTGTCTGCCCGTGGGAATTTCGCGGGGGGATGGCCTTGACGTCGGCCGAGAAGTCGCCATTGGGTTCGGCATTGCCGAGGGGAGCGATGGGTGGTGCATCAGCTGTAGGCTCCGTATCGTTGATGGACACCCCGACCGAAGGCTCGCGGTTTCCCGGGTCGGTAGGGTCCGTGAGGGGAGAGAATGCAGGCGGCGCCGGCGACTCACAGCCAGCGCCGCCGTCCAGAACCGACGAAGTCATCGCTTGTGGCCTGAGACAAGCTCCTTCGTCAAGCTGCGACAGCTCGGTGGCTCGCAATGCGGTTGCGGTGTGGGTTGCGGCGTGGGGGGAAAGGACCAACCAAGCTCGAATCGTCAAAAGTTCTCGAAACTCGACCTCAACTGGCAACTCTCGAATCGGGTGCCGGAATGCGCTTCGGTTTTGCTTGGCAACGATTGGCAGTGGGGAGCCCCCCAAATTTTGACCGCTGTCTGATCCCCGCGCAGCAATTGGCTGTAACTCTCCATTGTACTCCACTTCCCGCAACGTTCCCGCTTCCTGTTGGCTGGCTCATTCATGTTTGACTTAGTTGGCCACTCGAGCACCTCTCGCATGGCTTCACGCTTCCCTTTTTCTGACTCTCCTACTTGAAGCTGTACGGAGTAGGTAGTCGGCAATTCTTTCCATCACTGGCAAACAATACCTGCATCTCGTTGTCAGTGGGAAGAAATTGGCCATTCTTCACGAATCGCAAGTGTACTCCTCAGGACTTCGAAATCGCCGATTCTCCTGCTCGCCAAGGCTCCCAGTCCGGCAAGTATTCCCTGCTTCAGAGTGAGCCTTGTCGAATTCATGAAAGAGGCCACTCCAGATGCATCTCAACAACGGCTTGCTGGGCTGCTCTCAACTCGATTAGAGCCCTTTCGAACAAAAACTGTCCTGTTACATCATCCTTGGCAATTCAGTTTCAGAGCCGGTTAAGCATTGGCCGGCCGGATCGAAGCCGGACCCAGAAACAGGCCGAAGTGCTGACTCGATTGTTCCGTGCCGCCTTCGGACCCCTTCTTAGTGTTTCGGAGCCGGCCATCGACTGCCCGCTGGCCATTTACCGAGACCTACACCCCATCCTGACTAAACTATACTGATGCGAGATGCTACTTCTCTTGAGGCCGCAAAGGTCACGATTTGGTGTCTAAGCCTCTTACCTCGCCTTTGTCATCTCTCCGACCACAGCTTGGGATGAGGTGGTTCCGGCCTGGTCGAGAACCGGGCTGCGACAAACAACGAAGGAATGCCCGTACCATGGCCGCCGTTTTGTTTCGGTGGAACGACTTGTTCTGAATCGATCATGTGTAGCTATATCCAGCAGGACCTGCCTTTTTCCGGTCGTAATAATTGGACCTGTGCTTTCTTCGTCGCCTTTCCTTGTCAAGCCTATCACACTCCTCGACCGTCATTCCGGACTGTGTTGGGACTATATACTCACGTCTTCTGCAGTGAGCTCCTCTCCTGAGCCACGGTGTCTCATTGACTCCTGCGAGCGGTGAGTTTGTCCATCTCACATGAGCTCTTCATCAGGGATCCCTCCAGGGAGACCGCCCAGACGTGGCGTGCCTGGCAGCAACGCATCGGCAATTTCGAATGGGCATCCTCCTAGTGAGCCGACATGGCCCTTACCGCGGAAGCCCGCGGCTGGCACAGAGGCAGCACCAATTGCTGGAAAGAGAGCTTTACCAACACCATCAGGGGCAAACCAGTTACGGAGGACTAGGGCACAGGTGGCGACGGGATCTGAACAGACGGACACTCACATCCCTGACCGAGGGAGGGAGGACGACGTTCTCATTCTCGTACCGACGGCCCTGAACCCTTCACGACAGACGAGGAAGGCGGTCAAGCTTCCTCCTTCGACCTCGAACAATGCCCTGTCGGGCCCAGCGGTGCCCGACTTTCCCTCTGAAAAACGACCAGCCCCGAAGAGCAACCATCACGCACGAGATGTCCAAGAGCCACCAGGGAAAGGCCCGCCTGCGCATGCTACAGCTCAGCGCGGTGCAGTTTCGCTCCCAGACCAGCCTGGGCCAGCCCCTTCAGTTCCCGTGCCCACTCCCACGAAACCACCGAGGTCCACGAACACTCCGGCCCGTTCACAGAGAAGCGATCAAGAACGCCCGCCAGGCCCTAGTGTCCAGAACGTCGCTCCTGACGTCCAAGAAAAGAGAGGTGCTGCTCCCACTGGGCAAAATGCTGACCAAAGGGGCGTGCCATCTATCGCTGTGCATGCACCAGGTCCGAATCGGCCTGGTCTCGGGCCGTTGCCTCCAAGTGTCCAGGCCAAACCAGGTCTTGCCGACCCGTCTATTCGGAAGCCGGTGAATCAAGATTCCTTGGGATCATCGCCCCCAAGGCCACTGCAACCAGACATGCATCCATCATCCCCTCCGAACAGTACCTTACAACAGTGGAACTCGACCTACGGAAATCCCTCGCGCTCGTCGCCTCCAAACCGTCAATTACAGTCAAAGAATTTGCCCGTTAAGAAGCCCCTATCGCCAACTCCACCAGACACAACGTTGCAGCTTGGTAATCACGCGGCGCCCAAGCCATCCGTCTACAGGCCCAGCGTGGTTAGCCCGCCGCCGCGGAGACAAGACCAGGCAAACTTCGCGCCTCCGCCCATCACCAACCCTCCCAGACAGATGCCGCCGGCGGGGTCTCGGATCGCCAGCCCGCCGGGATTTTCTGGTGCTCGACCAGGCCCAACTTATACGGCGCCCCATCACGTTCATTTCAATTCCCTGGTTCCCAACACGTCGATGGCAAGCTCGGCGACCGCCACAAGCACGCGGCCTCTGAATCCCGTCCAGCGGCAAAACAATGGTTTTTCAAGGCCAAGCCGCCAGAATTCAGACCCGAGGGAAAAGGGCGCGCCGGGCGGAGGCGGGTATTACCCGGACGAAACCGGCCCAGCACAAACGCCGTACATGAATATGCTGCTCTCGCTCGACAGGATCCCGCGCATGCATAACATCCTCGTGTCGGTGTTCGTCTGGATCCTGTCAGCGGGCTTCGTCATCATGCCGGGCTCCTTCACCAGCGCGAAGCGCCAGCAAGAAGGGCAGACGGTCGAGATCCCCGTCGCCACGACGGGGGGCGCCAACGGGACCGCGAAGCTGTCCCTCACGCCGGCCAACACGGCCGCCATGGTCGTTGGGTTCGTATGCATCGTCGCAGGCACCTTCGGCTCGGCGTGGCTCGCCCTGCGGTGGCGGCGCAACTATGTCTGGTTGCTCAACAAGCTGTACCTGCCCCTCGTCCTCAACGCGCTGGCGGGCCTGCTGGCGACGGTCGTGGGTGTGTACACGCAGCAGGCGGGTGACTGGAGCACGCAGGCCGTCATCACGCTCGTGATTGAGGGCTCGATACTCGTTGTCAACGTGCTGCTCTTCTTTGTGTACAACTATTGGCTGTTGCAGAGGCTGAGGAGCGATCACGAGGAGGTGGTGGCGGGTGGGGAGAAGAAGGAGAAGAGGAAGAGGAAGAAGAGGAAGGGAGGGCTTTTTGCCAGGTTCAGGAGGGTGCGTAGGAAGCCGCCTATTGCCGCGGGCAGCGTTGTTTAACCCTTGGGCTGGTGATGTGATATGCCGGATAGAGGTACCCATGGTTTTGTTACCTGAGCAGTGTACTTTGCAATGTTTGCAACAGCATACATGGTAGGTGGACTTGACTTGTCGGCGGAATTTATTGGTTTATAGTATCGTCTTGATAATGTATCAGGCTGCCTCTACCTCAGCAGCGGCCTCCTTTCCCCCAGCAGCCCTTGAGATTGCCTCCTCTCCACCCAGTCAGCTACCTTGTACGCGCCGTGACAGCAACACCCGGCCAGAAACCCAACGGCATCATTCTTGAACGCCAATATCCCCGCCGCAGTAACCATCATGACCATCCACCGCTCATGCTGCTCCGCCACGCCTACCTCTCTCCACCTTCCCCTAATCCCCACCCCATCATCATCACGAACAGCCCTCTCCTCCCACAAATCCACCGCACCCTTCGTGTTCAACCCAGCGCCCACCTTGCCCAACTCCAGGCCAGCCGCGATGACCATCACCCCCAACAACCCCCTCGGAAACCTACTCAACGCACTTATCACCACCTCCCCACCATTACCATCACCAATACCGGTACCAACACCGTCATACCCCCGGCCAGAAGAAGACGAAAACGTAACTGTCACAAACCCCAATACCATCTTCACCACCCCGAGCAAAATAGCAGCGGCCCCGCTGCGCGCACCAAAGCGTACCTGCCCCGCCAGTCCGCCCGCGCCATGGCACACCGGCATCGCGCCGAACCAGCACCCTACCAAATTCATGGCTGCGACCGAATAGCCCAGGGCGGTGGGCGTTGGTGGTGGGAGGAGGGAAGGGAGTAAGTCGGCGGAGAGGGCCGAGACTGCGAGGATGGAGTTGAGGGTTGTTAGGGGCAGTTGTGAGAGGGAGGTTGTGTAGGATTGTTGGGAGGTGAAGTCTGGGATTGTTACGTGTAGGGGTAAACCGAAACGAAATGGGGATGACGGGGAGTGGGAGGATTGGGTAGTATCAGACGGAAGAAAGGGGATGGTGGAGAGGCCGAGGAGGAAGATGAGCAAGGCGTAGGGGAAGCGCTGGGAGCGTTGGTTGAGCAGCAGCAGGAGAAACGCGCACAGGGCGACGAGCCGGTTGTCGATCTGTGGGAGAGCAGTGCACCAGGGCAACGGGAGGATGAGGTTGCCGCCCGAGATGACGAGGCGCAAGGCTGCGCCCAGCTGGATCCCCTTGATGACAGGGACGGGGACGTTGCGGGTGAGGAGACGCAGGGCACCGGTTACGGTGAGGAGGAGCACGGCGCACGAGACGAGGGCGCCGGCGGCGGTTGTGATCTGGAGAGAGAGGGGAGTCGATAAGGCCGATGCTGCGATGGCCTGTTTTCACTCTTTGCATTAGCATGGCCGTCTCTTGAACACTGTATTGCATAGCAACCGAAAGGAATATAAGTATAAGGGTGAGTGGATAGCACCTTCATGGGCTGTACTGGTAGCGGAATGCCAAACACGGCGCCGGTGACAATGTTGAAAAGGCCCGAGAAGACGAGTGTCGAGGACAAGTCGATTGAGCCCTGCGAGGCGAGGGCGATCATGAGCGGAAGCAAGGTCCCGAGATCGCCGAGCGCCCCGGAGATCTCGGCAACCGGAGACTGCCGGAGTGTGCGGAGGCTGTGCCGGTTGCGCCGGGCCAGCTCCGAGATGATTGACGCGCTCATCTTGTCATGCCATTCAGTACTCTCAAGAAAATATAGGAAAATGGTGGTTGAAAGTTCGCGGGCGGCGTTCTATGTGTTCTATGTTTCCCGGTCGAGTTTGAGATCGGAGATGTGACGGAGATGTGCAAAGTGGAGGGGGACGTTGGGTTTGTGGCTGGGGCTGCGCCGAATTGAACCCTCCTCCTGGTGAGGTGGTGACGAGTTCGCATGTGGTCATGTGGTATCATGATCAAGTAGTATCGTTAAATCTCATGGCTAGGAAAACTATGCTTACGGATTGAAAGACACATTAAACTCGTGGTATCTGAAGATATGGAAATGTCCTTCCAATCTCCCGCCTCAGCAAACGCTGGCGACAACTGCTATCTTCCGCTGGCCCAACAACCCAACTCATCGTTCGACCCCTTTCCTTTCCGCAGATCTCAGAAAAACCTTCTCCTCGGCGGCGAGGCATACTCGCCCTTTCCCACCACGCTCCTCCTCCGATGCAACCGCGCCGAGCAGCACGTAAAGAAGACGACGATGGCCCCGAGCAGCGAGCAAATAGCTGACACCAGCAGGGTCCACGACGCCGCGCCGTAGTACGCCCCCGTGCCCGTCTCATTGCCCCGGTCATTGACATTGCTCTTGACGATGCTGAACAGCACAAAGTCGATGACGCACGCGACGGCCGTCGCCAGAAACGCCAGCAGCGCGACGAGCGAGGCCAGGAACGAGCCGACAACGCCGGCGCCCAGCGCGAGCAGGAATGCGATGAAGTTGAGGCCGCATGAGATCGGGTGCAGGATCATGGCGCGGGTCAGCCCGCGGGTGGTGTCCTCGGCGTAGTCGGAGAACTCGGTTCGGTCGAGCGAGGACATGACGGCCGCCGGGGAGTAGCCTACTTTTGAAGGGGAGCAATTATTTCTGATTTGGAAGGCGTCAGTTGGCTGCTGATAGGGAGGGCCAAGAGGGAGAGTAGAGAAAACGCACCCGCCATTGACATTGTTCACGCACCAGCCAAACGTGCCAAAGGTGACGGTCCTGCCACGAGTATTGCCGCCCAGTTCCACTTTGAGCAGCGCAAGGTCATCCACGACAGGCGCCGAGATGCAGGTTATGATGAGCAGCACGGTGGCCGAAAAGAGCAAAAAGGTGCCAATGTGGTGGAAGAACCCGGTTGTTCCCGCCATGGTCGAGTTCGTTTTGTTGATTAGGTCTCAGGGTCAAAGGGAGGAGTAAGGATAGCAAGCAGCAAGGACGCCAGACTGCACAGTACAGTACAGGTCGAGGACGCTCAATGTCAGGCAGCACAGAAGACGTTGCTTGTGAGAGCAACACCAAACAACCGTGAAGAGTGGAAGAGGTAATCCATAGCATGCAAGATCTTGTTATGTATCACATGGAATGACAGAGAAACAGGTTGGTGAGCCCAACATCTTGGACCAAGCCACACAACTTTTTCCTCTGGCGTAATGCGTCGCAGCAACGAGCGCTGATCAACGTCATCACGCGCTCCTTAGAATTTGGGGTGTGCGTGGTCGGCCAGGGCTTGGTTGTGGGCTCACTCCGGCCTGCGTCGATTGTTCGCGACGCCCAAGTAGGGGTCAAGATGTGGAAGCACAAGCTGGCGTGGAACCGTCACCAACCGGCATAGCTTGCGGTCGTATGTGATTGGCGGTTATGACGTAAACGTGGTTCGTCCAAGGTGCTTCGCTGAGGCTTGGCGTGCCGAGTTGCAGGGGTTGTTGCGGGTCCAGCCGTGCGCTGTTTCGGCTTGAGAACTTGGATTGCTCGGCTGTTCGGCAACTGCACATGTGCCGCCTTCATGCCAAACACCTGTTTGATGCGGGATTCAGGATAAGGATGCAAGTCTGCCATATCTCACAACAGTCCGGCCGTTTGGAAGCGAGTCAGTGCTCTGGTCAGAGTGCTGCTGCCGCCTGGTTTGGTTCCGGACAAAAACCCTCAAACACGCCCATGAGTTGCGCTGAGGGCGTGCATGAGTACCACGCAAGCAATTGGAACTCCATGTGGTCCGAGAGACTTTCTGTCCTGTGTGGGCAGCCTCAGCTGTGCCCTGCGTCAAGCTCCTCTGTTGCTATGTGCAACCTCTTCGAGGACTTGGCTCCAAGGCTATGATGCCTGTGGTTCGCCGTGAATGCCGAACAGAACAGCAGCCGGACATCAGAGGCTTTACGACTGCCACACGTCCTGCAGCAGAATGCTCCCTTTCTCTGCAGAGAGAGAATTGCTCACAGCCACGGCTGGTCCGAGGTGCAGCCAATGAAAAAGCAGCCGCGAATTTGTGGGCGTATGGCTCTCCGGGCCTCAACGGAGTTCGATGAAAGCGGGGTTTTGGCCTTTGGTCGACAGGAAGAGCGCGATCCGGTTGAGTAAGGTCGAGCTGAAGGGTCCGACTGCATAACCTTAACTGGCCGATACATCCGTCATAGCCGTCAGCCGTCGGCCATCCTACACTGGGTTCAAGAACGAGGTAAAGCGGTCTCTTAGTCTTTTCGGTCGAGCTCCTCGGCGTCCGACCGGTCCCTTGCTCTAGACTCCTCCGAGCTTTCGCCCGGCATCGACTCTCCAACAGCAGCGACGGGTGCCGCGCCCTCTGCCCCCTTCCTACCATCCTCCCCAATCATTCCCAGCTTATCCCCGTGTTTTGTATTCCAGAGCTCAACCAAACTCTCAAACCCCGAGGCGTCGTTGGCCTTACGGATGCCGCGGGCCTTCACAAAGTCGCGCTTGTCGCGGAGGGATGCCGCCAGATTGCTCTCGTCCTCGTCGGCCTGGCCAAAGCTCTCCCAATCGGCCAGGCCGTCCAAATCCAAGCCCTCGGGAACGGACCGGCGCAGCACCGCCTTGGCGACCGAGTCCGCTTGGAATATGTCGTCGTGCTGCGGCCAGTGGCCGTAAAGTATGGAAGAGCGGATGCGCGTCTTGTGCTTGTAGTCGAACTTTTCGGTGACTTTGACTAGGAATGTCCGGACCGATGTCGCTCCATTTGGCGGGTTTGTCGCGTTCGTTGTCAAGGGCTTGTTGTCGGCTGCGCTGAGGCTGCTACTAGTCTTGCCGCTTTGCTGCTGCGTGCGGTAGTCGAAAACGAAGGGGCTTTGCTCGATGAGCCTGCGGGCGGTTTGCGGAGTGTTGACGATGGAGATGAAATGAGAAGGGTCCTGCGGAACATGGTATGAGTGTGACATGTTGCGTGCATGGTAAAGTAGGGGACGGATTGAAGGTTTGAATGAAACAGGGACGAACCTTCAAGCGTTTGAAATATTCGACGTCGGCGTACTTCTTCAGCAGGTGAAGAATTGCTCGCCGCTCCGAGAGACTCGATGGTGCTGGCGACACCTTGACCAGAATTGTGCGCAATTTAGCAGACACCGAGGTATGAGACAGTGACGACATGGTTGTGAGCGAGTGTGTCGCGAGTGCTGTGGTTGGAGCGCACACAAAGCATGAGCTTAGTTCCGGCCCCTTGGCGTCCAGTGTCAAACCGAGTTTTGCTGAGATGTTGTGGGCTCGCTAAGCTTTCCATGTGGGACAGGTGGCACGGGTCGGGGTCCTTCTCTCCACATGTCCATCCAAAAGCCGACATCTAACACCGTGATAGTACTCGGAGCAGAGTTGCGCTCCTCTCATATTGCCGGTTCGTGTGATAATAATCAGTTTTGCGTCTTGCCTCGGCGCACTCCCTGTGAGGCTCAAACCATCGTTTAGTTTCTGAATGAAGAGACGTGTAGGTGGACTTTGGCGAGTCTTATCCTTGGCATCAAGAGCAAACGCCCATTCCGCCCGGAATCCGGACTCGGTAATTACCCCAGCAGGGAGCTGACAGCGATACACTACGGATATCAACCCCGACACGGAAAGGAGTGCTGAGTCAGAGAAAGGGGCTAACTGAAAGCCGAATCTCAAATTTGGTTTTCCTCGCGGCCTGAACAATTCAACTCTGGGATAAATCATCAGAGCGTGCCAACTGGGTCTGGACTCTGGTGCTACTTGGCAATGGTTCGACTTGCCTGCTCGCCTGTCAGGACACATGAGGGACGTGCAATGGCCGGGACTCGGAGCGCCAACACGGCATGTGGAGCAATACCAGACCGCCTGCCATTGGCCGCACGGATTGACCTGGCGTCCATGCGAGCAGCTGGCCCACCTAGCCCACAAAGGAGCCGACTGGATTCACCCCACCCTTTCCAAATTCCCAGTTCCCAAAGCGTCGGCACCAGCATCGCATCTGACTTTGACAAATCATGCGGGCGGCCGACAACCAAACCGTCGGGTGAGCGCCACGGTTGATGCCGGTCCCTCTTTGGTTTTTGCTCAGAGGTCTCTTCCCCAGATCGGCACTGCATGGCTTCATCAGTCTTCTATTCTCTAGCCACAGGCAGCGATGACCTTTGATTCGAAACGGAATTGGACCGCAGTTCTACACCTGAAAACTCATAGCGCTCTTCCTGGGCCACCCTGATCCCCGGGGTTCTCGCTCCGAGGACTCGGTTCGCCCGTCTGCAGGTTACACGCCCAATCACCGAATTTCGAGGGGCCATGGACCGCAAAGGGCACCACTTCGCAAGAACCTCGCATTTCACTCATCAAAAGTCTCGTCACAGCGAACGGTGTCTCTAGCGTGAGCGCGTAGCGCCGTTCTCCTCACCAAGACAACACCTTGCTCGACCGAGACTAGTTCGACGTTAGCCTGCGTCGTCTCGGCAAGGGGCCTTATTCTTCCTTCCCTTCTGTGCAACCTGGCGAGCTGCAATTCCACGAGGCACTTGCAGACAATCTTTTGCTTTTTATGCTCCATTCTGCCACTGCACACTATCGAGTATCGAAGACACGTCTGTCTCGGCGCAGTTGCCGTTGTCGGCGTCGGTTGTCACCCTCTCCTTCGGCACTTCGGCCGCCGGGAATTGAATGCACCCCGTCACTCACGCTACGCCTGACATTAGATCCTTCGCGTTCTCCATCTCAAGCAACTGTCGAATCTACCCTCACGCAAAGCACGCTGGTCTACCGTCCTTGCCGCCACGGCGCAAAGCGCATGAAGCACCGATGCCTCCGGGTTCGCGCCTGCTGTGCTTCCGATCACCATTTCCTGCTTCCTGTGCGACTGCGGCTCCCGCTGCCTCGCACATCCGCTGCCTTTCTGCGTCAGCCGGCTGCAGTCGGTCAGGCACGCTTATAGCTTGCCATGTATGCGCGCTCTGGCCCTGTGTCTGGGCCAGGCATCGCATGGGAAAGCAACAGCGATGGGATGCAAGCGCTTCCAGAAGGAAACGAAGAAAAAGCACAACCCGCGCCAATCCCGTCAAACGAGGAGTCCCAACAACAGCACGACCAGTACCAGCAACACCACCACCAGCAGCACCAACAACCACAACGCCAGCAGCGCCAACACCACCAACACCAATATCTCGGACAAGATGCAGATCCGATATCACAGCCTTACTCCGGACGACCAGCTAACACACCGTTACCTGAGGCGTCAGCCAAGCTGTCTCCGGAGCGGGCAGTGGAGAGACTGGCTCATAGGTTGAGCGAGCAGTACTTGCAATTGAGCTCGCCTTGTCACGACCAACTGCAGCATCAGCCAACGCCATCGTTACCGTCCTCGATACCCAGCCTGGTAACTTCCGAGTTGCGCGCCTTCCATCGTTGGGCCGAATCCGAGGTTCGCGGCCAACGGCAGCACCGCTTCTTGGACGCCAAATCCGATGACCATACCGTCCCATGGCTGCCGATTTCCCGCGGGGGTATTGGCGAGCCCATCGAGGTTGATGAGGCGTATCAAGAGAAGCTGGACGGCCGGCGGTTTTTGGATGTGAGACGGCCTCGACGGCAAACGAGCGGTCAGCTCGGAGGCTCTTCCAGCACACGCCCGGTTGACCGGCGCTTGGAGGCGATGATTGCCAGCGGGACCCAGTGCAACGTGCACAGCGAGCCTCGGCCGACACCAAATCCGTCAAAACCAACATCCAACATTGCAATCGTAGCTCAACCAGCCTTCATTGAGCCCGATCCCGACTGCGCCATGCCAACCCTGAAGGTGGAGGTCGACGACGCCAATGCGGGCGGCGTATTGGGACCTTTGGGCGATTTGGCCGACGAGGGTATCTCGCTGCGTTATGCGAGCGGCCCTGGAGGCGTCAGAAAGTACACGGTCGAGGGCTTTGCCCTGCGATACCGGCTATCAGCGGATGTCGCGCTGCGCTGCGCCAACGTTGTCCGCAGCCGACCGAGGATGCGTAGGAGACACAAGAAGGCGAACGAGAACACCGGGTCTCCGGCGGTCATGTCGGCCGTTTCTTCTCCCGCCATGTCGTCGGCAGAGTCGCCGTCTCTACCCCCTGCACGTCTGCCGCCGCAAAAATATCTTTGACTAAAGCATTTTGTGTTCACCTTCTTAATTTGGAACAGCACATAATACCCCGTGCTTGCTGTCCGGCTTGCACAGTGCAGGTTGTTGGCCTTCAGACCACATTGGGAGTTCATACGGAGTTCAAAACCGGGAAACAGCCTGCTTCGGGCGGTGCAAGGTTGCATATCTATGGAACATCTAGGAGTTTTGCGGTTTTGCATACACGGGGAATGTCTTCTTTTCTTGACTGGGAGGCGCCGGGCGGGATAGAACTGAACATGGCAAGCCATCACTGGCCGAGGGGTCATTTCACAAAGCCATTTATTATTTCTGGAGTTATGGCTTTTACACTTTCAAGAGTCGGGGACAAGCAGTACACTCTGCAACAATGTACAAAGCAGCATACGTGTTTTAAACAAGGGATATGCATCTCATCCATGATGGCAGGGCGCAGGACCCCCGTCGCTTTTCTGTTTGCTTGTGACTCACCACCGCAATCCGTCCCTGAATATACGTCTGTTTGCTTGTCAAGGGCCCGTGCAAGGGATAACTGGCGGCAAGCCAACCTCTATTTAGCATTGGTGAGCACTCAGCCTCGATCACTTACCCGTCGGTCATTTTCATCCTCACCTTGCGCCATCACATGATGTTACAGGATTAGTCCACGCGATCCACTGGTTGCTTGTTTCTCTCGAATGTTTGTCTACGTCTGTGCCAACACAGGGAGGATTCTCGGAGTGCCGGAGGAAGCAGGCTCTGAGGGGGGAGGGAAAAGGGTTTCCACACCTTTCCGAGTCCTGCATTCCAATCGCCTGGCCATCGCTCTGTGCTCAGCAACGGACTTGACTCGGCCAACCCCGCCAGGACGTCGAGCCCAACAAAGATGTCGGCGCGTTCTTTGTTCAGTCGGAGAGGGCAACAGATCACCGCCCCGTCAGTATTGGCACCCGGGTCATGTTGATCCGGGGCGTGTGTGGCCAGATGTGCAGGAGGGTGTTCGTGGCGAGTCTGGAATGCGAGATCTGGCCCCAGGCGACCCTCCCATTCCTCGGCGGGATCAGGGGTGCATGCATGGACGAGACCTCTGTCTACAAATGTCTTGGATAACCCCTCCTCTCGCCTCTGCGCACCACACCTTCTGTTGCCGTGGCATGCTGAATGGATTGTTGACTTTCGGCCCGCCCCCTTCACCTATCCCAACCACGCCCCCGGGCGACCATCATGGCACCTTGGAGCAACAAACAACAAACGACACGCACACCACACCATCATAGCATATCCCGACAGCGCGAGCTATCAGTTACAACCTACCATCACAACGACTTGTGGCCTACGAACAATGGCGAGTGTCCAGGGCATGCCTTTCACGCCCAGCGGGCTGCCCTCCTCGGCGAACAAAGAGAAGGGCGCCTTCTGCTTGGAGGCGGGGTCGTCCGACTTCTTTGATGAATACGTCGACCTGGACGAGTCAGACGCCGGGTCTGCCTCTGGAGGGGCTGGCGGCCTTGGCCGGTTCTACGGTGCTTCAAAATATTGCATGTCGCCACAGTTTTCATTTGTTGGCCAGATGCTGGCCTTCGATGGAGCTCAGGAAGCTGGAGCTCAAGGCCACTTGTTCTCGGCAGAGAACATCAACTGCAGTGGTCCCCCTTCCAACTCGGCAGCGAGACCCTCCCCACAGCGACCTCAACAAGCACACCCTCTCCACCGAACCACGTCCGACATGGCGGCCTTAAGCAATCCCAACATCGAGATCCACGGGCTGCCCTACCACAGCTTCAGCGAGGCGTGCGGCGGCGGCTCCATCTCAGATTCGGAGCTGGTCAAGCTTGAGGGCCTGACAATGCGGTCCCGCATCCACCTCCCGCAGCTGTCCGCGCCGGAGCCCGCGTCACCACTGCCCAAGTCTACGAGCCCTCGCAAGGCCGGCCGGCTGAAATCGGCCTGCAATAGGATCCGTGACGTGATGACGCTGCATGGGAAGGTGAAGCAGGCGCAGAACAAGTCGGGGCCGGATTCGCTCTCGGTCCCCGTCATGTCGACGGCCCAGATGGAACCTGCAAGGATGTCTGGCCGGCCCCGGCCACGAAACCTGCAAATCACCAAAGCCGAGTTGCCGTCGCCGCCGCTCACCAGCGGCTTGCCGCACGACACGCAACAACCAGGTGATGGCGGCGGTGCGGCCATCGTCAGCGGGTTGCTGGAAGCTCTTTACATGGCTGAGGGGCTCGCCCACGGCCAGTTTGTACGACTCGCGCAATTGAGCGGCGGCGCCATGCCACAGACGCCGGTGTCGACACCCCTTATGAACAGCTGGCAGCTGCCCATGTCGACGTCGGACGGAAAGACGCTCTGGGCAGCAAACCCTTACCTCCCTGGCGTCAATGGAGACATTGGGAATTCTATATGGGACTCCTCCATGTACCCGATGGACACCAACGTCCTCGGCCCGTACCACGCCGTCAACGGCTTCAACGCCTCCTACAATATGAGCACGCAGCTGCAGCACCAGCCGAGCTACGAGTACCCCTTGCCGCCGGGAGCTGCCGACACCAACGCCGGCTTCACCACCAACGGTCAGATGATCCATATGCCGCAGCCACAGGGTGTTTCGCCGGCCGTCTTGCACAGCGACACAACCTCCCACCGCCCAACCCGCGCAGACCACCACCGCCGCCCCAAACCCCGAGCGCCCTCCGCGGGCGCCCGGCATCTGCAGTACGGCCCGGGCCTATCCCCTCACAAAGGCCGTACGGCAAGCGGCAGCGGCAGCACCAACGCCAACCGCATTGCGTCCGTGTCTCCGTCGCCCAAGCCGGCGACGGGGGCAGCGGCGTCCCTCCACCGCCGCAGCGCGTCCCTGCAGACCCTCAATCAGCCGCCCTGCTGCCTCCCCACCGACGGCCCGGCCTCGTCCGCCGCAATCCGCAAACGCCGCAGCTGGACCGGCCGCCGCACCTCGTCCTCGTCCTCCTCCCTCCACCACCAGTACCGCACCTTCGCCGTGACCGCGGCGCGGGCCGCAAGCCCGGCTGCTGCTGCAGGTTCGCCCTCCCGCAGACGCACAGCAAGCACCATCACCACTACATCATCATCCTCACGCCCCGTGTCAGGCTGCTGCCTCCCCTCGTCCTCCTCCTCATCCTTTTTACACAACAACAACAGCAAACGACGGTCCTCTCAACACCATCACCATCCCACCGAAGAACAAGAACACGAAGAAGGAGAGGAAGCTTTCTCCTCCTGCGAAGCAAGTAAAGCCGACGACGACGGCTTCGTCAACTACACCGCGCGCGACAGCAAGGTCCTCATGACGGGCGTCGCGCCGAGCGGCAGCTCCAAGACCAAGGAGCGGCGGGAGAAGGCGGCGCGGTTGAGGGAGTTGGAGAAGGAGCGCGAGATTGAAGAGAGGGTGAAAGCGAGGATACTGCTTGAGAAGGCTTCTTCTTCTTCTATGGGCATGGATATGAGCGATGGAGCGGGGGGAACTTTCACTAGGCTTGGGTTTGGTACTAAGATGGAGACTGGCGGTGGGATGAATGTTGACTCGGGTGGTGTTGTGGGTACTAGTAGTATTGGTATGAGAGGGGGCGTGATGAGGGAAGGGCAGGAGGTTGGGGTTTAGAGGGTGTGCGTTCATTTTGTTGGGGTTTTTGGGTGTAGGTTTGATCCACCGTATTTGGTGTGTGTTTTCAATGTTCTCTGGGGAAAGGCTAGAAGGGCTGCTGTTTATGGGGTGTCTGGAACCTTTGGTTGGACTGTCCAATGGGGGTTTGTATTCTCTACCATATGTTTCAACAGCTGTATTGGTAACAAGGGGGGAAAGAGGACGTAATGATGCAGGATATGATATGTGAAATGAGGTTAAGATAGGCAGGGAACAAAACGAAAAAAACGAGAAACGAGGGGTTGGGTTGGGATTGGAGTTGAGGGCCGGACTCGTTGGTCAGTTGTTCTGAGTTGATTCTCTGTCTGTCATGAGTTAGTCACACTCTTATCCCTTCCCAACCTGGGTCAGATTATATTCTGCTATCACTTGTACTCGTTTAGTGAGCATCAAGACTTCAGTTCAAACGGCCTGAGTTACATGGCCCATGTGACATTGTCTCCGAGGGCATCAATCTCCTGCCCAGATAAAATTGGCACTGAAAAGCATCAAGTTCATATGGAAGGTTGTGTTGACACTGATACCAGTCCCAGAGTATATGTAAGAGGCCCACGTCGTCCAAGTCAACCGAGCTTCCTCCTGCCCCCGGGCAGTGGCCTAGCGGTATGAAGCAACCATGTTAGTATGAGCTCGCCAGCTCAACGTTCCGGATCGTGGTGTCTCTCTCGAGAGGGCGCGGGCTCGAACAGAGCCAAACAGTACTGGTTCCAGCTGATGTAGCAAAACCTTGTACTCTTCTCCATCTCCAACTCCCACACCTTATTCTCTGCCGACTGCCTGGCCGCCCGTTCGCTCCTCGTTCCTGGCAGAACACGACGCTCGGTTGACGTCCCTGCTCCTCAAAGACACACATTTTGAGGAAAAGCGCAAGTTTAATTCCTGAAATTGAGGACACTCCACCATCTACTCCGCAGACGGCCTCGATGGACTTGTCAGGTTCCAAAATATGCCAGTTCCGCCCCCAAAGCTCCGTCAAAACAGAACCTCAATCACAGTCCGTTATCTAACGCTGAAAGCAGCCAACAAACGCAACGGTAGACCATGGCTCAGTTGCCCGATACTCCCTCGGATCCATAGTTTTTTACTCGAAGGCGCAAGAATATCTTGATCCTTTACCTTACTATTGAGCTATTCCGGACCGCGAACTCCTTCAGTTCCCACTATACTCCCTATCACCTTCTACCCAATTTCGCGAACACGGACCAACACCAGAGCCAACACCATCACCGCCAAGCCGCCACATCAACCCCCCTTCCGCTTCCACCAAGCACATACGACCATAGGCGGTAGAAAATTCGGGATCCCGTCCGCTCTCCCCTCGACAAGCTACCGACCGCCGAACTAGTACTCAGGTCGGTGACGACTGGGGAATCCTCGGTGTTGTATGTTTTTTTCTCGCCCTCCTTTTCGTCTCCCCCCTTCCCCCCTTTTTCATTTCTGGCTCAGTTGCGTCTGTCTTTCCGCCTGTCCCAAAATTCTCCATGTAGGCCGTCAACAACAAGAAACAGCCTACCATGTGAGCACTCGCATCAGCCAGCATGCAAGCGACACTCACCCACACAGATAATTCCAAGTATTCAACTCGGCTGAATTAACTTTACTTTGATACACAAAACCAACCCAGCCCAACCAAAACCCACAGTCAGCCAGCCCGAACCGAAAAAAGAAAATAAAAAGAATTAAGAAAAAAAAGCCAGTCAAATCCACCTGGCTCCGCAGACAACCCCAAAGAACGCACGCTTCTCCCCGCGCTCCGCTATGCCCATTGCCAACGAAGCCCATCTTCACAGCCCAGCTGACGGATCCTCCTGCTAGGGGCACCACCCATATATACACCACGAAACTCATGTGTGACGAGGTATGTTCTGTATCTTCATCTCAAGGAACCAAAAACAAGAACGAACACAACCGAGTCCATAAAACGAATATAGAGGGTAGGTAAGAGAAGATAGAGTCCTTGACTTTGTACCGCTCCATCCCAGGACCGAGCTGCATCTACCCTGACGCCTTTTCATGCCTCCGGTAAAACGAGAGGAGAAAGTGGAAGCAAAAAGGCGTAGTGTTCCCACCACTGCGCGTGAAGTCGTCTGTATCCGACGACAATCCATTCCGTAGAAAAAAGGTTTGACGAGCACTTGTTTGTTTGTTTTGCCTGTTCAAGCGACTCCGCCTGCCACGAGAGCCAGAGATGGGCTGGTGTTTTCGTACCGACCGACCGAATATACAAAGACAAAAAACTCCGTGTCCCATTTATCATTATGTTTCAGATGCGGGCTCGATGACCCGGCATGGTTCATCGTGTGGTGGCATCCATGACTCAATCGTAGCCGGCGCCACGTTGCCAAGGGCTAAATAGAACGAGTCAGTGTCACGTGCTGTCACGAAGAAAGAGTGAGCTAGAGCATACCTAGCATTATTCTGCGCCCTGAATGACGCGCCATAATTGTTTGGCGCCCCAAACGGACTGGCAGGTCGCTGTTGTTGCGCACCAAACGGACTAGCCGGCCGGTCATTGTACCGTGGCGGACTGCGCGGGTTGTCGGCAGGGAACAGCGGCATGGCGGGGGACGCGGGCGTTCGCGGCCGGCTGCCGGCGTATCCCGTCGACATGGAAGACGGGGCAGCCGAGGGCACACCCAGCCGCTCAGTCTGGCGGCGCAGCGAGTCCGAGCTGATGGACTCGGCATCGTCGTCGAGATCCAGACCGCTCTTGGAACCGTACTTGTCGCCGCGGGCCGTGGCAGCGAGGGCGTCGAGTTCCGTCGTCGTCGTGAGGTGCGTTTGCGACTTCATGAACGAGGTCCTGTCGTCGGCCATGATCTGGTACCGGCCGTCGGGGTTCTCGCGGAAGAAGACAAAGACGGTGCTCAGAATGAGCATGATCAGCAGGATCAAGGCAAAGACGGCGTTGGCGATCCACAAGACGACGCCGACGACGCCTGTGACAAGGGGCGGCTGGTTGAAGACCTCGGTCATGATCATGAGGAAGATGGAGTTGACAAAGTTCATGGCGCAGATGGCGATGTTGAACGAGTTAGTCTTCTTGTCCATCCACGGGCGCAGCACGCTGGCGGCGATTAAGGCGGCAGCCTCCAGGATAAGGAAGCCGACGGCCTGGATGGTCCCCTTGCTTTGGGCGAAGGCCACGAACATGGCCTTGACCAGCGTATAGCTCAGCACAGGAACGATAAAGTAGTAGGCGGAGGCCCGGAACTGGACGTAAAGGAAGCCCCACTTGTTGAGGGCCTGGGGGTCGGAAAACAGGATGTAGGCAGGGTTGTGGTGCATGGTAACGGAACGGCGAGCAATCATGATGACCTTGAACGCCGCCCATCCGAGGGTCACAGTCATGCCAACTAGGAAGAAGACGGCCAGGACGACCTCGGCGGCCGAATCCTTCTGGGTGAACTCCCAGAGGCAGAGGATTGTCATCTGGGGAAAGCCGATAAGGGTCAGACGGAACAGGATGCCCTTCAAGACCGTGAGCCAGCCGTTCCGGAACTCGAGGAACCTGTCGTTGGGCATCCATCTGTTCTTGACAGCCACCTCGCAGAAGCCTTTGAAGGCGGCGACGGCGGCGCAAGTGAAGATGACCAGCAGGCAGAAGAAGACCAGCCCAGTCATGAACAGGTTGGTCGACTCGATACCCGCGCGGAACGCTACACGCTGGATGCCGAACACAATGTAGCTCCCCGAGCTCGTCTGGATGTTGGCGCGTTTGATCAAGTCCCGCTTCATAAGATCTGACAGGGGTTCCACGATGGTCCTGGGCATCATGGCAAGAGAGCGTTTCGCCAAGCTCATGGCGCGTTTCTCAACCTGAACCGAGACGGTCGTCAAAGAGTCGAAGATGTTGGACGGTGTGCCGCCAGTAGCGCGCTGATACCAGGTGAAGATGTCCTGCATGAACTCGAGGTGGATGATGCCCATGCTCCATTGGAAGTCCTGGGTCCAGGACATGACCACAGGAGGCAAGGGCACTCCGGTCAGTCCAATCATAGCTTGGGCTTGGAAGTAGCTAAAGAGCGAGAGGGCATTGGCGGCAACGTGGGCAGCGGCGTTCTGGTGGCCCAAGCCCGACACGATGGCCGAAGACACCAAGGCTAGGCCGGCAACGATGGCGGTGGCCCACTTGACACCGAGCAGATCGACCGTCTTGCCGTTGGAAATGTCGGCCTCGACGCACGCGACGCTCTTGCCGGCATCCTCGCCGTCGGTCCTGTTGATAAAGACTCTCACCTTGGCGTCGAGATCCGGGAAGGTGTAGGCAATCGAGGGAATCTGGCTGATGGCGTCTTTTCCGACGGCAAGATTGAAATTGAGGGGGATCTTGCCGGCCGTCATGGGGCACAGACCGGCGAGACCGGCGTCGCAGGGGTTCACTTCCTTTCTGATGATTTCGTAGCCGTACGCCCTAATGGAGACGTCGAAGACGACGCTGCCCTGCACTGACGAGACGGCAACAATGTCGACATTTGCTGTGTTATTGTTTGGTGTAAAAACAACCTTGAACAGACTGGCTGTGAAGCCCGAGTTTTCCTGGCAGGCGTTCAACGAGTTCGACTGGAGGATGGGCTCGGCGAGCGCTGGAGCGGCGAGGGCCGCAAGTAATGCCACAGCCGCGAGCGGCTTTGAAAATAACCATCGCATATTGACAAGAAGATCTAGGCGCCGGAGTCAAGGATCGGTGTGCCGTCCAGTCCTGGGCGGAAGTGAAGTCGGTAACTAATCGGCCAAACGGTTTGTCGAAAGCCGCGCTGTTCGGTCGGCCCGTCGCGATCCTGCGCCTCGAGCGAAAGAGTTACGGGAACGGGTAAACGAGGCGCTGCCGGTGTGCGTTGAATAGAAGCGGATGATGTCTGGTTAGTGGTAGAAAAGCGAATGTTGGGGTCGTTGTTGGGAGTCGTCGTTTCGAGTTGCGGCAGGGGAATGAAGCGAGTGAAGTCTGCCGACCGGAACCAGGTGCCCGTTCAATCTGCAGTTGTGAATATTTCAACTCGGGTTTGCAGGCGACAGAGAGGAAGAACCGGTCCCGCAAGCATGGAGTGCAGGTTTTGTGTTGAAGATGGGCAATCAGGTCGAAAGAGTTGAAGGAGTGGACGGCGGAAAGCCTCAGGTGTGTGTGGTTTGATCTCTCTTGTCAGGTGTCTGATGCCGGGGAAGCGCTGCGTAATGAGCGACAAAACCAGGGACACGGGGTTGGGGGCTGTCGACTGTCGAAAGTCTGGCAGGGGCGGCTGCCAAGTACCGCCAGTTAGTACAGGGCGGGAAATGAGATGAACCTGTTAAGGTGCACCCACTATGCACTGCAATTTCTCTACGAAAAGCAAGTACACCGTAAATGACAGGTATTGCACCCGCTCAAAAGATTAACATCTGCACTTGCTGATCCGAGTCCTGAGACAAGTGCCGAGGGGAGAGACGGGAAGCCCGTAAAACCACACACTCTCTGAGTCCGCTGACCTCGTCTTTTCATCGGAATACCAAGCTCTGGGCTGCCTGGCAACTTCAGTAGGATATCTTGGCTGCGAGAAACGGTAACCGCCAAGCGTGGAAAGTACGTGTTCAGTTGCTCCCTCTGTGTCCTCCGGCTGGCTGCGACACCTCCATTGTCCCTGAAGAACTGAAGCTCAGGGGCGGCGCCTATGCGTCCCCGTCTTCGGCCCTTGGGTGCAGCGCCGCCTGTTAGAGATCACCCCTACGCCTATTCTTGCCTCCCCAGCACTCGCACTTTTGAAATATCGTGTTGGACGTTTCGAAGATCGGGTACACAATGTTTTCGCTAAAGCCATCGAATCCAGCTCTCATTACACATCCAGCTCGATTACCGAACGCGCGTATCCTCCCTAGCATCAACCAAATACGGGGGCTCGGGGGCGATAAGTTCGGGCTGCACAGCCCCCTTCTGCTTTCCCCTTGTTGCAATGAGACCCTGTCCCAGCCGTCGTGTCGGGATCTGGGCGTCAGGGACAAAGGGTCCACGGCTTCCATCCGACTGGAATCTGCGCGACAGTGACAATTTTCCACCCACCCGAGCCAGTTTTCCTCAGTCAGGGCTGGAGAGAGCCAGATTCAATACTCCAACCATGTCGTGGGTTTCCAACCGCTTTGTTGTGTGAACAGTCCCTCTTCGATTCGGAGCGGGCTTCCGTGTTTCCTCTGCATTACCCAATCAAGACAGCATCGAACCTCCTCAACCAGGGCACAGGAGTGCCAAGATTTGTCCCGATTAACAGCTGCACAATCCCTTTAAGACTTGAACGACGTCAGTTTTCTCAGTCTCTGCACCAAAAAACTTGATTTTTTAACCCTTTTTGCCGTGGGGTTGGGCTGCCAGGTCAGATCTGTCTTGATCCGCCGTGGGCGCGAGTCGTCGCAGCTGATCGAATGGCTCTTGAGTCGCACTATGCGAAACCTCCCGTCGTTCCATAGGCCGCGCTTCGTTACATGGGATTCCGTTAACATACAGGACGTCCCGCGTGCCTAGGGTATGGTGAAGGAATGACACATGTCCTTTGCAGGAGCCAAGCCTGAGCTTCTTCCAACCTCCCAAGCCAAAAACAGAGGTTGCTTGGCCATGGCCTAAATGATCTTGTTTGCTGTCGACGTCATGGATCTTCTGTTGTTTCGGGTGTCGGCTGGTATATACACGTGGTAGATCTTCCGAGACACATTGCTGCATGTGCCAGGCCTCGCGACCTACCATAGTACTTAGTGATGTCATTCATTGACAATTACACTCACTTTAAATCACCAGCTTCGATGGGACAGTTGGCGCGAATGGGATATAGACAGTACCAACACCGCCGTAGAGTCCGGCCCAAAAGGGCTGAAAGAGAAGGGGGAAAACCTGCCGAAGTGACATTAGTGAACGAACCAAAGAGCGCAAAAATTCAGGTACAGGCCAGCATGGGAAAGACCAGCAATAGAATGCAGCTCAGCCAATCTCACGCACAGTACAATAACATGAGCAGCAACCGAAAGGCACACCAGCCCACCGCAAGGTCACACAGCCCACACTGTGTTAATTGATCCTTCTGCGGGCGACCGTCTATACTTTCTCAATGCCGCACACAGTTGTGGTGTCAATTGTTAGCTCAGCAACCGGGTGACAAAACAAGCTGTACTCACAATCGAAGCATTCCCCACACCCAACAAACCTGACATTCGCATCCAACACCAAGATACACCTAAAAAGCCAAGGTCATAGGCACCATTTCGTTTCTTGAGAAGCGGAATATTCCTCACTTCAAGTCGCGCGTCTTCAGGCATTTTGGTGTTAGCCAGCGGCAAGGTTGGGAAATCGTCCGCCAGCAGCGCAACCAACGTAACCTGCAAGATGAGCCTGATCATCCCGACCTTGAAGAAACACACGGCCGGAAACGGATTCTTATACCCGACGACCTATATACGATGGAGAAGCCGATCTGGGAATACGGCTTCGAGGCTCGAGTTCTTTCCTGGTAATCGCTAGCCTACGAAGCAGGCGTTGCAACTGACGTTTGCTGACGAACGATTCAACGGGCACTTGGCACGCTCGGTTACCGTAAATGTATAGCGTGCCGGAAGGGATGGGTCTCGCAAGCCACTGCTAAAAAGCGTCTCAAGGCTGCAACTATAGCTCTTCGGGAACGCCCAACTCCTCAGCATTGGCACGATATCCGGTGGTCCGACGAGGTACATTTTTCTCTTGGACCTAAGGGCCGGGCTGTGATCATTCGGAAGCCTGGTGAGCGGCACTGCCCAGATTGCATTCAAGAAGCTCGGGAGCCGGAACCAAAGTATCTTAAACGACTTCACGCCTGGGCAGCGATCGTGTGGGATTTCAAGTCAGAACTCTACTTCTACGAGGTCCCAGGGAACACGAACGGGAAGATGTCGATGTAAGTATATCGGGACGAGATCCTTAAGAAGGTTGTTGGTTCCCGGCTTGCGCTTGGCGATCAGTTTGTTCTAAAGGAAGACAGCGACTCTGGACATGGTACGGGCAAGAAGAACATCGTCCGAGACTGGAAGCAACACAACGGTTTGAGATACTTATTCAACACACATGGATCCCCAGACCTCTCTCCAATTGAGAATGCGTGGAACGCCGTCAAGCAGTATATAGCTAAGTTCCCGACGTGGACTGAAGAGGAGCTTCAGAGCCCAGCGATCGAAGCGTGAAATGTGCTATCCTAAGAGTCAATTGCTCAGGTAGCTAGCTGTCCTTGATGTGTGAATGGTTTCATGTCAGTTCTTCTCAACCGATGAGGCAACGCGTGGCCTAGTCATGCAGAGCAAGAACCTTCCCACACACACTCCAGGTACCCCATAGCACATAAAACTCTCAATCCAGCTACCCCGTAGCACATATAACTCTCGTTTGAAGTGCGCTTCAAGCTGTGCGCCTGTTTGTAAGCAGTTAGCACACTGCCTTCTCCAGCGAAGACAGTTGGACCTGGACGCCAAACAACAAAATGACAGTGGCCAGAAGGCTTTGCTATACCAGCAAGATATCCGCCAAATTCAGGACGCCTTGCAAATGCCCAGGAGCGCACCCCGCCTAATGTTACTCAAAGCCACCTAACCTCGGCCTCCTCCCACGGCTTCGTCGCCCTCGAGTAGTCATACCCGACCTTGTACCCGCTCAGCAGCTCCTCCTCATCGACGCCGCAATGGCTCTGCCCGTCGCGGCCTTGGAACCATCCCAAGCCGTACGTCTTGCCGCGCTCCTCCAGCCATCCGACCATCTCAGCACTGCTGAGCTTAGCCGTGCCGACAAACCCGTACAGCATCTTGCTCTGGTGGATGTACGCCAGGACGCTAGCAATCGTGTTGGGCTGCCGCGGCAGAAACACGCGCCCACGCCGGACAAACACCCACCCGGCCACGACGCCCATGTACAGCAGGATGGCGACGGCCAGGGCCAGCGACACCCAGAAGCTCGGCACCGTCTCCATGCCGCCGACCTGCAGCGCTCCTCTGGCGTGGGTTGTCTCCCCATTCCGACCATTCCCATCACCACCACCCACCCCCTCTACGGCGACGAAGTTGATTGATCATTATGATTACCCCTCCCCGCCAAGCCCAAACCGTCAATAAAACCCCTCCCCTCCACCGTCACAAGACTAGTGACCAACACAGTCAAAACCTCAACCACCACCGTCCCCATCCCGACCCAAAACACAACCCAGTGCCGGTTCACCAACCCCTTGACGGCCACCCACCCAAACGGCATAGCCGTATAATCCAGACACAGCGTCCCGGCTGGCGCGTGTCGCCTTGAGAGGATGTAATACGGCTCCATGAGCCGGACATCCGTCTCCAGCGCGGCCAACGAGAGTTTGATGACGACGGCGAGGGCCGTGACAAGCCAGGGGGCGCGGTCGGTGAGGGCGGTAGCGCCCGGGGTGAACAGGATTATGAACAAGAGGGCGGTGAAGAGGAGGATGAGAGCCAAGAAGGGGACGGCGCCGAGGGGGCGGAGCATGAGCGGATGAGGGTTAGCTGAGAGGTGGTTCTTGGTGTACCGCTGGTCGTCGCCAGCAAGGCTGGGTGGATGGAGGGAGGAGGAGGAAGTGCTGGTAGTGGTGGAGTCATCTGGCGCGAGCGCCGAGTTGCGCAGGACATAGCGGCGGTGGGACAGCTTGGCGTGAATGTCCTGGTGACTAGCCACGTCCATGTCTTTGAAGTCCATGAGGATGCGGCTGACGGTGGCCATGGAGGCGAGCCCCGCGATGCCCTTGACGTCGGCGAGCAGGCCGGAGCGGCGGGTTTGTAGAAGGTAAAAGAGGATGCCGCCCAGGACGGCAATGGTGGTGAAGGTGACGGTCAGCAAGCGGGACCAGATGTGATGAACGAGAATATGCTTCTCGATGCTAGGGATTCGCAGGCGGGCATTGCGCTCGGGGGCGAGTACGAGGGAGGCGGCGCCGAGTGTGGGGGCAAGGGTGTTGGCAAGCAGGCTGGCGACCGACGACACGGCGACGGCATAGTGCCGGTATCGAAGGGCCCGAATTGGGCGGAAGAGGTTGAACTGGGTAAGGTAGTCGACGTTGAGCGACTCGGCGGCAAGAGCGCCGCCCTCCTTGGAGAGCTGGTAAAAGGGTTCAAGGCGCATGACCTCAAAATTGGTGATTTGCCAGAGCACACCGTAACAGACGGTAACGATCATGGGCAGGAACTTGACGGCAAAATACTCGGCAGTTGGTATCTGGGATGGCGAGTGGAAGCTGACCAGCGGGATGTGGGTGGACGATTGGTAAAGCCCCTCAACGCCAGCTCCGAGTCCGAGGGACAGGATGACCAGCAAAAGGAGGTACGGCCATGTCATGGAGAAGGGCCTCCAGTTGGGCTGCGAATAGAAGACAGTAGCCGTGGCCGTCCTGGTCGGGAAGGTCGTCTGCCCCATGACGAACGGAGCTGGCTCCTCTTGCTTGTGACCCGAGACCAGGCTGATATCAACTTCGGAGTGCGATGGGACTTCCTCCATGACCACCTCAATCACCTCGCCGCGCTTGTTGGCCTCCTTCTGGCCCAGCTACTTGACCGTCTCTACTCGGCTCACAGGTCTCCCAGCCCGCGAGAACCTTCGACTGCTAGGCCGCTCGGCCACTAAGCTCGTTGCCAGCAGAGCTGACTCGGTCAGCGTCGTGTCGGTCTTAATGCCGTGGCCCAGACCGCCCGTCAGCTTCCCGTGAGCCTCCTGCTGCTGTTGCGCACTGATGAAGGCCTCGTCGGCTTGAGTTATCGGTCCAAGGGCACTGGTCAAATCGAAAAAGACTTGATCTGAGGCTACACGAATGCTTGACTTCTCGTTCTCGCCGGCTATTGGAGCAGCGGACTTGACCAGGCCCAGGTCGACGCCGTCCTCCTCGGGAATAACTTCGTGGCGCCTGTGGGCATAGTACCGGCCTTGATCGTGAAGCACCGACGCGTCGGTCGAAGATATTGGCGAATAACCAATACTGGAGTGGCCAGTCAAGGTTGTCCAGCCGGCTGTCGGACTGGCATAAACATAGCCTTCATTTTCTATACCGTGAATGAGGCCAAAACTAACGGCATGGGTCGTCTGGAGGGAGCTGAGACCTGGCCGGGTTTGAATTGGAGGTTCTGTCGCGACACCGTCAAAGCTGCCGAGGTCCGCCAAGTCAGACACGGTCGATATCCTGCTGAAGGCGCTGAACCCGGTAGCCGAGCGGAGCGGCGGCCGTGGTTGAGAAGGGTAGTGGTCCATTTCGAGTGCTATAAAATGGTCTCACTGACTTCTTTGTGAGGATGAAACACGAGACGGCGAGACAGCAGTTGAACAGCCGACTCCAAAGGAGCAACACTTGGGAGAAATCAGAACGCGATCAAGACCCAAGAGAAGAACAATCTCGGCTCTTTGGTGAGAACGAGCCGCCCAGCCCACATGGGGAAGTCTACCACACTCTGGGGCCCTTAACTCAGCGAGGGGTACAGTAGGTCCTGCAAGAGTGCGGCTGAGGATGGATGGCATGGTTAGGGGTAAGGGCAGACGATGTCTCTGCATGGTCGCAACTTTAAACAGCAGAGGCATTTAGCGAATAGCCGCCAAAAGGGCTGAAGAGAGGGTCTCGGCTTCGCTCTTGGCGCCATGAGCCGGCGCCGAGCGCATGAGACGATGCCCCTTCTGCCGCACTGCTTAGAATGCAGCCTCCTTTGTTCCATCGTCTGTCCCTCTCGGTCGCTCCGACCAGGCACGATCCAGACGCTCGAGGCCACGGCTGCCCAACGCAGGCCAAGAGGCAAGGCCACGATATCGCCGGCCACCAGTCCTCAGACGTGACTGGAACCACTGGATGGGAACAGCCGGCGTCTCAGCAGCCGAGCCCGGCATGGTGTGTAGCCGAGCCTGGCCTGGCCATGTCGTCTGGGCCAAGCTGCACCGAGAGCGCCATCTACTCCCTGAGCCCTGCCCGGTGTGAGAGTGTGGCGAAGCATGGGTTTGATCCAACGTGAAATGCACAGGAAACGCTCGCTTCCTACTCGAATGATTGGAGGTGATATACCGTCGGGAGAAGAGCCAGGCCTCCGATGAAACGACAGACATATTCGACACGAGAAGTCGTAACAAGAGGCACAAAAATGGGATTTCGCCTAAGAATAGGCGGCCTAGAGCATTTCGGGCTTAGTAGCCTCGCTCCGGCGCTTCCCCGCCGATCTTCCCGCCAAGCCGAGCTCATGCTCGACAGCCTCTTGTCGTTTCTGGGGCCACGAATTGCATGGTTGCAAGACTGGATGACGCGATGCTCGATTTCGCAAACCCAGATGCCCAATACCAACGAGTTTTCTCATTGTAGAGAACCCTCGCGAAACTCGGTGGAAATGCGCGTCTGGCCCGTGATTGCAGATCCCATGTTGTCTTTCCCGACTTGGACGAGGCGGCCAATCAGAGAGAGACACAACTGGCATATGATGTCATGGGCAGCTGTGTGTGGCCGTCGCTGGCCTTGAGCTCCCCAAAGTCTGCAAAAGGCAGTCATTGTGATAATTATACAATCCGACTGATATTCGGCCCGCCCTCTTGGTTCTTGCGTTGCATTGCTATCTGCCACAATTCGGTCCAGACCCTCCATCACAGCCCTTAAAGCAAACTGCACGCTCGGCTATCTTGACTTTAGTACTTGGGTTTTACCCCTGACTGCCCGATATGGACAGCAAGGAACTGATTAACGAACACAAGCACATCAAAGTAAGTTTGTTGAATTGGCATTGGCAGGAGAGTGCTGAGTGCTGACACCAGGCGCTTCCTCCAGCAAGGCTTTGTCCTTGCAACCCTCATCTCCACCGTTGCCGGCACCTTCATCACCAGCCTCAATCTCTATGATCGCCTCATCGAGCAGCGCAAGCAAAAGAAGCGGGACAAGGGCCAGAATAAGAGGATCAAAGAGCTCGAAGAGCGCTTAAACGAGGCAGAGGCCGAGAAGAAACGATTGAGAGAGGGAAGCAGTGGCGGGAAGGACAGCCATGACGGTCCTGACAACTTCAGAAACTCTCTTCAGCAGAGCAGCAACGCGGTCCAGCAAGAATATGAGCGTTATTTTGCCAATCTGGGATCCAAGTTTGCCCAAGGAGACTGTACATTAGATCCCCGTCTACACTTCCCTCCAAACAACCCCCCCCCCCTCCCCATGGGGGCCAATATCTGAGAAGCAGACGAGCTGACAACCCATTAGTGGTAGCGCAAACCCAACTCCAAAGCCAAATCATTCTCCTCCAAGGCAGCGTCATCAAGCTGCTCGAGGAGGCGCTCCTGACGGGCACGATCCCCGACATCAACAGGCTCTACAACACGTCCGAGTTCGCGCGAGAGGGCAGCCTCCGCGCCCTGCGAGACCAGTATCAACGCCTGCTGGAATCCTCCGCTCCTGTCCCGCAGCAGCGATTGCGGCCTGGACGACCTACGGGCCCCGTGAGGCGCATCTCATCCACCCCTTCGCTCCGCGATTATTACTCCTCTACAGCTGCCGACTCGGCGATTTGGACCGGGCAACGCCAACTGGGACCGGCAGCACCACGCAAAACACTCGCATCATACGACCGGCCGCCGCCACCTTCTGACCCGCTGTTCTGCCGCCTTGCCCAGGATGTCCAGCGCACCGACAGGCCGCTGGACAGCTGTCTTACTACCACCGACCGTTCACCGTCGTCAATGTGCACCACGTGCGGTGCTGCAATTGGGCTAGATGTATGGCGTGTAGAGAAAGAAGTCGCGGTGAGAGGGCGGGAGTCAGACGACGAGTCCGAGGTCATTGTGGTGCGGACGTACCTGCTGACGCGGCGCTTCCTCTTCAAGTGCCACCGGGAAGGGTCCGAGTATGCGTGCTATCTGTGTTTCCGCAACCGCGACAGGGACACGGTGTGCAGGTCGGAGGAGGGCCTCGTGAGCCACGTCACGAGCAAGCACAGCACGGCCGAGTACGAGGCGGACAGAGACATCAGGGACCTCAGTCGGGCTCTCCCGTATCGGTAGTTGTGGGTGAACATAAGGTACGCAAGCAGTTGAGGGAAGTGGAGATAGGAGATGTGGCACATGTTGAACGTTTGTTTGCTTGTTGAACGTACTTCGGTTATGTAGACTTCAGATACGATACCATGCATAGGAAGCGTGGAGTTTGGCGATCATGACTTGGGTGCTGATGTGGATATGATGGTATATATGAGAGATTACAAAACTTTAGAGTAGAATGAAAACAACATCTGACGCCGGCACATCATGCATTTTGCTCCTTTCTTCGCCCATCAGAAACCTAAACCAAGCCCAGCTTATCCAACCGTTGTTACTCAGGGTAGGTTGACCACACCTTGTCAACGCACCAACAAACTCCTACCATCGTCTTTAAACCTCCACAGTCACTTTGTCATGCGCATGATCCTTCTCCGCCTCGGCCCGGGTCTTGAGCAATGCGTCCTTCATGTTGCCCTTCTGGCTCATAAACGTGGCCTCCACCTTATGGGTCACGGCCTCGCGGATGCTATCCTCGCTGCGGCTCATCCACACCGGCCAGCCCGAGTGAGACAGGGGCCACAGCACACGGTTCTCATTGCTCTCCATCCATTGGCTGCTGGGCTGCTTCTTCTTGCTCGCAATTACGTCCATCTCGGCAGCAATCTGGGCGCAGTAGCCCTCCAGAGGCAGATCGTTGACGTCCTGGCCGAAGGGATTCTCAATCTCGCGGCCGATGAACAAGATACCGAGAATAATGTAGGCGGCCACGACCGTCGCGGGGATCGTAATCCACTGCTCCTTGCCGATGGTACCCAGCAGCTGGAAGGGCAGGACCAGGATGTAGACCCAGGTGATCTGGGCGATGGCGATCGAGTAGGCGATGGGCAGCGGCGTGTTGAGCACGCGCTCGGTGCCGACCAGCACGTCGTTGAGTACGGCGATGTTGTTGTACGCCGTCGTCTGGTGCATGGCGACGGGGAGCCGGCCGGAGAGGGCGAGCTCGTCGGTGTATTGCGCCAGGTACGAGAGGATCTCCAGTGGGAGGTTGCCGAGCGGGCGGCCGGCCTTCTTCATGGCCTTGCGCGGGTTGCTCTCGGCGAAGGACACGCCCAGGTACTCGCCCACGCTCTTAAAGAAACCGTGGCGCTTGAAGGTGCGCTGGGCGTTTTCGTGATCCTCGTTGGTCGCCGCCTGGGCAAAGGTGTTGAGGTGGGACACGAGGCTCGAGATGTCGTCGTAGCAGGTGTAAGGCTCGAACCGGAGTCGGTGCTTGAGCGCGACCGAGAAGGCCACGATGAGGTTCAAGGCAGTAAGCTTCTCCAGCACATCCTTCTTCTTGAACTCCTCCTTTTGGTCCTCAGGAATGTCCTTCGGCTCGGTGGCGTGCACCCAGAAGACGCGTCCGAGATTTTGACTCGCAAGGATCAGCTGTGCCCAATACCGACGACCCTCGGCGTACCGCTCGTATGCCGTGGAGCTCCGGAACGAAAGACCCAAACCGACGACGAAACCGAGGACAGTAAGCAAGACACTGCCAATGCTGACTGAGGTAGGAGGTCACGGTTAGCTTGAGCAAGACAGAGCAACTCCGGGGTATGAACATACTGGGCGTGACCAGGATGTGGATGGCTGTAATCCACGTCGACCAGAGCCCAACGGCGAGCAGTGGCAAGATCAGCTTGGGCAGGATGCTGCCATGCATCTGCAGGAATATGGGCCATTTCGAGTGCTTCTGGATGTCGCGAGGACCGGTCTGGAGAGGGTCAGCGAGGGCCCCAAGTGGAATCCAGGTCGAGGAGTCGGGAACGGACGAAATAGTCATCAATGTCAAGGGAGGTGTTCTTGCGGCTGAAAGGGTTTGGCGTAAAGAGCCGGGGAGATGTCAAGGACGCGATCTCCTCCATGACAGGGCTTCTCGGGGGGCCGTTCAGTGTCTTCGGAGGAACGTTCTCGGAGGGTTGCGCGGGGCCGTGTGCGGCACTCGAGGCGGCCGGTGCTGATGGCGCCGATGGCGCTCCTGCGGCACCGTCGTCGGCCATGTTGTTGTCCTAGGATTTCGGAGACGAGAGAGGTAGCACTGATGGTCCGTATTTGCTGCGAGGGCTGTTGGTTGTGCCAGGTGGAAGAAGGTCGAAAGGAGTGACAGGAGGGCGAAAAGAGAAGGAAAAAAGTCGAGAGGGAAACCAGGACAATCAAAGAAATTTACCTAGGCTGAAAGATCGCCAGATGGTCAACCTGAAAAGGGAAGAAAGAAAAAAGAAGAATTGTTGTCAGCTGTGTGAGGCTTTCACCCAGCGACAGCGCCATCCCCTGCCAAGAAAAAAGGGACGCGTTCAAAAGGGAGATTCCCAGGGGTAGGGTGCTGTGAACGCCGCGCTTGACTCTTGGCATCTCTCTGAAACCAGCCCCGTCCCACAAGAATTGTGGCGATTGGTGCAGTTCTGTGGTTTGCCTGTCAGACCGCCCAAATGTCTCACAACTTTGATGGCGCTAGGGCCGGGGTCAGCAAAATCTGGGGGATGAGTTTGTCCCAGAAGAGCTGAAACATGCAGCTGCCCATGGCAGCGATTGGCGTACTGTGGTACACACTGCATCTCCACGAAACAACTGGCGGACTCTCCGCCTTTGGAATCCTGCAAGCCATCGTGGACCAGACAGCTGCGAGGGTCAGCGAGGAATCTGCGCGGCAGATTACCAATTTGATCGCTCACGGCAACGTCGCGGCATTGCCCGCCGGACCCGCGCCAGTCCCAACATGGTAGGGAGCCCAAGCTGAACTCCACCAGACCCCTGCTCTGCTGATCCTGTCGGTTCGTATTCTTGTGGGGTCGGGCGCGTGCCGCGCTGCCATTCGCAGTCAATCTCATGTCAGCGCATCCAAAAGAAAACCGAAAAGAGACTCAGCGATGCGACTGTTTATTCTGAGGTACAGGGTAATTCGTTCGTTTTCCAGCACTTGAGCGTTGAGATATCCCACCAAAATAAGCCACATTTCTCGAACATCCAACCTCCTCAAAACAAGTGTACAAGTACCAAGGAGACCCGATATATACGGCGAACTAAGCTTCCTAGTGAACCTGGAAGCAATGTCATAGGTATCTCTTTGCTGCAGGATGGCTCTGCATCTTCCCTCGACAGGGTACACCAGTCTGTTTGTGGGATACTGGCTGGATCAGGCTGAGCGAACAATCAAGCAGTAGTGGATGATGGCGTATGATTGAAGAAGACGATGGCTGTGGGTTACACAACAGTATCGACGAGATGTGACGTGTCGGTGCGTGGGCTTGTTGAAGACTGAGGCGTTTGTGACCACTCTGCCCCCCGTCTTGCACATACCATCGAGATCTGAGCGAAAATACCAGGTATTCTCACCATCACTACTGGCGGGAGGATCCTCAGATCATCAAGGATTCCAACGTTCCCAAGTCAATCTCTGCGACGTCCGCAACGAACGCCGACGGTTCTAGGCCCACTATCAGGTCCGCCTCGCCGGCATCATCGACGTGCAACTCCTCGGGAACGCCTCCCGCGCCCCGTGACGAGACCTACGTCCGGGGGCTCAAGACGTGCGTCGAGAGGGACCTGGTGGGGGTGAAGTGTCATGGACCTGTACCGCTGGCTCAGGTACCAAGGCTCTGATGGCCCACCGTCGTCTTCTCCCGCCGACCCGCTGGACGCCAAGGCGGGTTCAGTTACTGCGCCAACGGACGTCACGCACCTGCCTGCCCTGCGTGAGCTCTACGCCACGCACATTGATGGCCACTGACCCGGGGATGCAGAGGTGGTGGAGGAGGAGGTACCCGTCGCGTGGCGGAGGCATGCAGTCCTGCGTACGAGCCGCAGTCCGAGTCCAAGAAGTTGGGGCCGTTATGGTCGGTGCTGGGCAAGAATGTGTTGACGCTGGATCAATGGCTTGAGATGTGGGAAGACGACAGGATGGATGCTATGCAAGAGGAGATGCCGGAATACGACGACTGTGATGACTGGTATGATGATGACCGGGTGAACTCCAAAGATGCCGCCTTTGGAGATGAATGGGACAGCTACTGGGAGACGTGAACTTGGGTGATCTCTTTATTGGACAGACAGCGTATCAGAGTTCAATATCAGCCATTGTCGGATCTTCCCAGGTGTCGTCGTCGTCGGCACGGTATCGACAGCCCGAGGTATAATGGGTACCGTACTCAACGGAGAACTTGTTCGTGGCGATTGACCTCGAGTTTCCGAAATTGCCGGCCGGCTGCCCTTGAAAGCCAGTGGTTTCCAGAACCCTCTGGAGCATTGGGACGGTCTTGTCCCTGAACCATGTAAATGAGCGCTATTGCCTCTTGCACAGCTGCTCATGATGCTAGAACGGCAGCTATCAAGGCCTTTTCTACGTTCCTATGCCACCAAAGTAAGATTTGGAGGGCCGGTAAACTATTGAGGCGACTCACGGAGGCTTCCATTCCACCCTCATTTCCATTAGCATTCACCGAACCAGAGTCCCGGTATGGGCCAATGGTTGCAAATTTAAAGTATGGAGTGTCATGATCTCCTTCCTCCACGAGTTCGAAGACGACAGTGAGCAATAAGAGCTTTTTGGATGGCTGCGAGGAACAACTGGTTGGCTAACTGATCCACCAAGGCGGCATCGTAGTAACTCTTCCTTTCTCATCATCTTCCTCTTTCTCCTTTTCCTCCTTTCCCCCTTTTTCTTTCCTTTTTGTTTTAAACTCTCTTTTATTCTCCAATTCCTTTCCTTTACTCCTCCTCCCCTTCCCTTCCTTCTTTCCTCTTCCCTTCTACTTCTCCTTTCCTTTTTCTTTCTTCCGTTCTTTCTGTTTCTTTTCCTCTTTTCCTTCCTTTTCCCTTCGACATTTCCTGTTGCTCCCGCGAACGAACGTGATCGAATGAAAGTAAGCACAGAAGTTCACATCTGCTTGCAACATCCACTGCCACTTACTCCCATCAAAGTGGGAGCCTTCGAGCCCATCAATGCGGGCAAAGTAAAGGCACCTCAGGACCTTCAGAGCCTGGATGGAGAGACAGTTCGGAGAGCTCCGCTTCAAGTGTTTAAGCTCAATACCAGGCTTGTAGCTGCGCTGATTTGAGGAAGCAACACGCACACTGTAGTAAGGTACTCGATTTGCTGCTTGACCCATTGAAAGGAGCCTTAACATCCGGAAACCGTTTTCCCTTTGACGAACGTGCACAGCGCTGGCTTGCAATCGGCACGACGATCTTCCGTCAGACCAGCAAGTTTCCGAAGGAGGAGCGCAGCTTGGATGGCTCCCAATTGTCGACAATGCCCTCATTCCGACCAATCTTCAGATATAGCGATGGCAATTTGAAATCTATTGGAATCCCAAGGCTTGACAGGAGCGTGAAGTTAGTAATCCTCTCAAAGACAATGTTGACCGTGTGTTGCATGGCCGCACTATCCCAGAGATCAGTTTGACAGGATCCAGATTAGCATAGTCAAGAGGAGGTTGACAGACACGTCTTTGAACATTGGTCAAGAGTTGAGCATTGGGGCGGTTCACCATTCCGAGCTTGCCGCCACTCACTGGACGTCACGAATACCATCAACAACAACCACGACGGTCTGTTTGGCGCAGTCAGGAGGGATAAGCACAAAAACACGTCGAGTTTGTGTCGGTGTAGCAACAGAGTATCTCATGAGGAATCAGCATCAAGCAGGAGATAAATTTTGAGAAAGAAAAGAGAAGATGAGTGTACAATGGAAATAAGACCCACCCGCTACCCCCTCAAGCTCGCAAGAGACCCTGGGATATAAATACAGCTTAAGTACAGAACTTGCTGGTCTAGCCCCAACGACCAGCGGCGCTTCGAGCCCTTGTTATTAACGTTACCGCCCTACTCCCAACTGCGTACATGTAATCTGTACTGATTCGCCATTTTCCGACCCGCTCCTCCCGGCTCCAGTTCCGTCCCATCCGCTCCCATACGGTAGGGCACCGCGCCGCAGCCTGATATCGTGCGATCTCCGAATGCCGGGATCATGTTTTAGGCGAGCCGCCAACAGTTGGCTTCATGCTGGGATGACTTCTGCCTATGCAGGGCATCAATAGCCTGCGTTATCAGAGGAGTATTTCGTACTCCTCTTACGACGTGAAGTAACGTTCCTTCTGATGATGGGCTCATCTCCGCCGTGTTGGCGACGTGCGGACGCGGAAGTTGATGGAACCGCGACCGCGAGTCTGCGCACGGTGACTCGACGGGCTGTGCTCATGGACCGGGCTAGGCTTGGGGTTGAACTTGGAGCCTGGAGGGCATGCACTGAGAAGGGAACCCGACGGAGTGACCGCCGTGCCTTGGCCCGGTTGACGGAACGCAGGGCATCAACGACTGGAGGACTGGATACAAATGCCCTTGCTGTGCCCGTCAGTGCCTGCCCACAATCGAGTCTGAGTCCCCTATCTTCAAGCTTTCGCTCCAGTGTCCAGCTCCAGCGCAACCAGACTCTCGAGCTTCAAGTTTATCCCAGCCACAGGCACCAGACACAATATGGTTTGCCACTCTGCCTCTTGCCTGGGCCGTCCCGGTTCTGGCCATCTCGGGCCCCCTGGCCAGCCGTGCCACCTGTGGCGAGACGGCCGCCCGGGTCTGCTACGGCGTCGACGGCGGCACGGCGCAGAACATCGGCCCGGTCGACATCGAGTACGCGGCGGGCTACCTGCGCTAAATCGCCGACAACAACGAAAGTCCCCTGTGGACCATGCCGCCCAAGTTCGGTAGCTCCGAGTGTACCATCCCCGTCGACGGCGCCGGCACCGTGCTCGTCCTGGCCAAGCACATCAACCCGCGGACCAACTCTTCCGTCACCTACTACGACCTCGCACGCACCATCGACGGCGGCGTCGACACGACGCCCGAGCAGAGGGCCGCCTCGCTACTGGGCGCCTGCGGCGGCAATGGCGGCATGAAGGGCGTCACGGTCGACACGAGCGACCCCACGTACAGCTCGCCCGCCTATGTCAGCAGCAAGGCCAAGCCGCAGGATATCATTGTCAAGCTTGTCAGGGCGCCGAGCTCGTGATCTCGTCATGCGCTGCCTTGCAGCCCCTGCTCTGGGCATGTGTATTTAGGCATAGACAGATGCATCTTGATCAATATCATCATGTCTAGGACGACTAATTAGAGCTATGGCATGTGCATGAGTGGAATCTGAAGCCGTTGACTTTGAACCATTAAATCAGATATTCGAAATCATAACTGGGTGATGAGCTCAATGTACTTACGTGCGGCATAACCTTGTGAGGTTGAATTCTCTCATGTTGTCCACTTACAGGTAACGTTAGAGCTAATTATTTCGGTCATTTGTTCGATTGCGCCACCACAGTTCAGTTGCTACCCGTGACGGTAGACACCGTCCCAACTTTGACACCCCCTAGCAGGAGGTCACCGTCGTGCTCCATGATCCGGATGTTTGACTTCAACTCCCAGTCTGCCCGGCTCCAGAATATGTGAGCGGCTCACACAGCAAAGTCATGGCTGCCAACCGGTCGTGCAGCGGGTGCTTCTTGCGATTGGCCTTCCACCTCTCCTCTGGCATGACCATCAGAGAACCCGGCGTCGGATGAAAAACCATCAGCTTCGTCCCCGGCGGCAAGGGCTTGCCGGCCACGGCATCCCCATAAGCAGCCAGGATATCGTCGCGCAAGCCCAGCAGCCAGGGATGCACCACCGACACAAAATCATGCACTGTCGGGAACTCTCCCGTTGCCTCCACCACCAACTTGGCGGCCTTGTCAAGCGGACGGTCTACTCCGCAGCACCTCTGCAGGTGCTACTGCCCGGGGAAGCCCTCGTATTCCGGGTCCTCGCCGGGAATCATCCCGAAGCGGACTCGGCTGCCTTCGGCCTCCCAGTTGTTGTCGGGTCCATCCCAGTGCCCGTCGTGCGTCTCGCCCCAAAGCTTCTCCCAGCCGTCCAGGACGTCGACGCTCACCGTGGCGGATTTGATCTTGCGTTCGCTGAGCGGGGACTGCGAGACGGGCTGCAATCCTAACGCATCGGCGCCGGATGAACCCCGGCGGACGTACGGCTTGAGAGGAGCGTTCGGGTCGTGAAAGGGTTCGGGCATGACAAAGATGGAAGTGCTCAGGGGTCCGGTGAGAGCCCAGCAGAGGCGCTTGGCGTCCTTGGTGGCTGGGATGGACTTGTTTGCCGGGTGCGCGGCCGGTGTTGAATTCGCATTGTCTTGCGCAGACGAGTGCTCATTTCTGGAAGTTCTGGTGTCTGAGGTGGCCATGGCTATGGCATATTATCGGCTGATAACTCATGCTCCGATGCGTTGATAAGACGCTCGTGGATTGATGAGGTGCAAGAACCTGAAGTCCTGAACAGGTCACAATGTTGGGTGACTGGATTGAGGTTGGTGATGCTGCTTGACCCTCGCGTATTGAGAAGGAGTCGGAGAAGGGAACTCGAACTACAGCGGAAGCGGAACCTGCAGCGTGTTTATATGTAAGGCCCGGGCCTGGTGCTCCCAAAGATATGGTCTCTTGCTCGGTACGCCCAAGTCAGCAGCACTGGGATGTTACAGCGCAAACCAAAGGATCAGGTTACAACCACTTTCGCGAGCCTTAACATGTATGCCCGGCGTGCTTTAGAGAATGGCAACAGGGTAGACAACCGAGGATGGCAACAGCCGCAGGCAAAGGGCTGAGTGAGTCGGTAGCGCTGACGATGCCAGTAAGAGCAAAAGGCACAGCAGCTCTCCGGCCGAGCATCGGCGCACACCGAGTTCGGCTGCCGGCTTGACATCGGAACGTGGGACGGTGCCCAGCCAATGTATTCTGCCGCAGAGAGTTATTGGGCTCACATCCACAAGCATTCGAGCTGTAGAAGGCGAATGCGCGTGGTGGCGATCGAACCCTCCTACCCTCTGCCTCTGAGTGGAGCCCTACCTCGCAAGGTCGTGAATTGGCAAGAGTTGTGCCAATGGTAGCTGCAGGCAGCTGCAGCGCAGGTCGACTTGGGCCTCCTCGTGCATGGCCGCAAGTCCGTAGCCTGATTCGTCTCTTCCATGGCCGAGCCGAATAAGGGAACGCCGGGAGAGGACGAGGGACGTGAATGGTTCTAGATGATGAGAATAAGGTTGGGCAGAGACGCATGCATGGAATTCGAGGAGAAAGATCGGGCTGCTGCTACAGGTGAATGGCTTCTGTCTAACGCGCGCTGCATCCATCTTGCCAGGAATTTCTGTGTGCATCTCAGGTCGTATTTCCGGATCTCAACCGTTCTGGCAGTGTGCAGCTTCAAGCACATGCCTGACCGCACCGCAGATGCATTGGACGAGACAGAAGCTGAGCTAAGATGAGGAATCGAGGAAAAAACATGACATGGAGAGCCCGAAGCGCCCAATGTAGACTGTATAGAGAGAGCATACTATGCACCAGAATGATCAGTGAAGAGGGGTGAGGGGAAGACAGAGGAAGCGATATGGGTACGGAGAGAAAGACAATTCGAATGGATTGGGTTGGATGCCAGCAAAATGGGATGCCCAGCTCACCTCGCGGACTGTGGCACGGGAGTTGTCGACCGTGGTGAGACTAAACGCACCGTGCGCTCGTCTTGGCGGTCTTAAGTGGACGAGGCCAATTCAGCCCCGCTCCTCCCCCTCCTTGCCCTTGCCAGGCGCAACGGAAGCCGAGCTCCAGCAGCCAATCAAAGGCGACCATCGCCCTGCACAAGGCTAAGACCAGAGAGCGAGTGGGAAGCACAGCCTTACCTTTCGCAAGTGGTGTCTTCCCACCATCCGCCCCTTGTGTGGCCTCGACCTCCCACCTTGCCTACTTTCGTTCCCTCCTCACCTTCTCCTGTCAAATTTTCTTTGTTATGCTTGGCTGCCAATTTACCGTGATTTCTTTGCGCCCTACGGCTGGAAAGCAAACAACATATTTCTCAGCCTTGACTGATCACTACCTCCCGCGCCCCCGTCCCCGCCTTCAAACCGCCGTATCCGAGACCGCTATTTCCGGGTGCGATTCCAGCCTGAGACCATGGAGCCTTCCTCGAAGCGGAGGAGGCTGGCCCCGAAGATCCCCGATCCTCCGGCCGTGTCCACATTTCAACCGCATGCGCAAGCACAGCCCCTACCGCATACATTACCCCAGGACCAGGTGAGTGAATCAACTACTTCTGCCGTTGATGGCGTTTCTCGTGACACTAACCGATTACCCCAGATAGCTCAACAACACGACCCTCCAACCGAAGCTGTGCCGCGACTGACAGAGCGCGATGAGTTCGAAGCGTTCGCCCGCCATCTCCAAGATGCCGCGATATACATCCAGCAGCAGACCCTTAAACCCAAGCATACAAGCGTGTCGGTCTTGATGTTACGATGGGAGGAGGACACGTCAGTCGAGCCGGATTTGCTGGCACTGGAAAATGTGTTCCGCGAGCGATATCACTACCATACTGAGAAATGGGCCATCCCTACGGTCCCGAATCCGAGCATTAAGCTTGGAGTCCAGATGGCTTCCTTCCTAGAAAACGCGCGACCGGACCATTTGTTGGTGATATACTATGCCGGTCACGGTTATGTCGGGCCCGATAACCAGCTGTACTGGGCTTGGTGGGTGCAGTGCCATGCGTGCGTCTTGATCTCCGTGCTGACGCTCTGAATCCAGTAACTCGCGCGAGGATGCTGCCAAGTTGAAGTGGGACGGCGTCCGCTGTTTGTTCGAAGACGCCCAGTCCGAAATTCTCCTTTTGATCGACTCCTGCGCGGTCCGCGATGCGCCGATGGCCGGCAGCCACGGAGTGAAACAAGCAATTGCTGCCTACACTCCAGACCAGAGCTCGCTGGAAGCTGGGCCACGCTCTTTTACTGCCACGTTAATCGAGACTCTTCAAAAGCTCAGCATTTCGGGTCGGCCTTTTGGTGTACAAAAACTTTACGACGATCTACGGCAACAACGGCAACAGGAAAGCGCGCAGGCGCTGGTCAAACAAGCCAATGGACCGACGAAGCCGAACCCAGCTCCCGTGAGATCGCCCGCCTTCTTTACCCTGACGCCTGCGAAAGGCCAGGGGATTATCTTGTTCCCCCTGGATCCGGAAACCGCTCAGCTCCAGTCACCGCCACATTCCGCCGAGGCCGACGCCCCGAATGCGTGGAGGTCTAAGCCCGAGTATGGGTCTCTCAGCCCAGAAGAAGTTTTCGATCTAACCTTGGACGAACAGAGGGTGCTGGTATGCACCACGTTTGTCGGCGACGCTAGCCCCGACATGGCTTTCTTCAACCAGTGGCTGCACAAGATGCCGGCTAACGCTTCTAAAATCACTGTCGAGGGCATGTTCCTTGGACCGCCCACGATGCTATTGATTTCGATGCCACATGGTGTCTGGAATATCGTTCAACACGACAAGGTGTGCTGCTTTTTGGGATATATTAGCTCTCACAACATGATTCACCTCTATCAGCGACTCGTCAACTCACATCCCAGCGGCGTCCTGGGCGTCAAAGACAGCGAGGATGGCCGTCCACTCAAGCGCAGTTCGTCCATTCATCGGGGTGAGAGCTCTGATCAGTACCCTCCGGTTGCCATGGAGACACCCCAGCATCAAGCCGGGGCTGCTAGGCCTGGAGCTCCCGCTCAGGCTAGCCCCGAACAGACCACTTCGGTTGGCCCCAAAGATGAAGTGGAAGACTCGGCGGAGATGCAGGAGGCAGCGGAGCAGCTGAAGGCGTTGAGCCATGTCCGGCACCTGGGAGGTGGCACCCCGGCGGCGCTTGAACGCCAGACAACCCGGATAGGAGACAGCATTGCCGTCAGACATACCGATGATCCTGGCTCCCCGTCCGAAGGCGTCGGGCCAGGAGTGGGTGGTAAACTGTACGAGGCCGAGTACAACACACCATCTGCCAAGCCAAAGGCGAGGAAACCGCTTCAGAAGCAAACCCCCAAACAAGAAGTCCGGTGCGACCATTGCAGTCACGCCCCCTTCAAAGACTCCTCGTCACTCCGCAAGCACGTTGCGGCCGCTCATACTCGACCCTTCCCCTGCGCCTTCTCGTTCGCCGGCTGCTCGAGCACGTTTGGGTCCAAAAACGAGTGGAAGCGACACATTTCGTCGCAGCACCTGTGTCTGCAGTACTACCGGTGTTCGGCTTGCCCGCAGAGCAGCGGCGCCGACGGGAAGGGCAACGAGTTCAACCGCAAGGATTTGTTTACGCAGCATCTCCGCCGCATGCACGCACCCTTCGCCATCAAGAAGGCGATTTCCAAGGGCGATAGCAAATTGCAGGCCGAGTGGGAAGCCCATGTCAAGGACATGCAGGCGAGCTGTCTTGTCACAAGGAGGCAGCCGCCGCAACGGTCGGCTTGTCCCAAGCCGGACTGCCAGACTGTGTTTGAGGGGTCCGGGTCGTGGGATGAATGGACGGAGCATGTTGGGAGGCATATGGAGAAGGGTGAAGCTAATCGGATGGGCGTTGATAGGCTTTTGGCGAAGTGGGCGCTGGATGAAGGCATTATTGAGAGTGTTGTGAATGGGGAGTATAGGCTCTGTGGCCAGAGCATGAATGGGTCGGGCCCGATCGATCTCGGTCCCGTGAGTACTAACGGTGGTAAGGCTCCCTCGGATAGTGGGAGGAAAACGGAGGATGATGACGATCCGTCCATTACGGTTGCGATGCCGATGTCGGTTGCTGGCGATATCGATGTTGACTAAGAATATCCGCCTGAGGGGGGTGATGATTCTATGGGAGTTCTGAGGCCATTTGATGAGAATCATGATCTGGGTTGAGGACGGCATCTGAGGGACTCTGGAAGGTTACGGGTGTGGCGCATATATGTATATCTATTTATACCTTGATTACGGTCGGGGTACCTGGAGAGACAGAACTTCTGCTATCTGGGCCGGGTGCAGCATGCGCAAATGCCGCCGCCTGCTTACTACCGCTACCTGGCCTCGTATCCGGGGACCCTCTCTCCGGGGACCATCCAAGTACGTTGCTATAGCGCTCAACGTGTCTGGAACTTCAGCTTCCGAATACGGTCAAGACAACAAGAGATTGAGGACCACTTTGCTGCCTTGTGGAAGCTGGAGTTCCCTGACACGTTGAGCAGTCTAGAAATGCGCTTGGGGATGGCTGGATCAGGTAGCCCCGCACAGACACTCCTTGGCACGAGGCCAAGCAAAGACCCCTGTAGGCAAAGGACGACAGACCACCTTGCTGGCAGCGACTCAAGACAACGGCAAGCTGGACCTGCCGGCAGACAAATCAATTAAGTGTCTCGTCGTCAACTTCGATGGATTTAACATAGAAGTTTGAATCCCTGTGTATTGCTGAGCCCTTTCTGTAACACTTTATGTCCCATGGGCCTGCCATCTGTTCTCCCATACGTAGATCAGGGTCTTTTGCGCCATCATGAGCCAAGGTAGAGAGCAAACAGTCTTGCTTTTAGTCTCTGCCATTAAGACTGAGAAGATGGAGAAAAGTGAACTGGATGTGTCTGGTCAGAGCAGGCTGCGTACGGATACAGCGTATTCGGAGGGTTAGTGGAAGGAAGGGGTAGATTGGGTATCAAAGCCGTAACCAAACTCACGCAACAACTCACAGACAAGCTGATCTCCGCCGTCTTCAGCTCCTCCCAGCTTCTCAATCCTAGTACCACTGCCCTTCCGCCAAGCCCGCCCTCTTCCCTCGCACAACACCCAACTTATAAGCGGTAAACATCAAATACCATGTCGCCAGACCCTGCCCCTACCAGAGAGGCTATCGTTGTCCGCCACCAGTCATGCTCAAGTCTGGTCAGGGCGCGTGATGATCAGCAACCCAGGTTTACTTGTCCATACCACACCTTCCTGCTGTCCTGGGCTCTCCTATCAACCTCCACACCTGCGTTACTAGTAATACTACTAGTACTCCTCCCTTGAACCGCATCCTCTCCGCCGTACCCCGCGCTCATCGCCCGCCCAGTAGCACCACCATCACTACCTGTTCCTGTCCCACGTCCTCCCCTCCACAGCGCATCGTCAGCACTACTCCTCCTCCCGCCACCACCGCAGTCAGGCTCAATACCAACCGCTGCTTGGGCTTCCAAGAAGGGGTTACTACCACTTTCACTACTACTGGCGGACTCCCCCTCCTCCGACTGCCCGACCAACCACCCCTGCAGCCTCAACCCAGCCCCCATAACCTCCCTCGCAACCCCCCAATTTTCCAGCCCCATCTGAAATAAACTGATATTCATCATCCCCTTCACAAACCGATCATGCACCTGCACCTGCGGCTGCTGCTGCCGTCCCCCAACAGTGCCAATTCCAGTTCCAGTTCCACTTTCACTTCCAGCTCCAGTTCTGCGCCTGCCGCCGCCGCCGCCCATCATGCCGTAGGACACGAGCGGCAAGAGAACAAAATTGAACACACCCAACAGACAGCGCCACTTGGACAGCGGCACACGCCAGGCGGTGGTCCAGAGGGACAGGAACTCGGCCGGGGTGGTGATGAGAGAGAAAGGTTGGCGGAGCTTGATGGCGCGGCAGTAGAGGAGGGCGGCAAGGCGGACAGTTTGGTAGACGTAATCTGCTCCTTCTTGTTCTGCTTCTGTGTCGGCTGTGTTGTCGGGTAGGTCGTTGTTGTTGGTGGTGGTGGTGCCGGGTTGGGAGGCGGAGGCGGTAGTGGTGGCTGTGATGGTGGGGTTGGGGAGGAGACTTGGAAGGGGAGGGGGTGGATGCGGGGATGATTGTGATTGTGGTACCTGGGGCCGTTGTCGTTGGACTTGGGTTACGGGAGGAATCTGTCCCGAGGACGCCCGGCGGGATTGCTGGGATCCCAGGCGGGGGTCACCACGGCCTGGCCGGGCCTGTTTCTCGTCCAAATCAAGGGTTTCTGGCACCGCTGATGAACCCCTGCTTGTTGGCGTGTAGCTGGCTGTCGAGGGCCCTCGGCCGGCGGGCGAGTCTGCCGGCAGACTCAAAGTCCTATCGTGGATCCATGCCGACGTGGTGTGTACCTTTTGGAGCTCCTTCGCAGATGGCTTCTCCGGCAGCGCAAGGATGAGGCAGAGAAGAAAGCGCATGTCGTCAAGGATCGAGGCGACGGCAGGATGGATGCGGAGCGCGTGAACGCACAGGGAGAAGCGTACGAGGTTGGAGATCAAGGGGGTGTTGAGCGCAAGGCGCAATGGAACTTGGGAGTGATCCTCAAACTCGAATTCAGGACCGTCTCGCAGAAACGGCGATACCTCGAAGGAGAGGGCAATGGCAATATCAGCCCTGCTCAACCGGGTCAGTCTGTGCTGTCGCCCGCTGCATCAAGCAGTTTGCCGAGGAACAAGACCCACGATATGGCAAGCTTGCTGATCAGGCCGTGCAGGCCAAGCGTGCGGATCCCTCCACGGCATTTGATCATGTCTCTAAGGCCACACAGATGCGCCTGGAGATCATCCGTGTTCCCCCAGAGCCTACGTTGCCGTCACTAATCAGCCGGTATTCATGGGGCTACAAGTCTAAGTCTCGGAGACAACATACCACTCGGCCACAACAAGTTGGACGACCCCGGCTATTACTTCGTCGCTCGCCGAGAGCTGCGACCGGATGTGTTCGTTCAGGAGCTTGATGACATGCCCCTTGTGCGCCATGGCGGCCGTTCTCTCGACGTGGGCTGTGTCGCTGAGGAAGCAGGCCGTCGAATAGATGGCCACGTGCGCCAGCAGCTGCGAGTTGACGCAGTATGGGACGTAGTACTTGATATAGGGATTCGAAGCGTCTGGGTTGCCGTCCAGCGAGGCCGTGAACTGGGACACAAACTTCACCCCTGTGACAAAGGGGGTGTGGTCAGCATAGTCGAGGTCTGAAGATTTTTCTAGCGAAAGCCCACCAGGGAGCAAACAAGAAAGCTCAACCTACAAACAGACAAGAGCTCGGCGTCTGTCATGGGCCGCGTAACGGGGACCTGGACAAGGTCCTGGGTTGGGTCCGCAACCAACCAGGGCATGTTCATGTTGTTGGCCACAACAGCAGCCGGAGCCACGTCCGGCACCAGAGTCCAGGCACTGTACCCCTGTGTCGCCCAGGTGTTGCTGCCGCCGGCCCAGTGGTTCTGATGCGAGCCCACATGATAGGCATTCAAGGACCGGATGGCGTCGTGCACCTCGTCAGAGTGTGCCGTGCAGCCGTCCTCGCAGGCGATGAAGCACATGGAAAGGCTCTGCTGGTCCGTGGTCCATGAATACTGTTGTTGTTCGGCCGAAGACGTCGACGTCGGAGCCGGATCCCGCCCAAAGACGTCGAATCCGGGCCAGTTCGAGAGCATTGCGTCAGCAGCATCCTGGCTTCCGCGCTGCTGGCTCTCGCCCCAGGGGGGCGACAGTAGTGGCAAGTGTCGCGGCGCCGGAAGTTGTTGCTGTTGTTGTTGTCGCAGGGCTGCTAGGGACTCAAAACCTCGGCTTCTCGCAAGACGATGGGCTGGCGGCGGGGACAGGGAGACGGCAAAAGCAGGTCGTTGCGACACAACGACGGCGCTTGGATGACTGTCATGTCTACCAAGTAAGCAAGCTCCGCGCTGCTGCTGCTGCCACTCTAGTGTCCTCCTGGGTTGGTGGAGATGGCGGGGAGGGGGGACCGACACACACCTGCTTCTCGTCTGCTTGTACTCGCACAGCGGCTGTGGAAAGCGTCTCGCGCAGTTGCTGCACGGCTGTCCCTGGTTGCACTGCGTCGAGACGCGGCGGAATTAACATGATGTTCTTCTTCTGCTGGATAAGATAGTACTACATGGCGCCTGCTCCAAGTCCGATGTCTTTTTGACGGGGTGTGTTTGCTCGAGCTCACTTGCGAAACATGCGGCCTGATGAGACAACAGAAAACAAACTGAAAATCCAAGACAGAGAATGACAAGCTTGAAGAGAACCGAAACCAAGATAACTTTACCTTTTGTTTCCGCCGCCTACACTCACCGCACGAAGTCGTCGTCCTCTCGGCACGTGGTGGCCGTAGTACGGGGGCCTGCATTGGTTCGGACATTGCTGCGTCTGGCGAGAGTATCAAAGCTTCTTGATCGGCTTGCTGCACCAGACCCTCGGGACCATAGGGCTGGCTTATAAGGGGAGACCCTCCCGTGTCTGGGATTCAAAACCAGGTTGCGATGATCAGGCCCCAAGCCATGCAGGCCGTCGGGTTTGGGACCGCTTGGGACTAGCGTGTAGGTAGCTGGCTGGCTCTGGGAGTTCAGGCGGGAAAGGAAATAAAAGCTTGTTTGGGTTAAGGTGTTACTGCGTACTGACCCGTACAGTGAGGTCAAATCGTCGGTCACAGTGACGGTCTGCTGCTGCAAGCTGCGAGCACCAGCCGGTCCTTTTATGACACCCTTGATATCAAGATGGGAAAGTATTTTTGGAACGCGAGACCAAGGCTGGTCCACCGTCAATGGACGTACCTAACGCAGGCAGCGAGAGACAGCTGAAGGGTGCTTAGCTGGCACCATGCTAGGCTTGGAGCCTCTCACTGCCGCAGACTTTGTTGTCATCAGCCTGACATGCTCGCTTGCGGGTCCTTGTATCGGGGAGGCGGTGCCGCTAGTTCCCTTCTCATATTGACCCTGTCCGCAAGCGGTGAGTGGCTTGCCTCTCTCTGGCAGCGCCAACACCGGAGAAGCTAGGATCCGGGCCATGGCTTGTTCTGCCAAGACACAGCTGGCTGCGATGAGAGAATGTGGACAAGAAGGCGGAGGGACTGGTTGTTCCCCGGAGATGGCACATGGGGAGTGTAACTGCTCGTCGTTTTGATGCCTACGAGGCTGCGTGCGACATACACGCCCATGCAGTGGGACAGCATACGCAGTACGCCTAGGACAACGCAGGGTCATCAAGGCCGAGTCGTATCACCGTTCGACTATTACGACCGGATTGAGCGAGCTACGCGGGCGTTGGTAGAACCACCCTGTTCCCCATCTTTTCCTTCGAAGTCGGAGTGGCTTGGGCCCGCCCAGCTGGGAGAGGAGGTCCTGACTGGAAAAGGGTGGCGCCGGCAATCGGGAAAAGAAGTTGGTGCGCGTGTGCGTGGAGTGTGAGCTTGCTACTGTGGTATGCGCGAATGAGAGGATTGGAAGATGTCACTGCCCCTCTCCTTTCTGGACCTGGGTCCATCCAGACTCCCGTCATGATGCTGCCCAGCGCCGGTAACGGGCCAATGGATATTCAGGAGTGCTGCCCACCCAACTTTCACCCCGCCAAAAGCCTCCGGAGCTGGGACTGAAGGGCTGAACACCGGACCTCAGAGCCTGCAGACTCTCATCCTGAAACACTGCGACATTCGGAGCTGTTGGCATTGCTGCAGGTACTGTCATCGAATCTCGTCTTGTCCCATCGTCGTCTGCTGCTAGAGCGGTGAGATCCTCATGGCAGGTGATTGTTCCCTGAGCGTGCGAAAAGCCTTGGATGGGTGGGCTAAAGTGCCTTACAGGCATCTCCAATCCCAACTGCCCAGTACTGCGTAGGTGTTTGTCAAAATAAAGTTGGCTGTTGGCTCCAACTTGCGGGACCCTGAAACGACACCGGCAGACTGGACCACGCTGTGATTTAACGCTAGCGAGAAGCTCGACAGCCAAGCTCCACTGTGAGCGACAGGGTTAAGGGGCGGCCGTCCATTGGCTGGCCGCCCAAGAACTTGAGGAGCTCGAGGAGCTCGAGGCCTAGACCGGTCGATGGCCATGGAGCGAGTGGAATTACTGCGCAGCTTGCTCACTGTGATGCAATCATTACCCAGGTAGAATTGCGGCGCCAATATACAAGGTAGGCATTCAGTAAATGTAGTGTAATTGCCAGAATGCCTTGCTTGCTCGTCAGAGAAACATCGATGAAAAAAGATGGCAGCCAGTGATATCTCAGTTCTATAAAGCCTATATCCATTTTCCACAGTCAGTGAAACACAGCCCCGGTGTCCTGCTATATTTGGTATCCAATTACATATCACTTAGTTAATTGAAAGGCAACTTGAACCTCCCAAGTTCCCAACCCCAAACTCCTATACCCTGAGAGAGAGAAAAAAAAGCCCTCACACTGCGCTTGCAAAGGATACATATGGCAAAAAGATGCTCTGGATATCGCTTCTCGTGACTCATGAAAGAAAACCCATACGAGGAACCTCATAAAGCAAACGCCGTCAGCCCCAAGCTCGTCACTGCCACCGCCTCAAACAGCTACGTATGGCACGGGCTAGAGTTCACCTGCCGCTGTAGTTTGGCTTCTTCGCCATGTTAACCACCGGCGGCGCCTCGTCGTCAAGAGGGTAAGGCAAAGCTGGAGCCGACGCTCGCCCATACGTCGTCGCCTGCTGCTGCTGCTGCTGTTTCTCCGGAAGCGGTGTCTTGGGCGGCAACGGCGGCGGCCCCATCGACGACGACAGTGGCCTGCTGACCCGCAGCGGTGACGGCTGCATCAACGGGTCCTCGAACTGCCTGGGGTAGTCGTCCGGCCCCACGATTGCGATCTTGTCCGTCCCTGCGGCGATCCGGTATTGTGACGGCGTGGGCGCGTTGACCACCAAGCGGTCTGCGTCGTCTGCGTCAGCCGCGCGACTGCTGTCTTCTTCTCCCATCGGACTGCCGACGCCAGGAGGTGGCGGCTTTGCGTAGCGACCGGGCGGCGGCGGCGCTGATGAAGGGAGGCTGCTGCTGCTCGGGGGAGGCGCAGCAGGAGGGTAAGGCGATTGGTTCAGCTTCGGGGACTGACGTGGTGGCTCGCCAGAGCTCCTTGGCGACGGCGTCGTGCCACGTACGGGTAACATGTCGTCCCGCCCGGAGTCGTAGGACTGCCGGCTCGACGGCGTGTGAGGGTGGGGGAAGGAGGCGGGTATGTCTCCTGGCAGCTCGACGGCCAAGGGCAGTTCTATATCTGGCACCTTTTGTGCCACGTCTGGCGCTGATGCCAAGCTAAGGCGCTCCCATCTTTGCTTCGCAAAGTGGATCTTGGCCAGCTTGGAGGACGCGCCCTGAACCATCCGCTGCTCCTCTTCCCTGGCGAGGTATCTCCTGGTGTTTGTGCTGATGTCGGCCAGGCGGTTCCACTCGTTCATGCCAAACTCGCCAACCCCCACCTCGACATTCAGCCGGTAGTAGTTTTCGATGTTGACACCGCGCTTCGCCAAGTGTTCTTTCTTCATGTACTCGTGGATCTTTTCGCAGCCCTCAATCTTGGCAATCAATTTTCTTCTCGCCTCCGCAAATTCACCCAAGAAGCCCTCATACCACAGAGACTGGTTCGCGTCGCTACCCTTGGGCCGCTTCCCCGTGCCGATGCTGACAAAGACCCCGACGTCGCGGCCCGGCCACTCGTTCACAGCGGCCTCGTCGAGCGCTGTCACGGACGGGTTGAAAGTGCCCGCTCCGTCGTCGTGGAACACAGACTGGCCAATCTGAATGGGCTTGAAGGCGAGACCGATGGCGCATGTTGCCCGCCCAGCCTCCCAGATCTTGCAGTCGAATTCCGGGGCCGGCTCTCGCCTCGAGTCATAGGAACGCAGCATTGCTGGCGCTCCGCCTTTCGAGCTCCCCTTGTACATCGCGGTAACGGCGCTGAAGAAACAGTTAGCTACCTACATGCTGACCGAGAGCGTTGAATACGCGCCAGAGAACAGAGGGCATGACTCACGTCTTTGTCCGGTTCTCGCGCTCATCATACAGGCGCGCGTTGGGGTTTCCCCCGCGGGAATATACTGGTCTGGCCGCCGCCTGGGCATTGGGGCTTCTGGCGCTGAAGCTCACGACGCTCGCGTTGCTGGTGTGCCTATTCGGGTACGCCGCGCTTGAGCGCGAGGCGGGGCTCATGATACTTCCAGCTTCTGAACCGTCGTTGCCTTCCTTCACGTAGACGGTGTGTTCCCTGACACACTCTTTGATGGCTTCCTCCAGTTTCGTCGCCTTGAACAGGGTCGACCGGTAGGGAATGCCGGCGATGGTCTTGTCGGTCTCAAACACCATGCGGGTGAGGCGGACGTACAGCTCCTTGCACGTCTCGATATCGAGGCGCAAGCGGCCCAGCATCAGGGCGATGAGACCGCCGGTGCCGGTGCCGACGATAAGGTCGAAATGGTCGCATGGCTTGGGAATCTCGGACCGTCGCGGTGCTCGGCCCTCGATTTCGACGAAGGTTCGGTGCATCAGCTCCTGGAGGATCAGGAACATGGAGTACCCGCGCACGCCTCCGCCGTCTACAAACGAGTCAGCAAACCAACCCACCGATGATGCGCCGAGAACCTGCTGTCCCGGGCGCAAAGAAACGAGCGCTAGACACACCAAGCGATAAGATCCGTAGAGGCGGACCCTTTGTCGTGTCCTTGCGTTTCAACCCAACAGAGTCCATATCGATCAAACTGACGTTAACGGAGAGTAAGAGGCGAAGTCGAGGTCTGCCTGGGGCTGCGATCAAATCGGTGCAGTCTTGCAGGTCTGGTTGAGCGCGCGACCTTGCCGATGATTATTGCGGCACGAGAGTTGGCCGCGGGGGTGGCTTGGCAAGGCCGCAGGGGAGAGGTGTGACGCAGAAGGCTGGCCGAACTGCAGCCGATCAGCCAGAAAAGATTGTCCAAGACACCACTTGTGCAAAGTGAGAGATTCCTTGTCGCTAGCAGAGCCAACCTGCCAACCAAGTCGCTGATAGCCCAGAGTATAAGAGCTCATGAAACGAATTGTGGCTGAGTCCGCACACATGTGAGGAGTTGTAGATTACCGAGTACGGCTCCTGTGACGGCCTCCATATCGCATGCGCTTGGCTCGGGCAGCTCGGCAACACGTCCCTGACAAAATGTAGTCCGGGATTCCGTTGCTGATTAACAGTTTACGTGAAGTGTAAGCTCAATGCACCTCATCTCCATCTACGGCCTCGAATCTCGAGTTCAGGGAACAGCGCTCGAACATTAGATTGAAGAGGGCAATTATCGAGATGGAGTGTACAGAGTCCCAGAAGGTCCAAGAAAGTCACAGGGGAACGTCACCAGGCTTGGCCCGCCATCTGATTCGAAGCCACGCGATGCCCCACATAGCAAACGCAGGAGCGGCACGGGGTTCCACGCCGACCCGCAATCTCAACACGGGACTCGGCATCTTGTCCCGAGCACATGCACATCCCGTCTTCCAGTGTCTAATGACCGACAACGGCGGCAATGCTAAGGTAATAAGCCATCAGATATTAAAGCACTTGTGCAACGGGCATATCCGGTTAAGATGGAGACAACAAGTATTGAGAGTGGCTGTCGTGTTGCGGCTTGACAAGCCAGCCGAGCCGGGGTTAGGGTAGGAGGGATGCGTTGCAACTGACACGACGTCATCGTTACCTCTCGGTCACTCGCAGCGATGATGACAACCACGACTCGCGTTGACAAGCACCATGGCCAACGCCAACCCGCAACTCCGGAGGCCATCTACTCAAAGAGATTACAGTAGACATCGTGGGTTCTCTGAGTTGCCCCGCAGCTGAATAACAACAGTTCCGGACAATTGAAGGCCCGCATGCGCCTTCAGCAGCAGAAGTGAGTAAGCTCGCGGAACAGGCTTGCCTGACCAACATGGACATGATCTCGTCGTGCCTTGGGGCCGGCCGTCATCGCCGGTCTGCGGAGCAGGAGCCGCTGCTCCCTCGCTATGATGACGAGACTTCGCTCCAGCGGCGGGTGCATCAGAAGTTGCACACGTACCAGATGCTGCGCGCCCTGTCTAAAGGCTTCATGCCGTCCAACGAGCAGGCCATTGTCTGCCTCCGCACCCTGCTGGCCGCTGACGTGCTGAACCCGGACAACACCCAGCTCAGCGACTCGGGCCAGGCGCTGGTGCACTACACCAAGCAGTGGATACGGCAGCTCATCGAACTGTTGCAGCACAAAAATGCAAACGACCAGATCCAGGACTTCATCTGGTACCTCTCCAAGGCGAGGGTGTCTGTCGACATGGAGCACATTGCTGAGCGCGCCACCAAGGCCAGGGCAAAAGCCGACACGGCGGCAGGTATGTGGCATTCCAGCTGATCCGAAAAAGGCAGGGGTGCTAACACCTAACAATAGTCTACAGTAGCCTCCAGACGCTCGGCTCCTTGTTGCTTACTAACTCTGATTTCCGCTTGTTCCTGGGAGATCTCAATGTCGTAGCCCGAGAAGTCTTCAGAGACACGGCGTTTGCTCTGTCGGAAGCTTCCAAGGAAGCGGGCAAGCGCATCGAGCCCTCGGCCCAGGAGCAGGAGTCAGTCAAACAGCCGGGCAATGGCTCTCACAGCCCGCCGTCGCAACAGGACCTGACGGACCAGACCATCGAGGTCTCCAAGATCTTGAGCGCGACCGCGTCCACCGTCGTCGACGAGGCAGAAAGCAGCGTCCTCCAGAAATTCGAAGGCCCAGAGAAGGAAACAATGATCCATCGCCTCAAGGACGTCGTTCTAAATCTCCGCCGACGCAGGGACTACTCTGATTCCGTCTCCACGCTGTCTCTTCTCCTTAAGCGTTACGCTATGGTGTACTCCCGCATCGCTCGGGACACACTTCAGGCCGCCGAAGAGGAGGTTGACGCGAATCCCGAGACGGATCGGGCTCTGACGAATTTCTGGCTTTTCCTCAGCTCGTTTGGCGAGGCGAGGGAATGGGAGGAGCTGGAGAAGCGAGCCGAAACTGTCATGGAACACGGCCGCGAGGACCCCAATTTCGAAGAGCTGGTCGGGAAGCTGGGCGACGCCCTTCAGGAGATGTTTACCGATCCTGACTTCTTTGACCATGCCGAACAACGGTTCCAGGAGCTCCGGGCCAAGTCCAAGCAACTCTCGTCGGGCTCTTCTCTGCGTGACGATATTGAAGCACTGTTGTCGCAACTGCAGTCCACGTTTTATTCGGTGCTGAGGGACAAGGATATATCCCATCTCGTCCATACTTCACGCACCATTCTCAAGATCCTGTCGCCAAGAGGGTACTACACAAACACCGACCTTATGGCAGACGCAATTAATGTGTTTGTCCCGCTCCTTGTCCAGTCCGTCAACTATGTCCCAATTCCAAGGCTCGAGGTGTCCACCCCGCAAGTCGATCTCTTGCTCGAGAACCTTATCCTCGAGCCGGGCGTCACCGTCAATCACACATCGTTCTTCCCCTACAGGCTACGTGTCGAAACACTCAATGATGTCGAGATCCGCAAGGCCAAGTTCCGGACCACTTCGGCGGTCAAGACATTGGTCCGAATCCGGATCGACGGGATTTCCATCAAAGGGGAAGAGATTGGCTTTTGGCTGCGGGCACACTCAAGCCTTTTGCGGCTCGCCGACGAGGGCATTGCCTCGTTTGAGCTCGACGAGCGGGGCATGGACGTGCAGCTCGATGTCGAGGTCGGCCGGGACAGAATGGAGAAGATTCTGACTCTGCGGGGCGTTAGGGTGCGCATCCACAAGCTCAACTTCAAGCTGCGCAGGAGCAAGTTCAGCTTCCTGTCCTGGCTCTTTAAGCCACTGCTCCGGCCCATTATCCGCAAGACGATGGAGATGAAGATGGCCGCCGTCATCGGCGACGCGCTGCACTTTGCGAACCGCGAGCTGCTGTACGCGCGGGAGAGGCTCCGGGCCACGCGCATCGCGGATCCGGATGATCTCAAGACGTTCTTCAAGGCCGTCTTGGCGAGGCTGACGCCTCCTGATGATCCGGACCTGTATGCTCGGGTGGGTGTGGGTCAGCCAGGGCGTGGGGTGTTTGAGAACGTCTACGCGCCGGGGAGCATCGTCAAGCTGTGGAGGGACGAGGCCGAGCAGGCGCCGCAGAGGATCCGCGAGAATGAGCGGGATGGCTGGCGGAACAGCATTTTTGATGTTCATGCCACGATGATGACCTGATACGCAGACTGCGATAAGTTATTTCTTTTAATGAGCTGATGGGTACGAGCAACATGGCTTGGGGACGGGTCTGCGCAGTTTCGGTTTCCTTAGTTGCCATGGAGAAGGCTGTAATGATTACACGTCGATTGGGCAGTTTGAAAGCAACACTTTTTTCTACCGCGCTCGCACCGCAAGCTGGAGAGCCTCCAATGGCAGTTTGAGATTCCGCCAGGGGAAGGGACTCACGTGTTGTCTGAACCCCCCAAGCACTGACGCCACATGACATCATCCCGCCAACCCGGACACCATCAAGGTTCATCGAACACATCAGCGCTGGGAATGGCCTCTTTCGTTGACTGGCTGCTTGGAACGCGCAAAGCAAGGCCAAGTAGGTGATGGCCAGAGTGACGTTTGGAGCTGTGGCAGTCTTGGCATGTCTGATCAGTGTGAGGGACTGCCTTGCTCACTGGACCAGCACAAGTGCACACAAGCCCGATGACGACGAAGGGTGTCACTGGGGGGACTTAACACACAACCACGTCGTGCTGGCTGTGATACACGTATATAACTTGCCAAGTGCTCCTCCACCTCCGCGAGGTCTTGCCGTTCATTTCCCGACTCCTCTCCATCAAAGCAGTCCCCCCACACAGCAGCTCGTTGCCCAACGGTGCCAGTCAAATTATTACGAAAAAGTAAACCCTTTTACGAAGGAAGAGGAGCTTTAAGTGAAAAACCAAAGCAGAACAGATATACCCACGCCACCATGATCCTCGCAGACCTCTTCTCCATGATCCTCCGCCTCGCGGAGCTGGCCTTTGCGGCCATCGTGGCCGGCCTCAACGGCGAGTACCTGCATGCGGTGCGCAACGCCGACTCGTGGCAGCTCGGCCGCCACATCTACACCGAGGTGCTCGCGGGTCTCTCCATCTTGCTGGCCATCATCTGGCTGTTCCCCTTCAGCGGGTCCTTCATCCATTGGCCGGCCGATTTTGTCATTAGCGTCGCCTGGTTTGTGGCGTTTGGTTTGCTGGTTGATTGGTTGAATGGCAGCTGCGGGTGAGTTTTTCATCCGTATTTATTATGTTGTGGTCGAGTGAGAGGAGACAGAGCACTGACTTTGTTCGATGGCAGATATGTTTTTGACTGGGACGGCATCAACTTCAATGGAACGGCCTCGTGCTCGCAGTGGAAGGCTACCATTGCTTTTGCTTTCCTGAGCGCTATTTGCTGGCTTGCCAGCGCCATCTTGGGGTAAGAGAAGCCTTTTGACATGACCGTTTCATATCTGACGGGAGGGACTTCGAACATGCTGACTGGAGGGAATAGCATCTACTGGGTGCGCCGCCACACGGCCCCGGTCGACGGCGCTTACTACCGCCGCCGCCGCTGGTACCGCTCGACTGTCTGAAAGGGGTGCTCGAACACTCACGAGATGTACTCGACAACTTCCTGCTGGCTTCAGGTTGCTTGCTGCTAGTCGGTCTACATTTGCAAACCCTTCAGGTCAAAATCACGATACGATACCCTATTTCCATATACCCATCTCGCTCTGTTGAACCTTTGGGCGTTCAGCTGGTCTGGTTCCTGAGAGTCATGATTCTTAATCCTCAAATTTCAGTTTTGTAATCTCGAATGATAGCGTGTACCAAGTCGAAGCTCAATTCAAACTGTCAACAAACGCCATTAATCACACTATGTGCTGTGTTTCTGTCTATGATTAGAGGGCATAAATCAAAGGATCTCCTTGCACTAAATCTGTGAACGTTCAAGCGTGCTCTGTTCGTTCGAGAGAGTCGCACTCTACATGGCTTCTACTTCGGGTTATGACGTCACAAAGTTTGTTGCCGCGTGGAAATGTGGGGAGAAAGAGACAAAGGGAACGAAGTTGCTTTCAGCTCAAAACCGTTATGCAGAGGCATCCGTCTGTGGTACGGTCAGGTCAGCACCAGGTACGGATATGACCTACAGTACACGGGCTCGACGGCGAAAGATACCGCGATTCCTCCTCGCTTGGAACCGATGGGACGTCAACAGCGGATCTGCGGTGGATCACCCGCAAGATCAAGGTTGCAAGCGACGAGCATGAGCTCATCTCACGTTACTTCAAGTGGCTCAGCATCGCCTTCAGCCACAGACGCCCTTTCGTTTGACGTCGATGACGCCTGTCCTCGAACGATTGTCCAGTCGGCCCCACATTAGGAGTGGCTTGAGCACTTGGCCCATATGAACTTCAGGGTGAATTGGAGCCTGAGAGCTGCTTTCATGCGACACGAGTGTAGCCCATGACGTCGATGAGGTAATGAGCTCTGACGTGCCGCCTGCCGGCCGAGCTGGCCTGCCGCAGCGCAAGAATTGCGTACCTGCAGTCAAAGTAGCGGAGACGTTGGTTTGTGCGGACCGCAGTTGATGAAACCGGCCAAGATGATGGCAATGACGGCAGAGCAGCGAGTCAACGCCCTACGTGCAAACTAGGTGTGATGAAGCCGTGCCACAGGCGGGGAAGGTTCAACTGCCCGTCGAGGCATATAAGGACCTCTTCCCGTCCCCAAAGAGCGGTCCGCATCCATCATCACTCAAAATTTCGAAGCACTCAAAACATTGAAGACAAAGCCTCCAACAAAACACTCAACCACTAAACATCCACCACAAACAATCAACATGTCTGGCATCATGCACAAGGTCAAGGACGCCGTCCAGGGCGCTGTCCACCCCGACAAGAAGGCCCACCACGGCGAACCTGAGGGTACCCACGGCCCGCATAGCAGCCGCGTGGCTAACGCTGCCGACCCGCGCGTCGACTCGGACCGCGACAACTCACACACCGTGGGCGCTGGCCGCACCGCAGGCCAGGGCGAGTACAGCAGCACCGGCTACGGCACCACTGGCACACACACCGAGGGCACACACGGTCCGCACAACAGCCGTGTGGCCAACGCCATGGATCCCCGCGTCGACTCGGACCGCGACAACTCGCGCACCATCGGCAACACGGGCGCAGGGCGTACCGCTGGTCACGGAGAGTTCGGTAGCTCTGGCTTCGGCACTCAAACCTCCGAGGGCACTCACGGCCCGCACAGCAGCCGTGTTGCCAACGTTATGGACCCTCGTGTCGACTCTGACCGGGACAACTCGCGCACTATTGGCACCGGCGCTGGTCTCGGTTCCAGCACCCACGGCACCAGCTCTGGCATGACCGGTGTGACCGGTACCCATGGCGCTGGCTACGGCTCCAGCACCACCGCCACTGGCTACGGTTCTGGCAGCACGGGCGTGACCGGCACTCACGGCGCCCCCGCCGGCACTTACGGCCCACACAGCAGCCGCGTGGCCAACGCTGCCGACCCTCGCGTTGACTCGGACCGTGACGGCCGTGGCGCTATCGGCACCGGCTCTGGACCTGCCCCCAACACTGCTGGCCCGCACAACAGCGACATGGTCAACAAGATGGACCCCCGCGTCGACTCAGACCTTGACGGCAGCAAGACCATGGGCGGCAACAAGACGTACCAGTAAGTAAGTGAACTTGTCCCTGCGGGGCAGAACGTTCCTGGCTTTATTTCACGCTCCGTGCAAAGTAGTCCATAGCTAACTCTTGGGAAAGATCTGGTAACGCATTTGCCCATCGCGATCCTACCGACGCCGCCCAGGTGCCTCCTTCAGTCTTGAGGAATCACCTCGGCGATCCGTCGATTGAGCACGACGACACAACCCACCATCGCGAGAGGCGGCACAGCACCAAGACTCCTCAGGAGACATTCAGTGGTGTCTGATTTTATTTTTTTCCTCGGATGGACGGTAACTGGGTAGAATGTATGAGTTATGAAGGGTCTCATTTGTCGCGGCGTTGCACTCAATTGTACTATTAACTCATACCCAATCATCCTCGAGATAAGATTGACGAAGAGTATCAAGGCTCTTAAAAATGAAGAACTTGTCGAACATTAAAGTCTGAGTCCTGGTTGTTTGTGATTGATCGTGTACTTACCACCAAGTATCTATCCTTCAGCAAAACGTAATCTGCCGCCCCATCAAAGTTCGGTAGGCGTCGTCAAGAACCTTTCTCTTTTTTGACTTCATTGTCTCATCTTCTTGGGCAGACCCGTCTTCTGCTTCTTTGTCTACGCCTTCGAGTCGCGGGATCCAGGCCCTGATTTGCCCGTCCGAATGTCCGCTGAACATGCCGCCGGGGGAGTTACTCCCTCCCATGACCACACCACTCGAGTCGCCTCCGCCGCCAGCCCCTCTCCAAACAACTGTAGACACGAAGCGTTAGCCACAACAACAACCAACTAGAATCGGTGTCAAGGCTGTCAAACAAAACACCTACTGCTCATTACCCGATTCCTAACGCTTCTCTCCTCGCCTCTTGACGTCATCTCCGAACTCGCAACAGCCGGGCCGATCATCATCCCTCCTTGCCTAAGTCGAGTAACAATGTTCCCCTCGTGTAAGTCCATGACCAGAATTTCGGTCTCGTTCGGGAAAAAGAGCAGTTCATTTCGGGGGGGGGTGAGTCCCACGGGCGAGACAAACATGCTCAGGTGGTGGGCCCCCATCTGATGGTGATGATGATGGCTGCTGCTGCTGCTGCTATTGCGGATCGTAGGGCCGAAGTTGGCGAGCGTGTTGGCACCCGTGGCCGCGTCCCAAACGCGGATCTGTGCGTCGTGGCCTGCTGAGACGAGGTAGGACCCATCGTCGGTCCAGGTGAGGCTGTTGACGGGGCCCGTGTGGGCTTTGGCTGAGAGGCGCGGCGGCGCTCGGGGTGTGTTGTCCTTGGTGGTGGTGATGGGGGGGAGGCCGGTGATGTCCTCCTGGTCGAGGAGCGCGACGAGGGCGTTGGATCGGCGCACGTCCCAAATGCGGATTGCGCCATCGACGGAGCCCGAGGCCAGCACGTGGGCGTGGGCCGGCGACCAGGCGACGGATAGGGCTGCGCCGGCAGAACCGCCGATCTGGCCAGGGGCGACGAGCGATTGCACGGCGGAGGAGGAGCGCAGGTCGACGAGGCGCACGGCGGGGTGTTGGGTCCCGCAGGCGACAAGGAGGTGGGACGCTATGGGAGAGGTGGCGTGCGTATAGACTCTTGCGCCGAGATGGAAGGTGCCGGAGACGGAGGCGGTCTCGGTGGACCAGAGCTTTAGTGTCTGGTCGTGGGAGCTGGATAGGAACGCCGCGCTGTCGAAGGGGTAGAAGGATAGGTGGGTGATGCCGAAGCGGTGGCCGGCGGCGGCAGAGCTGGGCCCGTGACCGGAGGGGTTGCTGCTGCCCGCCCGGGCAACCACGGCAACGGGGCGGTAAGTGTGAGTCTGTGGTAACTGGTGGTGAGGACCCTGCTCAAGGTCCCAGAGCTTGATGGTTGCGTCTGAACCTCCGGATATCAATCTGGACGGGAAGATAGCTTAGTTAGGCCGAGCGTGTGTCATCTGATGAGCGGCCCATCACTCACATGCGGCCATCGAAGCGTTCCAGGGCGAGAGCATTGACACTGGCCTGGTGCGCCCAAAAGGAGACCCTTGATGATGCATCAGCCCAATGACCACCGGTATCCCCGATTACAGGTTCGGGCGCAGTACTGCCACTCGCATGACTGACGGCACGCTCGCCGCCGTCAAAGCGGAGACGCGGGGCTGCCGAGAAGGACGTCAGCAGCGATGTCGTCTGGATCCGGGCGAACTCGTTCGGCCCCAGAATGCCCAGGGACCGCTGAAATAGGAGCCCATTCATGCCATGGGCTTAGCTTCCGTGGGATGTGTTGGGTCATCTAGGTGCATGAGCCCAGCAATGGTTCGGTGTCGGGTGAGAACGCGGTCTCGGTGGGGCGGGCCGCTGCTTGCAGAATAAGGTGGCCCGGCTTCTGAGCAAAGCCTCCGACAACCTCTTTCCTTTTAAAATCGACCTCCTTTTCCCAGCAAGCCCGACTTGTTCAACAAACGTGGACTAAACTTTGAGGTGAGAGAAAGGAAACAAGATACTATTCCTGCTACTTCGCGCTTACACGTCCCAGGCACACATCCATGTTGGCCATGAAACCTGGCAATCCGCTCAAACGCACTTTCGTTTGGTTCTCAGTGTGGGGTTGAATGGCGTCGACAACCTACTCCTGACATCCATGGAAAAATCACACGTTTTCGAGACATCGATGGAGTCGTCCTCGGGTTCAGGATTCGACAGCTGGGATGAGAGCTCACCGCCATCGCCGCTGTCGCCATCGGCCGCACAATCTGGCAGTGCTAAGAGACCCCGGGGACGTGCGGCAAACGCCTACGACGCCGTGGCAGGTTGGTTTCGATGATAATATACGTGGCATCCCGCAGACACTCACCTCCATTTGCCAGGACGCGTCACCCTTAATGGGGCCCTCAACGACTCCGAAACGGCCAGCGGCAGAAGCAAGCGTCGCCTGAGCGTGACGGCCGACCGGTACTCGTCACGCAACCCAAAGCTGGCGCCCGAAGACGCTCTGTTCCGGCGCAAGAACGCGCCTGTTCGGTACGCCGAGCACGACATCTACTGGGCCAGCGAGGACCTCCCCGACAGCGGCGGCCGCCACCTCCCCGACGGAAGCCTGTTGAAGTCGGTGCACGGCTATGCGAGCAGATTTTACGAGGCAGCGGCGGCTCGCCTGGGACCTCGCTGTCTTGTCGGGGCTAGGCTGGTCGACGAGAGGAGCATGGACGAAACCGCCCTGTTGGCGTTTGGAATTCTGCTCGAGGAGGCCAGTCGGGAGACCCTCGGCAAGAAGGGCGACTTGGTCTTCACCGAGGCTTCAACCGAGTCCAAGGCGACGGCCAAGATCTCGCAGGCCGCCAGGCTGCCCGGGTTTACTTTTGCAGATACCCAGGAAGCTGACGAGGTTCCTGCCTCGCCGAACCCACCAAGGGTGAAGCGGAGGAAGGTGGCAAAATTTTCCTGACCGACAATCTTTGTCCCGCTCGATTGAGACCCTTTCCAGAGAAGAAGCATATAAATTGAAACACAAACGCCCCCTTCGGCTTTTTGCGACGTGTTTGTCGCAAGAGCTGCAGGAAGCCTACCAAGGAAAGTGACAGTTGCCAAGGTGTTTAGAATCGTCCCAACATCATTCGCAACGCCGCTCTCACGTCCTGGGGCCAGGCATTGGGATTCATGTCGGATGGAAAAGCAACAACTGATGTGATACTTTGACCCCGCCAACAGCGCTACCCGCCCTGCCTGGGGTTTTGAAAGATCAATCATCAGAGAAGTTGCTTCCTTGCTCGTACTGGGAGCGCCATAAGAGATTTTAACCCGGGACACAACTCATGTTGCATCGTACTTTCGTACAGCACACCGAAATACGTCTACGACCGGATGCCTAGATGCAGCGAAGTCTTCGCCATGTTTTAGGCGTCCCCTGTCACCATGGAATCAAGTATGAGATATGATGTCCATTTTCCGTTATGGACTATAGCCAGCACCCAATCAATCAGTACATACTGAGCGAGAATGTCAAACATGCGCCTTTGGTTCGCATCACGGTGGGCATGGCGCTTTTGCCGATCGAACCGCTGATTGCGCGGAACCCGCACGGCAACCTTTACACGGCATAGAGCAAATGGGTGGGGGACTGTTGACTGCTCAGGACTTTAAGAGCGGACCGCGCCGCCACATATGAGTTTGTCTCCCACAGTGAGTCTTCTGCTCCGGTGTCTCATTCATCTCTCTCCGGGAAATAACCGCAATGTGAAGGCGACAGAATCGAGTCGGCGGGCCGCTGGAAACGGCTTTCGGAAGCGGCCTGCTTCCAAACTATTGGGACCTTCACCCCACGTTCCTCGGATGTCCCTTTGCTGAGTGATTGGACAATGTGCCGGTTCCACCTGGGTGGGACCCAACGACTAGGATGATGCCTAAGAGATATGGCGAGCTGCCAAACACTTTCGGTACCTATTCGTGGTATCGGAGCTTGTTGATGGTGAAACTCGCAGTTGCGAAGTTGGACTTAATGTCCCGCCTTGGTGTGTGGGTTGTGGAGGGGCACAGAATTCCGTGAGATGTTGATCCAAGGTCACCGCCAGTGTTCGCGTCCAGAATGATGAGATGAACAATTGGTGAATGTTCCAGCCAATCGTTTTCGAGCCAGCGAGGAGATGTAGAAGCCTTGAGGTGAGGCAGAAGCCCGAGAATGGAAGTGGAAAAGTTCTGGAAGTGGGCGGGCACTGCCGTCTGGCTTCTGGCCCGTCAACTGGAAGGAACGGAGCAGCCTTCCAGGTTCCAAGCCTTCCACGTTGTCCCCGCAAGCTCCCAGCTCAGGTTCTTTTGCAATTGTTCCATTGCGGAACAACCCTCTCTTGAGCCAACGTACCTACGGAGGAGTAGTTGATCGTCTTTTGTCTTTTCCAAGGGCGAGCGACCCTGTTAGGTTGATATGATTTGCTTCTTTTGAATTTTGTTTTACCCCGCCTCCGTTGAACGTCAAGCGACAATATTGACGTGGTCGCTGGGCCCAAGAATACCAACGGCAAGAAGCTCTCCCGCAAGTGGCATGGTCCTGCGACAGCCCGATCCCAAGTCGGCGTCCACGTCCCGTTGTCGGGTCTTCGGTACTGCACGGGGGGTTCTCCGATCATCCGATGGGATTTTGGTGCGGCAAATCAGGGCACGGTTCATATTCTCTCTGCTGACCCCGGCCCACGTTGCTAGAGTTGCATGCGCCCGTCAATGGCATGCTGGTGCTTACTGCCTGCCAACCACGCGCCTCATGCACGATGCCTCGCACAGACAGACGAGAGGTGGGATTCTACCCGTCCCAACCGTAACCGCGGTGTCCGGGTTTCCGAGCTCTTCTCTCTGCTGCCTCGCACGCCTGGCTATCACCTCTCTGCGGTCTTCAGCAATAGGCATTAGGATGCTGGCTATTTCCAGGCGAACGTGAGCATTGAGAAGGCCGAGTCTTTGGCTCGCCATCCATTGCTGTGTGTGGCCACTGCCAGCTTTCGCGAGGCACAAACCCCTGCCTGTCGAACAACCGCAAATCTCCGCAAACCCTCCAGCGTTCGGGTCGGTGGGGCCAAGGCCGTAGACACGCTTTTTCAGTCCTGAATGAGGACCTCTGTCACGAGAAACCGAGAGATCGTCATGAACGAGACGGAATAAGCAGAGGAAAAGGTATATCACACAGTACGACGATGTAGCTAGCCTCCGACGTCTCTCTCATAAGATCACGGCTCTCGCCGTGGATAGGTATTGTACAATCATCAGTTTGCTATCGCCGGCATGACTGCGACCGACCAATGCCAGTGCTGCCCCGACACCGCCGGCCAGTTTGGTCGCCTGGCTTCGGTTGTCACTGGCCCATCTGATTTGTTTCTTTTTATCCCCCTTCGCTGAGCAAACGGAGTGTCGAGCAAAAAGAGGGATGAGTACTCCGTCCAACAGGAAACTTATGGGCGTAGAAGAACAATGGAACAAAGTTCAACAAACACAGCTATCCGTACGGTCAGGGAGCCCACCAAAAGCTCGCTTCCGCAAACCCGTCAATTTGTCGATGATCCAGAAGCCGCCTTACCCCAATTAGTGTAGCAGAACCCTTGGACCGAGAGGGCAGTTGGAGGCGGCCCACCCTTCTCGCACTTCTGATTGCTCGGAGGCCAGCCCCGTGGCTCTCCACCATCCTGGGTTCCGTCTGCGCTAGGTCCTTAATGGGACATGCTCGGCAGCGAGCTCCTCGATTTGTTTCTCCGCCAGCTCCCACTCCTGCCATTGACCGTCTCCTGCGACCGTCTGTCGCACCGGGCTGCCTGGCAGGTCTCGTCCACACCGGCTTCTTTGTGCACTTTCGGAGACGCCATCTCCCTGGGGCCGCAAATCGCAGACGCTGCCTTGCCAATCCTTAACCTTGCTGGCCTGCCGAAACCCGTCCCCTACCCTGGACCGAGCTTTCGTTTTTCGTCCTCCCCACTTCGCCCACCCCAGGCCGCGAACGCGCAACACAGACCACATCCTGTTGCTGCCCAACAAGGTAACGAACTGGTTTCTGTTCGTCTCGGTCTCAACAGCCTTTCCCGTGGAGGGCCGACTGTCAGAAAGCTGATAGGGGCTCCGGCAGAACAAGTCAGCGGCTTTTCCGATACACACGCCCATCCTCCCCACCCCCACACTCCTTCACAGACCGCTTCGTGCCGAGTGCGCTTGCTGGGGTTTTCATCATCCTCGCGCGTCGCAAGCGTTATCTGAGGCTCACAGTCACGGGGTCTGACAACTTTCCTGCTTGGCTGTCCCCCAAGCGTGGGCTTCCTCCCCGCTTGTGCTCCAGCCTCCATGCTACCGCGGCAAGCTTCGTACTGCCCCGTCGCCTGACTCTGCCGCTGGCCACCGCCATCTCGTGTCAACCAGGCGCGCATGTACATGCATGTATAAAGATCCCAGCCATGGACCAAGGGCAGCCTGACACCAAGCGACCACGTCTGTCGACTGGCCCAGGACCGTCATGGTCAGTTGGGGGTTCACACCACGGTGTATCTCTGCTCCATCCCATCTCCTCTCCAACCGCCGGCCAGCTGCCTCATCCTCCCCCACCGTCGACCCAGTATCATCAACAACCCTCACCGCTCTCCTTCGCCCGTCCTCCCGGCCCCGGTGACCCTCCTCCACCTCCGGCCCCTCCTCCTCCGGCAGCGCAGACGCCCATCGACGACCGACGGCAACATGAACCCGACAGATTCCCGCCAATGCAAGAACACCGGCAGCCTCCGCACTCGCCAGCGCTCCCGCCGTTCCCGCCCTATCCTCCCAGAGAACCGATGATCAAGCCGGATCCCGCCGATGACACTCCTCCGCACCTGCGCAGACCTCACTCGACCGGCGGCAGCGTCCACCAGGATACGATGACACCAGTGACGCCGCATTCTGCTGTCCCGCTCCCGCCCCACTCCCAGCCTTACCCCGATGATAGGCGGCACATCAGCTTCGACAACGGCCCGCAGCCGCCCATGTACAGCAGGCAACCAAGCTATCAGCCCCAGACCCCGTTGCCGCACCCTCAGCCTTACGACTACCCGCCGCAGTATGCTCACCATGGCGAGCTCCCCTATCCGATCCAGGTCGCGGCTGCGTCGGGCAAGCGCAAGGCGCAAAGGGCATCACAGGTTCGTAGGCCCCGCAGAGATGGGCCGAAGGGTCGGGCGCTGACTAACACATGACGCCCCGTAGGCTTGCGACATGTGCCGGCAACTAAAGGCCAAGTGCGATGAGTTGAAACCGTGCAAGAGCTGCAAAGAAAAGAAAGTCGAGTGCAAGTACCGGGAGGCTGTCCCGAAGCAGTACGTCGTTCCCACCCTTTCCCACACCCTCCTACCTTCATTACCGAATCCCACTAACCGCCGGAGATTTAGGCAAGACAAGGTCACGTCTGATATTCTGGACACCCTAATGACGCTGCAAAACAAGTTCGACTCCTTCGACCAACGCATGAGCAGGCTGGAACGCGCAATGGTGCGCAATGGCGCCTCAGTTGACCTTTTGGCCGACCCGGGGTTGGACGACGATGACCGACCCGAATCGGCCGAATCGGCGTTGCCCAAGGCTGAAGATGCTGCCTCGGCTTCACCCGCAGACACGACAGGCGAAAAGCCACCTATCGACAGCATTCAGGCTCGTAATATTACGCGCGACATGGACGAAGAAAAAGAGGTAGAGCCCGGCCCTAGGGTTCGACCAGGTCTCCCCTCGATTCCGCATAACCATACCACGCTGGCTGCTTTCCTGCTAAAGTGGCGTCCCATTTCGGTCCTTGTCGGGGGTATCTTGGAAGCCGAAAACGTCAAGTACGTCGACGAATTTCCGATTCGCCAAGAAGAGAAGCGCGGCCTCCTCCGGATTTGGGGCCGCGGTGAGGGCCTAGAGAGCAGCCTTCGAATGGACAAGGCCGACCGGGAGGCCATCCACGATGCTGGCGCGATGGAGGTTGTACAAGACGACGTTTCGGACTCTGGCGCTCCCTCGCCGGCCGACTGCTGGGGCGGCATCAGCGGCTCGCCCGGACCAATCGATGGCAAGCCTGTCATCAGCGTTCAGACGCCGGATTTCAGCGAGAAGATTGTGTGGAAGTATGTTCAAAGCTTCGAGGAGAACATCCAGAACATGCACCCGCTTATAATACCGAAAGAGCTGCACGCAATGGTCAAACTCTTTCTGGACACAGTCCAGCAGACTGCGAGCAAGCAGTCTCGCAGCGCTGGCATCGCCAAGTTTGTCGTTACCCCGTCGCCGCAGTCCGAGACGGGGGTCAAGAGAAAGCGGTCTCCGGCGCCAGACGGCTCAGAGTTGCCCGCCACATCACCCAAACCGGCAAAACCCGTCTTCCAGCGATCCATCAATAACGCCCTCGTCTTGTTAGTGCTTGCGCTGGGAAAGATCTGCTTGCATAAAGACAGGATCCCCGACGTGGTGCCAGTCAGTGATGCCACGCACAACTCGCCCATGGCGCGGAACGGATACCCGGCACCAACATCTCCCATCCAGCCTTCCTCGCCCTCCCAAGCATCGCACACGCACTCGGCCGGTCTGCCATCTCCCAAGGAGGGTGTTGAGCGTCCAGGACCCAGCAGGCGATCCTCCTTCCAGGGCGGAGGCCCGCCCATCAAGGGGGGAACATCTCTGAAGAGAAACATGGACGTGATCCCGGGGTTGGACTACTTCGCTTATGCCACCGATATCCTAGGAGGCCAGCTTGCGGGAACCAGCTTACGGCATATCCATGCATACCTCCTTGCTGGGTTGTATCACGGACAGCTGGGACGGGTGTTGGAGAGCTACGCTTACATCAAGGAGGCCGGATATGCGTTACAGGTTAAGATGAGACCGTAAGCCCACCGTTTGCTGCTGTGTGTCGAACTCGCCTCATTAACTTGTGGGCAACAGGAGTTTAGACCGGTTCAGCAAGATGCGGCGTGATCAAGTTGGAGTATCTGAGAAGTCGGATAACCAGCTTGTCTTCGCCTTTTGGACTTGTTTGCAACTCGAGAGGTGAGTCGAGGCCGGCTGCCTGGCTGTGCAGACGGTTCACAAGGCATATTTCTAACATGAATCGTTTAGTGACATAATCGCCGAGTTGCCACTCCCCCAATCGCACATCTTGGCCTACGAGGACATGATGCCGTATCCCAATATCAACTTGGCCCGAGACCTGGGCTTCAGCCAGATTGTGCTTGAGAGCTACCTCGCACAGTTGTATCTGCGCAAGAAGTTGAATGAAATCCACGGAATGCTGTATGACCCGGACAAGCCGCTCCCACCGCTCCTTGGCACGGGAGGCGGGGCCGGCGGCAACATCATCGAATACATTGAGGACTCACTCGATATGCGCTACCAGCGCTGGGTGCCGCCCGAATTCAAATTCCAGCCCACCGATCCGCCGGCCGGAGATATCCTGTCGGCACGACTGCGCGCTAAGTACTGGGGAGCGCAGGTCATCACCTACCGGCAGTTTGTGCGCACGATCCTTGAGGTCAACTTTAGCAAAACCATGTCTCACGAGTCGCCGATGCCCGCGTCCGAATTCCGCTCCGGTCTCATGGTGCCCGTTGTCGGCCCGGACAAGGACATTCCCGACGAGATGTATCGATATGCGAAGAAGGGAGTCAACGCGCTGATCGAGAGCACGCGGGCGTTCCATGGGCTCAAGGAGAGGCGGTTCGTCGTCACCAATATTTTTGGGACGGCCCATGCGTATGGAGAAAACCTTTTTTCCCCCTTCTCTATTCCGGATTACTCCTATAAACGGTGCATTAGGCTGATTTGGTGTGAACTTGTAGTCAATGGGGCAATCTTCTCACCCTCTCGGCTGTATTTCGAGACCCCACTCTCCGAAACCTGGTCGACGAGCAGGTGCTCAGGGAGCTCTTTTCCAGGACCATCGCCTTCTTCAGGATTATTGCCCAACCCACCAGCGCCCTGCACATCGACCTGCGCATCCTCGAGGGCCTCGAGCGCGAGCTCTGGCCTAATAATAAGTCAAACAATGCCGATACCGCCATGGATCATCCGACGGGATCCAGCTTCTCCAGCTCGGCGAGCGGCGGCGGTGAACTGCCCGCACCGCCGCCGCCGCCGCCGCCGCCGCCGCGGATGCATCCGATGCCGCCTGTCGCCGGCCCTCTCCCGGCTGGCATGCACTCGCCTGTCATGAATCATCATCATATTATCACCAACGGGATGAGCAGCAGCATGTCGCCGCCGCTTCCATCGCCGATGCAGCTCCACCAGGCGGCGACGGCGGGGCTCCCGGGACCGGTCCAAATGATGTCGGAGGCGAACTCGGTGGTTCATCATCATCAGGGAGCGGGGGCGCACCACCACCACCCTGGTATGTTGCCGCCTATGCAACACCATCCACCACCTCATTGATTGGGGAGGATGGCGGGGTTGTTTTGTTTTGGACCAGGCCCACTCTTTGCTTTGACGTCTGGGTTATTATTCCAGCGTCCTTAGAGGCGCGCCTTCGGAGGCCTTTTGTTTTCTCCTGGTGTTTATTTCTTGTTTTCTTGCCCACTTTACGCTCATCTTTTTGGGGTACCTGTTTCATAGCATTTGCATGATTCCTGTTTTTGGTTCCGGTAAGGGGCAGCGGCGGAGATACCACATTGTGCAAACACGTCCTGGTCAAAGTTTGGTTGGGCGGAAGGCGGGGTGGGAGGCTCTCTGATGTACTTGTAATGTGTCCTTGTCTCAAACTCTGTTGGTTTTTTCTTTTCTTTTTTTTCTGGCCTAATTGTGTGTATGTTTTTTCTCTGTTGTTCCTGAAACCAACCTCTCATCATTCTCCTGTCTTCGTGTTGGCGGTGCGTTATCCCGCAGGGTTCAGAGAGAGCCCCTTTTCGATATCGATATGATTTGTTTTGATGTAGCACACGCAACAAGTTTTTCCTGGTGTTGGGAAAGCGGAAAGACGGGATGAAGCGGCTCTGACTTTCTGTCTTGAGATAGGGAACCGGACCACACGGGGTGTACGCAAAGTCGGAAGTTTTGATGTACATAGATGGTGAGGTAATACATGCATGGCAGGTTTGCCGGTAGAAGAGCCCCCGCGCACACGTTCGGCAGGGTGGATATCATTCAGTCATCAAAGCGCTGAATACAAAGCAAAAATTACATCTTCCTGGGCAGGACTGATGCGCCTGTCCTAGGCATCCTAGAATGGAGATGGCATCCACCAGTTGAAGTTGTTGTGACTTTCTCTCCCCTGAGAGCAAAGTCCCATGGGTATCTTAGCTTATAACAAGACCACGCAGAGACACAACCATCCGTCCGGATAGGCGGCTTCGCGCATCAGTTCCTCGAGGGGTGCCCGGAAGGGGACGGGCGCGCCGTGGAGTATGACATTTGCGAGGACTGGGTCCCGGCTGCTGGGGAAGAGTGTTGGGAGGATGGTCTTTAGAGCGGCGCCGAGGGTCTGCGGCGTTCCTTTTAATGGGTCAGGCCAGACAATGTTAGTTATTTACATCCTGGAGATGCTCTCGGAAAAGGCCTCCAAGGCGGTAGAGAGTCTACGAGCAAGAAGGGGGTCTCGAGGTTGGGGACCAGGAGTGGAGTGGACGTACTGTTGGGTAGTCGTGGCGGGACCAAGGTCTGGACTACCTTGAATGACCCTGGGGTCGTGTCGCTTGTGTCGTGATTGGGCGAGGAAGGGATGTAGATGCGGATGGGCACGTTCTTGAGCGGCGTCGGTGTGTTTAGCAAGCGGCTGTTGATCTTGCTAAAAGAGGCATAGTCATCTAGCGGGCGTGCTACATGTCAAAACCCAGTTGTAGTCCTGTAACACACCGCCAGCACTTACTGTCCTGAACAGCATTCCACAGCGCGGTGCTGTGCTCCTTGGACAGACTCATGATTTGTTTGGCGTTCCCATTCCGCACAAAGTCGGCTTCCTTCGCAGAGTTGGTGAAAGTGTCGGCGATGTCCCACTCCGGCCCGTCGCTCACGACCAGACGCCAGGGCAGGGTGGGTGGCTGGTACAGGTCGAACAGCAGGCCGACGGCCAGGTTGCGCAACTGGACGTCCTCGTGGTGGAAGCTTGAACAGGGCATGCCGCCGTAGTGGGCCGTCAGGCGCGGCAGAAGAAAGGAAAGGTAGCTGAAGCGCGGGACTGAGACGATGAAGGGCGGTGTGTTGGGGGGCCCCGTCGCTTGAGTGATGTACAGGGGCACCTGCAGGTTCCAGAGTGTAAGAGGTAGCGGTGTAAGAGCTGCCTGCGCTGCCTCAAGGCTGTTGTCATGAGGGCCCGGAGTGCCGCCGCTGCTCGGGCTGTTCAGGTGGCGGCGATCGGTCCGCGGGTCTGGGCTGGGTGAGCCCGCGGAGGATGCCGATGGTGGTGAGGCCATCTCGAGGTTGAGCCTCTGGCCGTCTCGTCACCTTTCTCCCCCCTCGCCCTTCTGAGTCGCTTCTTGTGTTATCCGCCTTGGAACCTCTAAAGGCTAACTCAGTTGCTGCTCTTGCTGTTGTGCCTGCCTCTGCATGCATGCGAATCGATAGTCAGCTGAGCTACCAAGTACTCTCCGTAAGGATCGTCGTTGGATGTGGGGCTCAATCGGAGCTCTAGAAACGATGCAACCATGCCCATCCAATCTTGAGACAATGTCCCTCTTTGTTGACCGCCTGTAATTCGTAGGATTGAATTATTATGTAAATTCACGAATCAAGAGGTTCCCGCTCGGTTAGCTGATGTCGCTGGCGCAGGCTGCGGGGTAGCTTCCATCTTCTGTTTGATGTGAAGGGCAGCTCAATGCACCTTCCTCTCGTAAGTTGACGCGATGCACCATCATTGGAACGAACCCCGTGCTTCGCTCTCCCCAGATGCTCCTTCTCGAGAAAGTCGGTGGCAAGCAGCATTGGCGGTACGGGACAAGTAACCTCATCCAAATGCATCTGTGTAGCACACAAGGCCTTGCACGACTTATACACATAAGGTATGAGTCCAGTGCACACTTACACCTGCAGAGGAACAATCCATGCAGCCCACGTTCCCGCCTACCCCGGAGCACATCTCAGTCATATCTCAACCAGTATAAAAGTCCGTACTCCATAAGGTGGGAGAAATCCTTTCTCACTGAGAATGCGTACCACCAACAGCCACCACATCGTCAGCCCCTCACCCGCGGACCCATCACCGACCGTCAGACCAAAACATACGTATCCGTACCCTCACCGCCCAACCGCTCCTTTGACAAACCGAGGAAAGCAAATAAGCATGCCGCGTCCCGTCACAGCTGGAAGCGGTGTGGGCTGTCAAACGAAGCCGAGGTGACAGGTGACATGTCAGACCAACCGTAGGCCAGTCAGCAACAAAAGATGCTGTGCGACATCCCCAAGCAGCAGCAACAGCAGTAGCAAATTTCCGGTGCCATTTTCCTCTGCACGACGCCGGATTACGTTGCCTGCCACACCACCACAGCTCAGCGTTTCTCCCTATCCTGCTCTGTGCCTGCCTCACTGGCTGTCTCACGTAGCCCAAGGAGAGAGACTCTTGCCTGAGGTCTCTGTCACCTCCATGTCCCGTCGGGTCAACTCGAGGGGTGAACCGCCCCCTTACTACACCGTACGGTGCAACCAAGTCGAGTTTTTCAAGCCGGCTGGAAGGCGTTTCACAGAGGGACTCAGCGGGTCGTTGGCAGATGCGGCTCGGAACGGTCGCAGACAGGCGAAGAAGGCATTTAGCGGCTCGCTTCGCAGGACTTTTAGCCCGATGAGAAGAGAGAGATAATGAGAGTCATTTGCATGTCCAGTCAAGAGAAAAAGACAACAGGATATCTGGTTTCATCCAACCGTGAGAGACCTCCAACGCTATTATAGGCCACGGACAGGTAGCTTGCCGAGGTAGAAACAGGCCCACACTCTACATGTTCTGAGACTCCACGTTAACGGTAGCAAGCAGATGGAAGGAAGCAATGAAAGGATCATAACACTGAGGTGAAATGCACCAACAGTACACAAGAGCCTGCCCAACGCTGCATCGCTTCAGCTCATCATCCCAAAAGAGTCTCGAAAAATATGACATCCCCACTATCCCGCCACATCTAAAACATTCATGGTTTCCATGAACATAAATGTAAACCAAGAAATATCAAAAGATGTGTGTGTACAAGAAAACAATCTCCATCTCCCGGCAGGTTAGCCAAACGAACCGACCAAACCCCCAAACCCAGCCAAATCCCCCCCCCCTACGAAAAACTCGGCTTCTTCCTCCTGCCAAAAACTCTAGATGAGATACCAGGATAGGCCTCCCCCTTCTCCCCCGCCCCCCCCGGCAACTGACTCACCACCACAGTCGCCCCACCACCAGGCGGCCCCGAATGTTTCAAGAAATCAGCCAAATCCGACGTCGCGGTCCGATTCGACACCGAGACCGCCTCCCGCGGCTCAAACCTCTTCATCGGCACCCGTGGTCCTCTTCCTCCTCCTCCAACATGGGAGGAACCTGCTGCTGCTAGGCCTGGACTTGGCCCGCCTCCTCCCAGCGTGGCAGCCACCTTGGACGAGGTGCGGATCGGTGGCGCATACTGGTCCACCCCCCCAACACCTCCGGGTATGTTCACTTGAATCGGGACGTGCCCTCCCTTTCCGCCACTGCCGCCGCCGCCGCCGGCCCGGCTGTTCAGGCCCCGAGCAGACTCGGACACTTTGGGGCTTGAGGGACGCTTTGCTGATACCAACGCGCCCGGTTGTTGTTGTTGTTGTGCGCTGCTGTCCCACCTCGTGAAGCGGGCCATCAAGCTCGGTGCGCTGGCCTTTTTCTTTGGCTTCAAGTTGTTGTTATTCAAACTCCGTGTTTGCACGATGTTAAGTGGCTGGACGGTCGGGTCTTGTGGCGGCGGGCAGTTATTCAGAAAGTCAATCAGGCTCTCCTCCTTTGCCGGCGCTCTCTTCTTGGGCGGCATTGGCGTCAACTCATCATCGTCTTCAAGCTCTTCCTCGTCGCTTAGATCGATGGCGTACGGGTCGCGCACCCGGCGAGTTTTACGTTTCGGCATGGGCATGTCGTCGTCGTCCATTGCGTCGTAGGACGTGGGATTGTTTCTGGCAAGCAGAGCACTGTGCGAGTTGATGGACGACTGGACTGACGGAGGCACCGACGACTCGGTGACGTGGGTGGAGGCCGGGCTACTCCGGAACTCGCCATCGCGCAACTGGGCATCTACCGCTCTGCCTCCAATCGCAACACCAGACAGTTGATCAGAGTCCATGGTGGTTCGGAAGGGAGCAATGGCTCTCGGAATACGGGGGTTACCGGAGCCGTTCGGTGGCCCGCGCCGGATGAAGTCAATCAAGTCTGAGTTATCGTCCCTGTAGTCAACCGTAGCTCCGCGAGCCTGGTACTTTGGCCGGTTCGGATTGCTCGTAGTGGACATCCTGCCAGTCGAGATGCTGATGTTGGAGACAGAGCCTTGGTTTCGTATCCTCCCCGGTCCCACGGACGCCGCAGACCCTGTGACTCCGCCAGCAGGCCCGGTGGAGCGGATGAACTCAGCAAGCTCGGCAACAGATTCACGAGGTAACTTGGCATCTCTGGGCTGAGGCCCGCTGGTGGCGCGCGGGTTCGACGGCACAGGAGGGAGAGACCGTGGTACAACACCGCCATGCTTGCCTGTGGCGCTGGTGAAGTTTCGGTTGGCTTGATGTGTGTCGGTGACGGAACTCGACCCTGACCCAGACGAGCGCGGCTTGGTCTCGCTTCGCGGAGACGACGACGAACGTGAGCGTGACCCGCCCTGGCGAGCTTCTTCGCTCTTCCTCGTCTTGACGGAGACAGCTGAGCCACCAGCGGCAACGGACCGTGTAGACTGAGACTGCAGCTGTATCACAAATTAGAAATGCTCAACCTTGGTGAAAGAAGCAGGGGCCAGGGGATAGATCGGGATGCTTACATCGAAGTCGCGCATGCTTTCTGGCGTCAAAGTGTACTGTATGGTTTCGTCACTCTGGATAAGTTCCTCGAAATCCCGCACTACGTCAATACGAGCTTGCACGCCCTCCTCAGAAGCCCGTACCGGCTTCAGCTTGGTTGACGAAGGAGAGCTAGAGGACGTTTGCTGCCGAGTTCGTCCCGCTGACTGCTCACGAGGTTGAGTCGAGGATTCCTGCGAGAGGCTGCGAGCGCGGGAACGTTCCACCGACACCTGGCCGATAGCTGCTGGCTGCCGCAAGGCCGACGTGTTGGCGATCGTTTGCCTCCCAATACTCTTTTCGGGGACAGCCGGGAGCTGTTCAGTTGGCGACGAACGATATCGCTGACCACCTGCCCGAGATTGTTCTAGGGCTTCCATCCCCTCCGGCAAAACCGGCATCGTTTCAATGAAGAAGCTGCTGCTAGCTGTGGATGCAGGGGACACTGGAGAGCATGGAGCGGGAAATACGGTTGTTTTCGCCATCGCCTTGGGAGGCGTTGAAAGCTCTCGGACGTGGCCTTGAACAGCAGATTCAGCCGGCCCATCCTGCTCCTTGACCACTGGTTCCGGGGCGGCTGGCAGGCTGGCGCCTGCTTGAGTGGCAGAAGTGACAGGACCTGATGCTGAAGCAATATCGTTTTCGGCGGCGTGCTGTTCCATCTCCGAGATAGACACGCTCGCCGCGAGTCCTGACTTGGCTCCGTGATGGACGGCCGATCTACCCCCTGAGCTGCCGTCGAAAGAGGGCTCTGGCCGATCTTCTGAAACGGGCGGAGTCATGGCGCGCGTGGTCCCAGACGGACTGGAGTGGCGGGCTGGGTCGGAAACGGCGACCGAGCTGCGTCGCGAACCAGGCACTGGGCTACGCGGGCTAGTCACATCAATCAGTCGCGCAGAATGGATGCTCGGTGTGCGAACCGGCAGGCTTGTGTTAATAGCGGCAGGCTTTCCATGCTCAGAAGACGCAGTCGACGGGCTGCGTCCCAGAATTGAAACCCTTGAGGACCTGACAATCCGGGGCTCTTCAATAGAAACTTCGTCGTCGTCCTCATCCTTGAGTTCATCTTCCTCCGTGACGTGTTCCCCAGTGCCAAGGTCAGACTCTGCGTCCGCAATGTCTCCGGGTCGGCTTTCCGCAGGCGAGTCCGCTGGGCCGGCTTGGGCCGGCTCAGAAACCTCCGCCGGCTCCTTGACGGGTTGGTCAACCTGGACTTCTGAAGGCGTGACATGACGAGGACGAGCAGGGATTGGCAGCGAGTTTGAGCGTCTCCTAAGGAGCTGCAGTGTAGACGGCTTGAGCGTGAGCAGATCGTGGGCGTTGCTCCGTGGCAGTAAAGTCAGACTTCTTGGCCGCACGCGCGCGCTTTCTTCCTGAGCACCGTCCTCCTCGGTCTCGTCGTCCCTGTGAAGCGCTAGGCCAGGCATTTCGATTTCCGCGACGTCATTGGGGCCCATGGGCAAGGGAATGCCGGCAGCAATCAGACTCTCTTCCAAGGGCCCCTGAGGGTCCCAATCCTGATTCGCACTGTCGCTCCTCTCCAATTCTGTTTCTGTGTGGGGCTCAGGGACCGTAGCCGGAACACCGAGTTCAGCAGCGCTGCTGGGTGAGCACATATGACCAGATGCGGAGCGCAAGGAGTCCCGAGAATAGGATCGGTTCAAACGGTCCATCGAGGCAATGACAGGCGAGCGGATTTTCTTTTTCCACGATCTCCATAACCGGCCGAGGGTCCGGTCCAGTGCAACACGTTCCATGTCGAGCTCTTCGACGACGATCATGTCGGCAATGCCGGTAGCGGTTCGTGCGCCTTCCTTGAGCTCCTTTTCGTACTTGGAGCGCATGCGGTGGTACGCAGCTTGACCGGCGACAATCAACGCTTGCTCGCCCATGAACTCCAAGATGGAGGTCAAGAAAATGGCGACGGCAGGCGAGACGGCTTCCGCAAAGCGGTCCTCGGGCCCGGTGTCGAGGTGGCCCTGCTCCATGTAGTAGTCCTCATCCTCCTCCTCCAGATCTCCAAGGGACGAATACACCATGCAGCGAAGGCGTGTCCTCTTCCAGGCCAACTCCAGATCCCAGTCAGTCGATACCTGGGTGTGGCCGCTGTCTTCGTCATCCCCACCAAGATACTCGCGCAACTCCTCATCTGCCTGGTTAATGGCATCTTTTGCGAGTTTGGGCTTCAGGACGTCGGACACGGCCGGACGCAGGGCGGAGAGGGTAGTGGCGCGCGAGACGGAGAGGAAGTTGAAGAGGAGCTGGTCCAAAAAGTTGTTGACCAGCTGCAAGGCGCCCGGCGAGACGGCTGCCGTCTCGCCGGACGGCTCGATGCCATGCTGGTCGTACCATGTTTCGGCATGGCTGTCATGGTCGTTGGTGACAATCTGTGAAGCGGCCGACGCAGCGATAAAGGCCGGCTCGGGTGACACTGAGAGCGGAGGCGACATCATGCTGTAGGCGACAGTCGATGGTCGATCGCTAGATATGCTCTGTGTCCTCGAGCGGGACGGAATTCTTTGTGGAGGAGAGATCACGCTCGACACGCCCGAAGAGGGCCGGGACGTGGCCGAATCTAATGGGGAAGCCATGGGTGGCCGTGGCAAGCAGGCGCAGGCCCGGCAATGTCGAATGCCCGGAGACGCGGGATCCTGCTGGTCTCCTGCTGCAGGGCGTCAAGCACTGTGGACAACTGAAGGGTGTGGCAGGGCAGGATCAGCGCCACGGACTCGACTTCGTCTTCCTTCTTCCAGCACACAAAGTGCGCCAAATGTGGGTGGCCGACCGGCGGGTGGGGTGTGGCTTGCGGTGTGTGGTGTCACTAGCTATTAAAGTTCGGTGAAGGCCGGTCTCGACGAGCCAGGGGGGAGGCAATTGGATCCAAGGATTGGACGAACGGAAGTCGGGGTCCTTCTTTCGATCTCGCGGGGCTGTAGCGGGCGGGCTAGAGTTTCTTGTTAGCCAGCATGGAGCGATTCGTTGGCCGGCCAAAGTGCGGGCGTAGGAACTGAAACAAAAAGCGACGCTAGAAACTCGACGCAATAGGCAGGCGGATAATAATTTTACGATAAGGGGAAGAGGCCACTGCCGGGCACCGGACCGTGAGAAGATGCGGTCGGAAACCCCACGTGGTCTCAATGCAGACTGCAGTCAAGTGGCACATAATGCATGCGCAGACTGAAAGTTGCCGTCCGTGATATGGGAATAAATAACCAGATGCTGGACGCACACGGCACCAAACCATGTCAACGCCGCTCGCTCCCCTCCTCCATCAGACGGCGTAGGCGTAAGTGTGAGGCGAACATCACGCGCGGCTCAATTGGCTGCGGCGCAATGCTGGGTGCCGTTGGCAAAGAGGCAAGCATCCGCGGAGAGAGCTGCCAGTGTTTGAAACGGTCGGCAACAGCGAGCCTCGTAGCATGAAATCCATGCTAGGGACAACAGCAGCCGCCGTTGCTAGGACTGTACAGAACAGCGCCTCGTAGGGCCGGAAAAAGTATGAATACCACGCACCTAGGAGCGAGGGCCAATTCTCAGCCGACGCCACTCACGAACAGGAGAGATTGGTGCTCGGTTGGCAGCCGGTTGGTGTTGCACAAGCAGTGGGTAGTCGACTGAGTCGATGAGATTGGAAGCCGGTGCTTCTGTTGATGACAGGCGGTGTGCTGTTCGGCGCAGTTATGCAGGTCGCCGCCGTCAGGCTGACAGCTTAAGTCGCCGTGTCTGTCCTTGTTTGCGATAGAGTTGGGAGAATTGAGAGTTCACCGTCTCCTGAAAGCGTTCCCGACCGACGGACAAGCCGGGGTCCACGGATCCTCTTTGGCAACTCTCAAAATGGCTTAGTGTGGAGCAATGGAAGAAGTCTGTTTCTCAGATGAAGCAAATTCCCCGGTGGTTTTAAGTGGGCCGATCGGTCTCATGCACCGCAAGGATCCCTTAGTTGTCTTGGCTCTGGTGGGCCTTCGAGACGTTCATGTTTGGCAGCGAGGTTTGTGTGACGTCCAAGAGCCAGCTCGTCAGGGGCAACTCGCTTTTTGCTGTGGTCCAAAGTCTTGGAGAAAACCTCGCCGCATGGCAATTCTTTTCGTCTCCTCGCCTCCCGTGCCGTTGGTTTTCGAAACCCCGGGCCCATCTCATCTCCTTCGGCACTCGGCAGAGATTTCAGGTTTGGGATCGGTGCAAACGGGTAAGGGATCTCCTTGTGATTAGCCACAATTGAATTTCCCGACCGGGGCGGGCCCCTCCTAATAGGCCGACATGCTCAGGTTGTTCTGGGACCTCTGGATCAGACTCTCCAATTTGGGTAGTTGCGAATGGCTTTGCTCATCCTCATCAAATCAACCAGTGGCACTGCATCTGCGAGTTCAAGTTCCCAATTGGAATAAGAAGACACAGCATGGAAATCCCAACTTACACGTGTGATATCGTTTACTGTACTCTAGCTCCGTACCTTCGCCTGGCGAATGGAGCAAATCTGAGACCGGCCGGGGTCATAGCGTTGGCCCTGGTTCTATGCCATGCGGTGATGAGACATGTACGCTGCTCAAAAGGCTCCGTGCGCTGCTGCCTTTAAGAGTGTTTGCCTTGGCCCGCCGAACATCTAAGGTCTGGGCGGGACTCGTTCGTGTGAAGCCCAAAGTGCTCTTGATACAGACACTTCTTGGAGGTCAGTTTGTTCTTCCTATTGGGAAGATGCAGTTTACCTAAACTAACTATGAAAAGTATCGAATCATTAGGTAGGCTACAACTCAACGCCGCTGGCTGAGATGGTCGAGCTGGTACGTGCCATGTCATTCAGGTAAGGTAGCGGTAGGTAAAAGTTAACACACGTCGATGACTTGGGGTTATTATTTTGCCCGTCACCACCGCACTTCAGGGCAGTCAAACTGCACTTGCACCTCCATTTGAGAACACTTTGCTTTACCCCAAACCGATCTCTTCCAACTCCGCCGGAACTAAAGTCGGCAAAGGCGTGATCTCGTCGACAGCCGGAACTAAAGTCGGCAAAGGCGTGATCTCGTCGACAGTGTTCATAGTCGGACTCGAGTTTCGCTTTTAGCCGAGAATGACCCAGCAACCTGATAGACGATTCCCTGACCGCAGAACTTGGAAATAACGCCAATCCAGAGTGATTTCGCCGGAGTGAACCCGGCAGGGCAGCCCGAGTGTGTTTTAGAGACTGCGACGAAGACTTGGGAGGCTGCTTGAATTCAAATCGCAAGTCAAGACGGAAGTCAACCAGCATAGTTTTAGGTAGGCGATGACTCCCGCTTGCTATATTTCGGACTGGCACACTAACCTGTAGCAGCCTAGGGTACATTACATGACGACAAGGCTCGCTCAACAATATGGTTGGCGCAATCATCAGTTCGGCGTATGGGAAGCCATCTAGAACCTGGCCTATACTTCACCTATTTACCTATCATCCTGGTCTCAAACCTGATTGTGTTCTCTGATACTTCCTTCCATAAGCTACCTAACACCTCTAAGTTCACCAACCCTTACTTAATATTCGAATTAATGTTGCAGTACGCAAATATTCCCATCTGTGCCGACCCTAATAATGATAGTGACCACCCTTCTTGCCCTCCTCACCTTTCTCGCCCTTCTCGCCCTTTTCACCCTTCTCGCCCTTCTCGCCCTTTTCACCCTTCTCACCCTTCTTGCCCTCCTCACCCTTTTCACCCTTTTCACCCTTCTCGCCCTTCTCGCCCTTCTCGCCCTTCTCGCCCTTCTCGCCCTTCTCGCCCTTCTCGCCCTTCTCGCCCTTCTCGCCCTTCTTCCCATCGCCCTTCTTCCCATCGCCCTTCTTGCCATCACCTCCACTACCATCCCGCTTCACTCTGTAGTCAAAGGTGATTTCATCCCCACCACCCAATGTGTTGATGGAGCGCTTGTCCTTCTTGTCATCGTGTTTCTTCTTGTCCCGGTCATCGTCGTGCTTCTTCTTCTCATCGTCATGCTTCTTCTTCTTATCGTCGTCCTTCTTCTTCTCATCGTCGTGCTTCTT